CCTGCAACTCAGATGTTATGGCTCCTGAACACCACAAACCTGGAAGTGATTGTTCCACTTTGCGAACGTTCTTTTGGAACCCGAACATCCAGCAGGGCTTCCGTGGCTTCTGGTTGGCTGCAGGAGCTTCCTGCAGCCAATCAAAAGCCTTGATTTGGTTTTCAAAAGTTTTGGAAGTCGAATGGACCTGGAATGGATTCCGTTCGACTTCCAAGGTACGACTGTACTATGGATATAGAAGGCTGTTGCCTGTTCCATCTGATAAGGCCTTGGTGTGGACCTGTCCTGCTTCCTTGAAGTTCAATTATTGAGCGCTGAAGCAGCTGCTACATACAACTGACAACAGAAGAAACTGAAAAATGGCTCTTCAGTGTTGATAACTATTTTTTGCCATGCATTTATGCACAGTGTGGTTAGTTTTCACATAACTTTTTGAAGGTGTTTATACAATTACAGTTTTGAAATGCAGATTTATAAAGGGATAGTTCATCTGCGTTGGCATTATTACTGCTTGCTTATAACACGCAGTAGGCATTTTAAATAAGTAACACTTCAGTTAAAAAAATGTTCTTTCCCCTTTGCTTTTAGGAGTATATGCCGGAAAAACCCAAAGAAAGAAGCCAAATGTTGTGACAACTTAAGAAGGCAGCATTCTCTTGGCTAAGCGGCTGATCAGTCTGTAAATGTTCTCCACTGGTTCTGGTCTTCCTGCTGTCACACATGACGCTTTGAATCAACAAGGATACGTTTTGTGATACGAGATTTCTCAGAGATAGCCGCCAGAATGAAAAGGGAACTGGACAGCACAACAAACTTGAAGAAGCATTTATCCTGCATGTTTCAACCCCCTCATGTACCCATTAACTTATACTCGAAACTGTGATCTACATTGTGCATCCTCAGGAAAATAGGTATGTGGTGATTCTTAGGAGAACATTTTTGCAAACTTGAACCTGTGCTGCACTCTTTATAGGGCAGCAAATGAACTCAAAATGGCAGTTTGTACATTCTGCATTAACAGTTGTCTATATCATTCTGTATATTTAATTAAACATTCAGCTTCAGCTGTGTTGATTGTCTTTGGCAGCTGCCATGCTTTTAACCATGCATAGCCTTGCCTCAAGTCTAAGCCACTTTGGCCCCACTGAAAGTCAGCGAGGCAAATTTTGGCCTTCCATTGCAGCAAGAAGTGTGAAGCATTTCTGGTGGTTGCCGCTGTTAGCTTCGCATCATAAATACAGGTTGCTGCTTTCACCTGCCACGGTAACATAAATTTGATTTTTGTAGTAGGCAAACTTGAATGTGCAGTCAGCACCCCCATCTCACCAAATCAAAGCTTTGAATTGCCAGTTTCCCTCCCTAAATACAAAGAGGACAAAAGTGTATATAAAATATAGTAACAACAATTATTTAGGAGGCTTCTTTTGCTACTACACATTTGTCTTTTGTATATATATTTTTCTCTAAATGAAAGGTTTTGGATTTTTTTTTTTATGAAGAAAAGGATACTCTTTCCTCCCATTTGGGGGACAGGATTGTAGCAAACTCTTTTTGGTTTCTGAGGGCTAATCCTCCAAGAAATTCTATTCTTGCAGTTACTGAGGAATAATAAAAATTTGTAAGAATAATGAGTGAATTTTGCAACTTGGCTTTGGCCTTAAATCCAGCTGGATTCCCAGAAAGTGAAATTCTTACATTACCAAAGCCATGTCTGAAAAAGGGACATATTTATGTAAGTTATTTGTACTTGCTGTTTTAGACACGAGATGAATTACTTAGATCTTGGTGTGGCTATGAAATGTCGAATCAAATGCAGTCGTGTTGAGAAATGTATAGATCTAATCTGCCAACTGGCATTAGATAATTGTGCTATAGCTTATTCAGTGCACAGAGAACTATTAAACTTGATTATATGATATTGAATTGGTAATATTATGTTAAATATTCGGCGCTTCAGATCTGGCACTACAGTTCTGGCTCAAAATATTATTCAACATAAATTGAAAAATGATTAAATTAACAATAGGGGGGTGACTTTACATACACACATCTATTTATTCATATGGGGATGGGTGTAAACCTATTCATTCGCTGTATCTTCTAATGCTCTTCTATATCATGCAGTATTTTAAACTGATCTTGTTGGAGAGGCAACAATTTTGATTCAAAAGGATGTGGTGGTGGTGTAACCAACTGTTCAGCAGTCCTCCAAGCATAGCCTTGTCTCTTGCAGGCTACCTGTTAAAAGGTTCCTTTTGGTTAATTTATGCAGCGCAATGCAAACACTTCTAATTTATTAGATTCCTAAGTAGTTCTTAGAGCTTACTTTTGGCTCATAAAGCTTTTGCATGACTTGAATGTTTTTTAGGGGGGGGGAATAGCATAAGACTTGACAAGCTAAATGAATTTTAAGAATTGCAGATGTTGCCTTGTAGATTAGAAATACAGTACCGTTTAATAGATATGCCAGTGCTAAATTTTTTTTTTTTTTTGCTAGAGCTTGTTCGTTGTGTGCTGTGGTGTTAATTCAGAAGTAAAAAATTCTGTAAATAGAAGCAAGTTTTAACATAAAAAGTACAGACCAATTGTTACTTTATTCAGATATCCTAAGTACACTTTTTATTTTTTTTTATTTTAAAGTCAACTAAAATGTAAATGTTTCAACTGTCATTAGGCCTTCTATTTACAAGTGCCAGGATCGCTTTTGTAATTTGATATATTTTATATTTATTTATTATATTAATTTTCAGTTCACTTTTTTATTTTGAGTGGAATGCAATATTATAAAATGTATTTTTGTACTTTTCCTTTTCACCCGTTTTGCTTTTTTCCCCTTAAGCATATTGCACAATAAAACTTTTTTTTATCTTTAAAGTGTATGTGTTTTCTTAACTCAAATTTCTTTTTTTAAAAGAAAAACAGTCTAAGTTATCGGGCATTTCCCCCGTCCCCAAGCTACAGATTAAGTAGAAGAAAGTTCACCAACTTAGTATGAATACAGTGGTGCCCCACAAGACGAATGCCTCGCAAGACGAAAAACTCGCTAGACGAAAGAGTTTTCCATTTTTTGAGTCGTTCCGCAAGACGAATTTCCCTATGGGCTTGCTTCGCAAGACGTTTCGTCTTGCGAGTTCTTGCGAGTTTGTTTCCTTTTTCTTAAAGCCGCTAATCCATTAATAGCCGCTAAGCCGCTAATAGCCGTGCTTCGCAAGACGAAAAAACCGCAAGACGAAGAGACTCGCGGAACGGATTAATTTCGTCTTGCGAGGCACCACTGTACTTCAAATGACAAAATATGGCATTCATTGTTGTTGTTTCTCTTCTATTGGACATGAAGAATTAATATCTGAAATTCAGAAATTATTCCAGTCTTTTAAACTTTGTAAAGCCAGCAATAAAACATAACAACAACCCCACTCCTAAACAATACCCCGGCCCAAGAGGCAGTCTACCACTGAAGCCACCTGCTGGTTGGCTGCTGGACTAGGTGGGCCTTTGGTCTAACCCAGGAAAAGGGTACTTTTTATGGGGGTTTTTATGCACACAGAGACTCCACAGACATTGAGGTACATCTGTTTCTTTGTGTGCATGAAGCCCCCCCTTTTTTTGCTATGGCACATCTCATGGAGGGATTCCAAACGCTCCTCTCAGAAGAAAGGTGAAACCATTTATAGCATTCAAACAAGTTCACAGCATAACATGTCTGGGGTGGGTGGGTTGTTATTGTTTGCGGTTGTTACGTTATGTATTTTGTATGTTTATCCTGTGAAAACTGCCATTCAGATGAAGGGCGGTATATACATTTAATAAATGATAATTTTAACAATAATAATGTTAATAAATAATAGTATTTTAAGGGTAATTCTTCCTTGCCTGGAGATGGAGAAGGTTGGGACAGCAGGGAATGGAATGTGATGGAATCTTGCTTGGAGCCAAAAGTGACCCGCCTGGTGGAAAATGTCTGTTGAGGCTGACAGCTGAAGAGATGAAAAATGGAGGGGGGAAGAGTGGTGTAGTGGTTAGAGTGCTGGACCAGGAGGACTTGAGAGACCAGAGTACAAATCCCCACTCGGCCATGAAGCTCACCTAGGACCATGTATGCCAGTATATAAAAGTGGTTGCGACAGATGGGGTGAACTAAGAAAACACGAGGAAAAGAGGGGTTAAAAGGAACCATGGAAAGAGGATAGGAAGTCAATGTTTTCTGATCTTGTCGATTATTCAAAATCTTTGAAAGGATTTTTCTTTGTTGTCTCGTTTTTGTTTAATGCTTTGTTGATGTGGAATATTATCAGAAAAGCAAATAAATAAAATATTTATGGGGGGAAATCCTGAATATGAAAGGAAGGAAGCTTCCCACCTCACTAGTAGAGCTGCAAGGAGACATGCTGTGATGCCAACTGAATCGGACCTTCCTACTTTCGCAGGTTAAAAGGTGGAAACAAAATTTTAAAAATCCTTCCAGTAGAAGTGTGCATACACACGAAAGCTCATACCAATAACAAACTTAGTTGGTCTCTAAGGTGCTACTGGAAGGATTTTTTTTATTTTGTTTCGACTACGGCAGACCAACACAGCTACCTACCTGTAGGTAAAAAGGTGGGAGAGCTACCTCACAGGTGTGTCATGGGCGGATGAACTAGGCAGAGGAAGAACTGCCGCTTTTTGTCATCTTCATCATGCTTTATTAAATTTGTTAGTTGCTTTATCTTGCCCAAGGCAACCCAAAGCGACTGACAACCAAATGTAATAACAAATTATTATTATTATTCATTAAATTTGTATATATCACCTGCAAATCTCAGAGCAGTCCACAGCATAAAAAGACAAGATGAAAAACATAGAACACCTACTAAAACGGTGCACTGAAATGCAACAACGAAACGAAACGATTCCGCGCGTCCTGGTGGCTGTCCTGGCACTTGCCCTTCCCAATCATGGCCGCCTGCGCTTCCGCAGAGGAAGCGCCGAGAGGCCTGAGAGGCAGCGGGGAGGGGGGGCGAGTCAGGTGACGGGAGACAAGATGGCTGCCTTCCCCTGGTAAGGACGGAGGAGCTTCTCTTGCAGATAGTCTTGGAGACAGAAGCTGGGAGGAGGAGACGGCGGCTTGCGACGGGCAGCTTCCCGCTTTAATTCCCTTTTTGTCTTGCAAGGCTTTGCTGACATGTTTGGGGCGGGGCGGGTTCTTTTTGTGAGGTGTCTGGTATTTATTATTATCTTTCATGGCAGGCAGATATGGCACACCAAGCTCTAATAGGCTATGTGGTGCTTAGCTATTTAAGTTTTAGTTTTATTTTTTTAAGTTATTACTGACGGCACGTTTGCAGCTCACTGCCTTTCAGCAACCGCTTTGGCACTGTGACCCCTTAGGTAAAGGTAAAGGGACCTGTGACCATTAGGTCCAGTCGTGGCCGACTCTGGGGTTGCGGCGCTCATCTCGCTTTACTGGCCGAGGGAGCCAGCGTACAGCTTCCGGGTCATGTGGCCAGCATGACTAAGCCGCTTCTGGCGAACCAGAGCAGCGCACGGAAATGCTGTTTACCTTCCCGCTGGAGCGGTACCTATTTATCTACTTGCACTTTGACATGCTTTTGAACTGCTAAGTTGGCAGGAGCAGGGAGCGAGCAACGGGAGCTCACCCCATTGCGGGGATTTGAACTGCCAACCTTCTGATCGGCAAGTCCTAGGCTCTGTGGTTTAACCCACAGCTCCACCCCTTATGCCACAATAAATTTATTTTTAGCCACTGTGGCGAGAGTATTGGACTAGGACCTGAGAGGCATGGATTAAAACCCTCACTCAGCTGTGAAGCTCACTGGGTACCCTTAGACCATAGTCTTTCAGCCTAACCTACCTCACAGGGTTGTTGTGAAGTTAAAATGGGGAGCTGGCAGAACCCATGCATGCCGTATTGAGCTCCTTGGAGGAATTGTGAGATGTAAATGTAGTGACAAATAAAATATCAGGTGCCATTCTGGAAATCCTTAGCCATGGTGAGACAGGCAGAAATCTTAACGGGTTAGATTGAGAATTGTAGGTGTGATGGGCCACATATTTGGGGAAATAAGTGTTTAAAGCACAAAGAGACTTCAACAGCAAAGTGGGTCTTGGTATCTTGAAATAAATCAACATTTATTGCAATATATATTTCCTTGGTCTGTAGCCCTCTTCATTGGCCACATTATGTTAGCCTCATTTGGGATGTTTGCTTAGGTGATACATAAAGAGGCATCCTGGTGTAGTGGTTAGTTAGTGTATTCGTCTAAGGATGAGGAAAACCCATTTTCAAATCCTCTGTCAGCCTAACCCATTATTTCTGAGGATAAAATGCCCTGATAAAAATGCCATTAAAAACAGAGCAAATCCAAAATAGGATCCAGTGGTAATGAAATACAAAAACGTACAGTTTTGGCCTCTTCATTCAGTGGTGGGATCTGCATGCTGAAGATCCCAGGTTTGGGCCCTGGTATCTCCAGATTACAAGGATCTGGTGTCAGATGATGGAAAAGATTTCTGCCTGAAATCCATTCAAAATACTGGACTAGACCAAGGCTGGGGAACCTGTAGCCCTCCAGAAGATGTTCATGCCCTATTCCCATCAACTTCAGCCAGGATAGATAGGGAGTGGTCAATTATGATGGGATTTGTAGTACAATAAAATCTGGTAGGCTACAGGCTCCTCATCTCTGGGTTAGATGGTCATGTAGTCTGATCTAGTATAAGGCAAGCTTCCTGTGTTCCTTTGTTTTTCTCCGCACACAGATGTCTCTGATTTTCACTTGACTTTCTTTATTTCGTAACATTGCATGTATTGACTGCCGACAAAAAGAGAAGTGTTTTCTATTGCGACAACAGAAACACTGCACATTTGAAACAAGATGTATTGTGAGTTCTAACTGGAAACAGAGGTTAGCGCAGGCATACTTGCGAAGTATGTCCATGATGCTGAATCATGGACAATATGCCATACATTCCCTGCACATTGAAATCTAGCATGTCAGGAAGAAGGCTAGGCTAAAGCCCTGTCTAAAGTGAGCAGTTTTACCACCTCAGAAAGAACTGAGAGTACACTTATTTTAGGGAGGCACTACACAGTATAACATTTTTTTATTAGTTAATTGAATACTTCAAGGCAGAGATGTGGAAACTGTTGTGTGTTGTAATCCAACAACATCTGGAGGGCCACAACTTTCTCGTTCTTGAGTTAGAGATCTGTGCATTCCTCATGTTAGTTGTTTATGTACTTTGGAATATATGTGCAATTTAAATATACAGTATATTTTTCTCCAGTCCACTTCCCTTTGGCATCCAGTTGGTGTCGCTGTTGATTTGTATTAGCAATCCACTGTGCCGATTCTCCTGGCCCTTTTTTATTTATTGCAGGAGAGCACAGTGGTAAGAGTACCATATATAAAATAAAGTTGAGGTCTTTGAAATTCAGATAACTTCAAGATAACCACTCCCTTGTGCCTCTTGACTGGAATTACATGGGCCCTGCTGTTCACACAACTGCATACATTTGCCTTATGTTTATAGATGTGTTGAATGTAGAAGGATGGTGCTTGGCTTGATGAATGGGCTGTCTTTGAATTGCAAAGCAAATGGGGATGTTTTCTGCCTGTTAAAGGCTTTAATTAAATTTCCCTTGCAAGTTCCCAGTGAGACAATATTCCAAGTTTTAAATATAGAGTTTGGAGAGTTGAGAAAAATTTGACTCTTCATAGAATCATGGAATTGTAGAGTTGGAAAGGGCCACTAGGGTCACCTAGTCCAACCCCCTGAAGTGCGGGAGTCAGTGTGGTGTAGTGGTTAAGAGCGTTAGATTTGTAATCTGGGGAACCGGGTTCGCTTCCCCGCTCCTCCACATGCAGCTGCTGGGGGACCTTGAGCTAGTCACACTTCTTTGAAGTCTCTCAGCCTCACTCACCTCACAGAGGGTTTGTTGTGGGGGAGGAAGGGAAAGGAGAATGTTAGCCGCTTTGAGACTCCTTCGGGTAGTGATAAAGCGGGATATCAAATCCAAACTCTTCTTCTTCTTCTTGTGCCCAACGTGGGGCTATTTGTTGAGTCTCTATAAGGGATGGGGAACCTCCAGATGTTGCTGGACTGCAACTACCATCCTCTTGGTTCGTTGGCCATGTTGACTGGAGTTGATGGGAGCCGAGTCCATCAACATATGGAAGGCCACATTTTCCCTGCCCCTGGACTATGTTGTAGCTGAATTGGGATTAGAACTCTATTCCAACATGCTATCCAGCAGGAGTGGCTAACTTTTTTTTGGCACAACAGCTTCACTCACTCTTGGCCAATCCTCTGAGGCCTGTGTGCTGCCAGTGAGGGCATTCAATCCATGTTCTTGCACAGGCACACAGCTTCCTTTCCTTGGACATCAGATGAGTAGGTGGGGAGAGGGCGATTTTTATCCCCACCTGACTGCTAGGCCAAGGGAAGAGGTTCAAACTTCTCTTCCTACCCCAGCATTTTGTCCACTTTTCATTTTTTGCCCTTTAGCCGCTGTCAAAACCGGTGATGTATCTTGTGACCAGAAGAATTTGCTTGCAAGCTGAACCATTTTGGCTCTTTGGCAATCACTGAGTAGTAATCGCTTTCAAAAGTGTAACATTTACCACTTGCCTGACTGGCTTTTAAAATAAAGATTTAGAGTTGAGCCCAATTAAATCATTGCGCTTGTGGAACAACGCTTCCCTTCTCTCCCCTTCCTCCTGTGGTCTCTCAGATTTGCTCTGGGGAGCCTGCCAACCCTCCAGAACAGTTTTGAGGGGGGCAGGGATGTAGGGGAAGGGATCAGAGGGAGGGGAAATTCAGGTGCATCAGTGAAAGGCATTCCACGAGCACAATTACAATCCAATAATAATACTAACACATAGTCATAATTCTTTGTAACTTTTCAAAGCACTTCATTATCTAGTTGTAATCCTAAGAACAATCAAGTAAGCTAAATCAGTACAGTCGTACCTTGGTTTTCAAACAGCTTAGTTCTCGAATGTTTTGGCTTCTGAATGCTGCAAACCTGGAAGTGACTGTTTCGGTTTGCGAACTATTTTTGGAAGCCGAACATCTGATGGGGCTTCTGATTGGCTGCAGGAGCTCCTTGCAGTCAGTCAGAAGCCGCGCTTTGGTTTCCAAACATTTTGGAAGTCGGAGGGACTTCCAAAACGGATTCTGTTTGACTTCCCAAGGTACGACTGTACTATTACATGCCCCGTCCCCATCCCATTCCAGATGTTGATGTTGGGACTGAGGTTAAGTTGGAGTCACTTGGCTTAGGTTTTCTGGTGAGTTCATGGTACATGGAAGGCTCAAGCTGAGGACTTCCTGATTCATAGCTCAGCCTCCTGGTCACTGCTACGGCAGCTTTTCAAGATACCATGTAGGTGTTTGCTAGAGTAGATGTTTTTGTGTGTGTGAATCTGGGATTGGTGCACAGGATGACCTAAGTCTAGGATTCTCTTCATTTTACTGTTCACCCAGTAAAAATTAGTCCCTGCATAAGATGTCTGTGCATTCATAGGATACTTTTTAAAAGCCAGTGAGTGCAAAAAGCTGTGCTAGAAGTGGTCTTCTGTTTTTTGTCCCAGGTACCAACACTGTCATGTTACTGTCTCAAACAGGCACAATTTTCTAAGGTCCAGGTTGCAATTTGCAATAGAAACCAGCATTTAAAGTTTCGGCTGTGCGCATTTGCTTTCTGCTGCTGCTTTAGATTCTTCTGAGGTCCAGCAAAAATGCTGTTTCTGTGAAAGGGTGAAGGGAACTCTCTCTCTCTCACCCAAACTCTGTGCTGTTTTAATTGTGAAAGTCCTTACAAATGCTAATAAGCTCAAGGGGCCAGCAAAGTAGCAGAAGTGTGGGGAAAACATTGAGAATAGTGCATTCAAGTGAATATTTATGCACAGGGCAGGCAGGAAACTGGAGATTAAGAAATGTAGGGAGACAGGCATGAGCATCCTTCACTGGGTTCTTTTTCTCCTCCTTTTACAATGTCTCATTAGGTTGTAAAGCCGGTCCTTTCAGTAGCACTGCTGGGTTGTCTCATTCAATTGGCCTTCAAAGTTGCACAGTCGGTTGGTGGTTGGTGGCTGAGTCTTTGTCGAATGCTTTTTTAGAATAAGTGTTGTCTCGGCTTAGAAGAGTTGTGAAAATGCAGTTGATTTGCAGGACATGACTGGCAGGTTATTTCCCCCAGTTTTTTTCACCTGAAGTTTATGCCAGCTAAAAATAAGCAGCAGATTTGTAATGTGATGGATTTCACAGTTGATAAAGACAACAATAGAAGGAATCTTTGCAGCTTCTTTTGTTTGATTGAAGCACTGGCAGTTCCTCTGTTTGATGCCTTCGAATGATGAGAAAAGGGTAAGAGATGACAGACAAAAGGAAGTATTCCTTTAGAAATGGAAACTAAGCAATAGAAAGGCCTGTCAGTGGTACACAAGCACAAATGACTTCATAAAACAAGAGTGGGGAACTGGATCTGACCGGTGGGATCTGTTCAGTGCCAGATATGCAGGTCTAATAGATGGCTGTCCAGCCTTTGCCTGAAGACCTCTAGTGAGGAAGAGCTCACCACCCCACGGGTCATTTATTCCACTGTCAAGCTGCTACTCTCGTCAATAAGTTTATCCTGATGTTCAGCTGAAATCTGCCCCCCTGTAACTTGCACCCATTCAGATGGGAGTATCTGGAGGTCTCTATCATGTCATGTTAGTTTGATCCTCAGTGTCTATGGCATGTGCTGCTCTGAGCATCTTCTTGTGGGAAAATGTGGCTTGTAAACACAACACACAAACTTTGATCCTCCTCCGAAATGCTTCCATAGGGAGCTACCAGCAGTGGGTACCATAGCTGAGTGACATGTCCTCCTCCTTTTTTGCACAGAATGATGGAGTTAGGTCAGTGTTATAAACTGAGATATGAAAGTCAGGAGCTAAATGGCACCTTAAACTTGAGTTAGGGATACAACAATGGAATGTCTAGGTGCATTTTTTTAAAGAGATATCACATTTTCTTGTGATTTTCTTCTCCAAAAACTGTTGCACATGAATGCTCAGCGTGTGCTTCCAAATCTCAGTTCTATAAGTTCTTTATGCTTTTCTCCTTCAGGCATGCTAGATCAAGAAACTACGTACGTGAATTGGAATCATGCAGGCTGGAAAGTGTGTCTGTGGATTTTGGAGACTACCATCCACTCAAACCCATTACAGTAGGTTTCCTTTGCAACCTTTCAACAGTCCTGTATAGCCATGTTGGTCCAGAAGACTGGGGACAAACTAATGAACAGACCCTTCTTGGTTCTCATGCTGATTCTCTGGAATGGGCCCATCTCTATGTACCTTCTAGCACTTGATGGAAGAAGCCTTGCTTCTTTAAGGAAGACTTTGGGAAAAGGGGAACTGTGCACCATTTGTGCAGTTTAGAATTTTCAGTTTTCTAGTTGTCAGATGTGGATTTGATTTATACAGCTAGAGCCCCGATTTACTTCCTTAATCTTGTGCACAGTTAGACTGTGCCTAGAACTAGTTCATTTCTTCACCATTGTATTCCTAAATTGGGGTTGGGCAACATGGTAGAGCTTTTGGATAACAACTCCCGTCAGTCCTTGCCAGCATGGGGAAAGGTCAGGGATGATGGGAATTGTAGTAACTAACATCAGTAGTGCATCACATTGACTCCCCCTACCTAAAGCAATGGACTTAGGCATGCAAAACTCAGTTTAGAGGATTGCAGCTTCGGCCTGCAATTCTGTATACACATATCTGGGTGTAAGTCCTATTGAACACAGTGTAACTGGCTTCTGAGTAGACAGTTGTACAGTCGCACAGCCTTGGTGCAAGATAGCCGTTTATGGCTGCATTCGTATGCACACTTATCTTGGAGTAAGCCTTATTAAAATAAGCAAGGCTGAGTAAATGTGCAAAGAATAGTCTTGTTAGTATCTGGCGCTCCTTCTGACTATTATTATGTATTCCTCAGGTAATGGAATCAAAGACAAAGAAATTAGGCCGCAAAGGAAGCACTTCCTCTACTTCCTCCTCCTCTTCCAGTTCAATGATGGATCCCCTGAGCAGTGTGTTGGACGGCACTGATCCTTTGTCATTGTTTGCTGCAACTGCAGATCCCCTGCTGACTGCAACTACGGTAACATTCTTGTCGCATTGACTAGATCCTTGTGAGCCTGCCTGCCTGCAGCTCTGCTCTGTGGCCTGTAATGGAATGATGATGGATTGAGGAAGGGCCATAGCTCAGAGGTAGAGCATCTGCCTTGGGTACAGAAGGTTCCAGGTTCAATTCCTGGCATCTCCAAGCAGGGCTGGGCTGGGGAAAACCCCTGCTTGAATCCCTGGAGAGTCACCTGCTGGTCAATGTAGATGATGATGATGATAACAACAACAACAACAACAACAACAATAATAATAATAATAATAAATAATAATAATAATTTATTATTTATACCCCGCCCATCTGGCTGGGTTTCCCCAGCCACTCTGAGCTAGATAAACCAGTGGCCTGACACAATATGAGGCAGCTTCCTTTGCTCTGAACCAGGGACTGGGCTTTTTTGGTGGTGGCCCTGAACTTACAGAATCTATTTCATGTCCCTTCAGCATTGCTCATTTTAAAAAGGTTTTTGTTCATTTTTATGAAACAGTATGCTTTTTATTCAAGTTGCATTTTTTTAATGCTCCACTTTAGATCAGATTCTACTGTCCACCTTAGTATATATGCATATTTGTTTAACTGATAGTGTCTTTTATATTTCATATTTAGTTGCAAACAACACACACACACACACACACACACACATATATATGCAGTACTGCTCCTGAACCAGGTATCAAGGCGATGTACATCACAACATCAAACGCATTCAGGAAACAATTAGAAACCGACAGAGAATCACTGAGCAGAAAAAGAAATTAAGAATTTAGTAAATGCTTGAGCGAACAAAAGTATATTTAATTGCCAGCAAAAAAGCATACTGCTGGGAGAAGGTTGTTTCATAATGTGAGCTGGAAATGTCTGAGAATGTCCTCATTCTGCTTGCCATCTGGTGGCTCAAAGCTGGCCTTGGCCACCACCAAGAGAGGTGCTTTCAAAGCTCTTGGTAGGCAGAAAGGTTCATCTGGCTGTTTCACCATTGCATACTGCCTTGTGCCGGTTCTCATGTCCTGAAAGGTGGCTTAAGAAATATTTTGCTAGTAGCAGATGCACAAATAATAGACTATGTTTCTGTAGGCATTGCTAGGATGTGTATCATTAGTTATCCGTGTTCAGGGGTGGGAAACCTCTGACCCTGGGTGTCAGGCTGGAGGAATCCTCTCCCTCCCCCCTGATGGCACCGAGAATCAGGGAGGGAACAAGAAAGTTCTTATGATTTATTCAGGTATCATGGTGAAAGACAAAGAAATCCAATCATTCCTCCATGATGGAGTTGCTCGCACTGAGCTCCTCCTCTCTTCCCTTCTAACAACAACACCTGCTTCTACGGCGTCTGCCTGTGGCCAACTGTGGTTGTGCCCTTTGTTCTTGCACCGTTAACGAATCCCACGCTTTGGGAGAAGGGGGGTCAGTTATGCTGTCCAGTGACATGTCAGCTAGCGGCTCTGTCTCCTCCTCCTTCTAACACTGCCTAACTGCTGTTCTCCTGTCTCTGAGCTGCTACCTTCCTCAAAGCCCTGCTATAATTCGAGACTGCCTTCCTCTTTTCTGGAAGCTACAGGCAAAGGTGCGGGGGGGGGGGAGGGCAACCTCCACCACTCCTCCTCTTCAGTCCAGTCCCTGACACAGGGCCCAAACGTGGCCCTCTGGGTGTCTCCACCTGGCCCTTGGAACTCTTCCCAGGCCACACCCACTTACTGGCCCTGCTCCACACCCTGAGTGTATTTGCCTGCCTGGAATGTGTGCGCTTGAGTTGGGATAATGTATGTCGCTTGCCTAGAGGACAGAGAGGGCTGTGCAAGTGTGTTTAAGAGCCAGCCTACTGCAAAAAGATAGAATTTGCTCTACCCACATTTGCCTCTGGCCCTGCCCAGCACGGGTGTGTCTGTAAACTGAATGCCACCCTTGCCCTGAAAAATATGGGTGAGATTTATCAGTATTTTTAAATGATGAAATATGCCTTTACAACAACATACCAGAGGCCAAACGTCTCATTTACGTGGAGGATTCTGTGCCTCGCCTCTCTCTCCTCTGCAGGATAGTGCCAGAAAGAAACGGGATAAAGATGATTCCTCGGCTGTTGGCAGTGACTTTGAGCCTTGGTCGAGCAAACGGGCTGACATCCTTGCTCGGTACACAACAAACGAAAAGCTTTCCATTGTGAGTGAACGTTTGGTTATTTTTCAAGAGGAAAGGTGAGATATAAATGCAATAATAATAATATCAACAAAGTAGCAAAGTAGGTCCAGTCTTTTTGGGTGTGCAAGCACGTACAATAAATTTTGTTTTAGCATAGCAGATGTTTGTAATGTTCATTTTTAAGCCATTGAGAGAACAGCATAGCATCCTTCTGAATTGTTGTGCATATTTATTCCTAAAGGCACTTAAAAATTAGTGCATGGGAGGGTAGGATGGGCATGGAAATAGCAGTGTAACCATGCCTACTCAGAAGGAAGCCCCATTGGATTCAGTTGGGCAGTAAGTGGCTTTGGGATTGCATCCTAAAGTAGCACTACTGAACTTAGGGTTGTATCCAGTGATAGTCATATAGAGAGCAGACCCATTAAAAGGAACAGACATGACCGAGAGCTCATCCATATTTACCTTTTGCCCTGACAAAAGCCTTCATCCCATATGCCCTGTCTTTTATCATGGTTACCGTAAAACCACACTTTTACATCTGAAACAATGTGTTGCCTGAACTTGAGAGTCTCAGAACTGTTCCTCGGGCAGGTTGTTAAACACAACATCCCTCTTATCCCTGAATATTTAAAATAAAAGTTTAGCATCCTACTCTTAAGAACTCTTAACAACTTTTAATTACAACCTATCATGGTTCACATTGTTCTGGCTTTTTGTTATACCACTACACCTGTCAGCTGTTGGGAATTATTGCTTTTGAAAACACATGTTTTGTTTCATTGCAGAACTTGTGTATGGGATCTGAAAAAGGTACGTGTTCACTTTAATATGTAGCACTGTGGAAGGGGGGGGGGAATGTTTTAAACGTGTCACAGAATTGTTTTCTATTTTTCTACTAGCTTATAGGAATACTGAAATTGCCACGTAAATATTCCACAGCACATGGTTACGAGAAAAGCTGGAAATTAGGTGCAAAATATCTCAATAATCTAACTGTGAAACATGAAGTTTCAGTAGCCATCGTCCCGTTTAAAGACGTAATTTAGGTTAGTGCTGCTCCAAGTGGTGGTCTGTGGACTGGTACCAGTCCATGAGCAACCAACTGTAGGACCCTAGCAACTCCACCACAGTCCAGGTTGGGTAGGATGCCTTAGGGACCAAGCATGGTATGGTCCCTGGTACAGTGGTGCCCCGCAAGACGAACGCCTCGCAAGACGGAAATCCCGCTAGACGAAAGGGTTTTCCGTTTTGGAGGCGCTTCGCAAAACGAATTTCCCTATGGGCTTCCTTCGCAAGACGAAAGCCCATAGGGAAATCTCCGGGACAGCGGGAAAGCGCAGCGCGTCTTTCCCACTGTCCTCGGACCTCCTCCGAAGGCTGGTGGTGGGGCGGAGAGACCTCCTCCCGCCGCCAGCCTTCGGAAGGCTCCTCCGAAGGCTGGCGGTGGGGCGGAGAGACCTCCTCCCGCCGCCAGCCTTCGGAAGGCTGCTCCGAAGGCTGGCGGCGGGAGGAGGTCTCTCCGCCCCACCGCCAGCCTTCGGAAGGTTGCTCCGAAGGCTGGCGGCGGGAGGAGGTCTCTCCGTCCCACCGGCAGCCTTCGGAAGGCTGCTCCGAAGGCTGGCGGCGGGAGGAGGTCTCTCCGCCCCACCGGCAGCCTTCAGAAGGCTGCTCTGAAGGCTGGAGGTGGGGCGGAGAGACCTTCTCCCCGCGCCAGCCTTCGGATGGCTGTCCTGAAGACTTGCGGTGGGAGGAGGGTTTTCCTTCCCACCGCCAACATTCAGAATGCTGTTCTGAATGTTGGCGGTGGGGAGGAAAAACCCTCCTCCCACCGCAAGCCCCGGGAACAGAGGAGAAGCGCTGCGCGCCTTCCCCTCTGTTCCCTTACCTGTCCTGAAGGCTTGCGGTGGGGAGAAAAGCCCTTCTCCCCACCGCCAGCCTGGCAAGCGGTCTCCATAGGAACGCATTAATTGATTTTCAATGCATTCCTATGGGAAACCGTGCTTCGCAAGACGAAAAACTTGCAAGAAGAAAAAACTTGCGGAACAAATTAATTTCGTCTTGCAAGGCACCACTGTATTTGGGGGCAGAAAATTGCCAGTCCTTCACATCAGATAGCTTGAGAAGCACTGATTTAGGCATTAGTTACAGGTAGTGACCTGTTATTTACAGGTAGCGACCGATTTGTGCGGGGGTTATGTTCCAGAGCCCCATGTGCGTCGGCAGGGCCTGCGCAAGGCTGCCTCATTCTTCCTTGTTCCTCTCCCACCCTGCCCTGTCCGGCCTGTTTTTGCGACCTTTTGGTTCACATCTGTGGTTGGCTCTATTCAGAATCGCGCACATACAGGATGCACCTAAAACTGTCACTGCCTGTACTTCAGCCCCAAATTAGCTATGAATTCCTCCTTCCCAAATTTATTCAGTGGCTTGTTTGGAAATGGTTTCGTAGAGTCATAGGCTTATAGAGTTGGAAGGGACCACAAGGGTCATCTAGTCCAACCCCCTGCAATGCAGGAATCTCTTGTGCAATGTGGGGCTCCAGCCCACGACCCTGAGATTAAGAGTCTCATGCTTTGCCGTCTGAGCTCTGTTGCAGTTTAAAGCATTCCAGTATGTGATTCCCTTCAGGAAAAGCAACAACTCCTGGATCAGCAGTTTCTGAGAAGGTGCGGACAAGGCTGGAAGAGCTGGATGATCTCGAAGAGGTGAGCGAGCGCTTTCATTTCCCTACATTTATACCCCACCACCCTGCTTTTTAAATAAAATATTCAGGGTAGCTTGCAAGACGGAACAAAATAGACTAATGAGAAAAAAACAGCAATAAAGCCAGCAGCAGTTTTTAGACTAAAAAAAAACCAAGGGCAAAATACATGAAATGATGGTAATCTAAAAATTCGTTGCTGAGATATAATGATGATGATGATGATGATAATGATAATGATAATAATAATAATAATAATAATAATAATAATAATAATTATTATTATTATTTATTATACCCGCAGGGTATTGTTGTTCTTTAGTCGTTTTGTCGGGTCATGAAGAGTTGGACACTTTTATTAAACATTACCTTTACCTTTTATTAAACATTAAAAGCTTCCCTAAACAGGGCTGCCTTCAGATGTCTTCTAAAAGTCTGGTAGTTGTTTTTCTCTTTGACATCTGGTGGGAGGGTGTTCCACAGGGCGGGTGCCACTACCGAGAAGGCCCTCTGCCTGGTTCCCTGTAACTTAGCTTCTCGCAATGAGGGAACCGCCAGAAGGCCCTCGGCGCTGGACCTCAGTGTCCGGGCAGAACGATGAGGGTGGAGACGCTCCTTCAGGTATACTGGACCGAGGCTGTTTAGGGCTTTAAAGCTCAGCACCAACACTTTGAATTGTGCTCGGAAACGTACTGGGAGCCAGTGTAGGTCTTTCAAGAACGGTGTTATATGGTCTCGGCAGCCACTCCCAGTCACCAGTCTAGCTGCCGCATTCTGGATTAGTTGTAGTTTCCGGGTCACCTTCAAAGGTAGCCCCACAGAGAGCGCATTGCAGTAGTCCAAGCAAGAGATAACTAGAGCATGCAGTACTCTGGCGAGACAGTCTGCTGGCAGGTACGGTCTCAGCCTGCGTACCAGATGGAACTGATAAACAGCTGCCCTGGACACACAATTGACCTGCGCCTCCATGGACATGTTTTGAGACTACAGTTCCCATCATCCCTGACCACTGGTCCTGTTAGCTAGGGATGATGGGAGTTGTAGTCCCAAAACATCTGGAGGGCCAAGTTTGCCTATGCCTGCTTTAAGACCCCTCCTCCTAAGCCCTTTGATTCTGTCGGTTCACTTTATTTCCAGGTCACATTTCATGATTTTAACAATATTTGTTCAAAACAAGAGCAGCAGCAGATCCCTCCAGTGGCCCAGTGCTTGATTTCTAGTTTAAAAAGAAAGCAAGCAAGCGTAATAACATCAGTCTTCCCACACCCTACTTCCCAATGTACACCGGCTTCCTGAGAAGCGCAGCATTTGATGCATTGATCCTGCAATTTGTAGCGATATAAATATCAAGAGATTCTGCCGGAGGGTAAATCCTGCGACCCGGTGGTGCTCTTTGACTGCAGAGGATGCTGCTGGCCTGCTTCAAAGGAGAGCCAAACGCATCCAGCTGCCCTTGAATTTCAATGATAGTTTTGTTATGTAATCTACCACTTGGCAGCTCTGCAGAAGCCAAAGGGAGAGGAGGAAGCTCTCGGAAAAAAAGAAGCTTTCCTTGTTTTTCATACGTTTATAAATTCACTTGTTTTGCACACTGCTTCCTTCTTTTTCCCCCCAGGGGTCACAAAAGGAGCTGTTAAACTTGACTCAGCAAGATTATACAAACCGGATTGAAGAACTCAATCAATCTTTGAAGGATGCTTGGGCCTCGGATCAAAAAGTGAAAGCTCTAAAGATAGTCATACAGGTTAGCATTACATGCCGAGCGTGTTCTGCACATCATAATGATTGGGGTTAAAGCATAGTGAAAATTGTGTGTTTAAGGTGCTGTTAACTCTGTTGGGCTCCAAAAGGATGCCTGGGAAGACCTTGGCCCTTGATCAAGATGCCCCTCTCTCTGAGCCAGACCCACTTCTTTCTTGATGGTGTTACCCTGGGGCGGACCTTGGTAATATGGCTTTGGGAAGGAGGTGCGAGGCTCTGGCAGGGTCCTTGAGCCCTCCTCCCTCCTTCCAAAGTCTAGAAAGTGCTTGCCCAGCTTTGGGAAGGAAGTAGGAGGACTCTAGGACCCTGTCAAAGCCCCCACGCCGCTTTCCCCGAAGCACTTACAGGCTTTGAGAAGGTGCCCTAGTGGCGCCAGCCCTAAATCCACCTCTGTTGTACCACTGGCCATTTGCTTGTTCTTGCTCGTGGGTCCCAGTTCACAGAGCCATCCAAACAGGCCTGCATATACACCATGTATTTTCAATGCGTGCCTACTCCGAAAGAATCCTGGGAACTGCATTTTGTTAAGAGTGCTGGGAATCGAAACTCTGTGAGAGGTAAACTACACTTCCCAGGATTCTTTGGGGGGAAATCATGTGCTTTTTAAATGTATGTTGTGTGTGCAGCTGGAGAAGGCAAAAACAACGGAAGCCTTCCTCCTTCTTGCTGCTCACCCCTGTAGGAATGATCGCTGGGTCCGGAGCACACTCCCCACCCTCAGGCAGCCTCAGTCTGCCTGCCTGCATGACGTTGGGGTGCAGAGCACACACCCCCTCACAGAAAAAGCCACAGCTGTCTGAACATCGTGCCCTCTGTCTAACCTTTTGCGGTCTCAGTAGTCTGCGGTGCCCTGTCTATAACCTTTATCTCTGAGACCTTTGTCTCCCTCGTCATACATTGTGCAAGGGGAAAATGACGCAGTGGAAATAGGTGCCAAAATAACTTTGTACCACCCCACTATCTCGGGACTGGAAGATGTGTAAAGGTCACAGCCCAAAATGTATCTGCCTGGGTTTGCATAATTGTGTCAATAAAAGGAGCCTCCACAGAGCTGGCCGGCAGCTTGCTTGCAGCTCACCTGTGCGCAGCTCACCTGCCTTATCAACTCCTGGCTCATGTCTTTCACTTCAATGCCCTTGGTGAAGGCAGGTGAACAAGCAGCCACAGGCAGGAGCAGCAGCAGGGGCTGGCCCTGGGTGCCCTGCTGGTGAATGAGCCTCAGCAGATGCACAACGATGCTAATTTGGGATGCCAGCCTCTGGGTGGCTACCAGATGACCTGCCAGGCTCCCGTCCACCCGTCTGCTGGTTGTTTGCCTCTTTTACTCTCCCCTCCTCTGCCTATTGCACCTTCTAGGGCAGGAGGCAGAGTGGAATTGAAAGGGCCTCTTAAGCTATGCAGAAGTGGGCAGGAGAAGGAATGCTTGGAAAGGCAGTCGTTGCAATTTTTGTTTAATTCTTCATCCCTGGTTGTTGCAGCGGGAGGGTGGTCTGAGCAGGATCTTTGGGTGTGCTTGCTTTTAGTTCCATGGGGGTGCAGAGGTGGCCAACAGTTGTGAAAACCCGGAGGGGCCTGGTCCCCCTGTTTTAATTATGATTGCTTATCCTTTAGGGAGGAATGACATCTGGTATATCTATATATCTGGAGTATATTATGGAAGAATTGTAGCTCAGGGCAGAGCACCTGCTGTGAATGCAGATGGTCCCAGTTTTAATCCCTAGCATCTCTAGGGCTAGGGGTGTCCCCTGTCTGAAACCTGCTCCCAGTCGGTGTTGACAGCACTGGTCTAGATGGACCAGGGATGCGGGTGACGCTGTGGTCTAAAACACTGAGCCTCTTGGGCTTGCCGATCAGAAGGTCGGCAGTTTGAATCCCTGCAACGAGGTGAGCTCCCGTTGCTCTATTGCAGCTCCTGCCAACCTAGCAGTTTGAAAACATGCCAGTGCAGGTAGATAAATATGTACTGCTGCGGTGGGAAGGTAAACGGCGTTTCTGTGTGCTCTGGTTTCCGTCACAGTGTTCCGTTGCACCAGAAGTGGTTTGGTCATGTTGGCCACATTACCCAGAAAGCTGTCTTTGGACAAACGCCGGCTCCCTCGGCCTGAAAGCAAGATGAGCACTGCAACCCCATAGTTGCCTTTGACTGGACTTAACCATCCAGGGGTTCTTTACCTTTACCTTACCTAGAGGGACCAGTGCTCTAGCTGTATAAAGGCAGCTTCCAATGTTCATAGGTAAGACAAGCAGTACCAGTAACAGGGCCTTTTTAGTAGTAACGCCAACTTGTACAGCTAGCTCCCTGAAGCCTCCTAAGCCCACTCCTTTCGTGTTTTAAGAGAGTTAGTAAAACACTATGTTTTGGGCAACCTTTTGCTGTTTGATTTTCAGAATGATCATTGGAAGCAGCCTTAGACTACTAGATCATATATTTCCCCCATCTAGCTCAGTAGAGTCTACTCTGACTGGCAGCGCCTCTTTTAGAGCTAAAGTATAGGCCTTTCCAGGGATTGAACCTGGTAACTTCTGCATACAAAACCATGTATCGCTGTGCTGTAGCCTCTCCCTTAGTCACATGCTGTTTTGAATCCCTTTTTTGCCACTTCAAAATAATTTCCTAGTGTAGATATTTTCTTTACTACGTGAACTTAGTCATTTCTTCTTTCTCTTTTCCCTTCTTAGTGTTCTAAACTTCTTTCAGACACAACAGTGATTCAGTTTTATCCAAGCAAATTCGTCTTAATAACAGACATACTTGACACATTTGGTAAGTGCAGACATCTCAAAAGTCTCTCCTTTTTCAGATTGAAATTTGTAAGTGCAAACTTGGAAGACAACAAAAATCTTGCACTGGTTTGTGGCTCCTGGAAGGTTGCCTATGAAATAATTCGGCCCTTCTGCTGCATCAAAGCTTTAAGGACCTGTCTTGTTTGTGGCATCATCTTCTTTGAAATGCATTTTGTGGTGGGTTTTCCTGCCCCTCCCCAATGAACACTGGACGTTTCCCTTTCAAAGGTCTTGACCGACTGAAACTTGCTCACCTCCATGAAATGTCTTTGTTTAGTTAGATAAAAGAGAGTACCAGATGTTCTTTCCTGGACTCAACAAACGTGACCTGAGCAACACGATCTGCCTTGGAACCTCTCATCATAGTTTTTGTGGATCCAAGCCAAAAGTAGCGTTAGCACAACATCTACAGATGTCTTGAGCCTATTTTCTGTACTGCCTGGCTGCAGCCTTGGGTACCTGACACCGATCATACCCTGATATGGAAGCAGAGCTGTTCATGTGCCACTTCCCCCGTCACAAGAATGCCATCCGTGGCAACTGAGGCTGAGCTGTGCTTAACACCATTGAATCTGAGCTGACTTGGAGTTCAGACTGCAATTGGGCCTCCGCCACTGGGAACGGCACATTAACATAATTGGATAATATTTTAGAGAGTTTTCCCCCAGAAATAAGGGCTCTCTTTCTGTCCTTTGTACAGTCTTCATTGTGGGAATGTTCAGGGTGGCACGAGAGGATATATTGTTTATTAATATCCTTCCTAACTTGCGCTAGCAAGTTCCTTTACTTAGCAGAGTTTACGTTCCCCTTTTTACATGCACAGCAGATAGCTGGTTGCAGGCTTGTGTAAGCCTCTCACTATTATACAATTCAATCTGTCTTCAGGTTGAATTGTACGTTCCTGGTAAGTTCCCTTCAATCCCTCTTAAAAGAATAAAGATGCCATAATCTTAATCACGGTCAATAAAAGAAGTTTACTTACATCAGTTCACAGTTGGATCCCAGAAGGCAGACAGTTACAAATATGTACATGTGGATCTACCCCATATGGGGGAATAATTCCAGTGCTTCTGCTAGCTGAGAGCTAGCAGAGCAGTCCTAGCTAAAAGCTGGTCAAACAAAGAAGGAAGTGAAAAAGAGAGACTTGTCCTTTTGTGACCTGGACAGGTTAGGTCACGCCCACCTTCTATCACATGCAAAGGAAGGATGCTCTAACCAGGAGGAACAGGAAGTTTCGACTGGCTGGACCAAGCATTCCCTCACATGTCTTCTCTAGCATTAAAAGGAATGTTGTACTTGACTGCTCCCAGTGGATTACACCCCACATTTGCCTACAGGAATACATTGGGCTTGTAGCTCAGGGACAGAACACTTGCTTTGCATGCAGAAGGTCTCTGCTTCAGTCCCCAGCATCTTCCGGAAGGGCTGGGAGAGAGCCCTGCCTTCTCTGAGTTTATCTCCATTCTGGGTGACATTTGTGGATCTACATCAGGGGAGGAGGAACCTCCAGTTTTGTAAACAGCTTAAAGGTTTTCCTAGTCAGTTTTGTTAAACATAGAGAGAAAAATAAATGTTCCTTTCCACGTCGCGTTCAGTGAAAATGGGTGGCAAATCATTTCTTTGAAGTGGTGTTTTAAGTGCAAAAGGAAGTACTAAAGTTGCCTACTTGGCTCCACTAGATGACAGTATAATGTAACAGGAAACAGTTGCAAGTTGAAAACTACAGCAGTGTGCAAATGGCCCCTCAAAATTCTCCACCCAAATTTTGCTTTTAACATGATTTGCAATCTGGATTTAGAATAGAAATCTTGTTGGAAGACTAGATGTATTCTCTCTAGCCCGTAAATCTCAACCCATTATCTTACTGTTTATGTTCATTACATTTGTATCTTAAAATGCGTAAGAATGAATAGCTTTTTTAAAAATCCTTGCAGGAAAGCTGGTGTATGAAAGAATCTTCTCCATGTGCACAGATAATCGCAGCTCCTTACCAGGTAACACTATTGCTGTGCTACTTACTTGCAGATTTAGTGTTGTGCCCAGCTAAATTTTACTCAGAGTAGAGTAGACCCATTGGAATTGGCCATATCCACTAATTCAGGTGGGTTTACGTTGAATAAAACATAACTGGCTACAACCCTTAGGTTATAATCACAGGCATATTTGTTACAGTTGAACCCCGTGAAATTTATATTTTATTGTGGTTTTATATTTGTTGCAGACCGCTTAGATGTTTTCTGTATGAGTTAGCAATATATACATACTTTTTAAAAAATAAACTAAACATACAGACTTTGGGCTCAGACTTTTAAATTCAGTATTGTTGAAAATTACACAATATGAACACGTCTATCTATTATGGATTACTGCAATGTGTTGTTTGTGGGGCTGCCCTGGAAGACTGTTTAGCAACTGCAGCTGATGCAGAATTCGACAAAAGCCGAATGTTGAGCAGAGCCAGATGGTCTGAATTCTGGCCCAGTAGTGCTTGCTGGCATTTAATTTTCTGAACCCAATTGAAAGTCATGGTTTTAACCTTATAAAGCCACGGTTTGGGACCCTGTTACCTTGGAGAATGCATTTTCCCATTATTTGCCAACCAAAATAACCAGAGGCCCTTCACTGCGTTTCCTCACTGGCAGAATGCGGCAACAACAGAACATGTCTTTTCAGTACTGGCCCTGTCTGTGGAATTCTTTCTCCAGCGTGCCTTGCCTGGCACTGACAGTGACACCTTTTTGGTGCCAGGTTGAAGCCATTTTGCCCAGACATTTGAATATTAGCTTCTCCTGCAGCAGCTGATATTTTTTATCTGAGTAATCCTTTGGTGATCATGCTTAAAGCTGAGGGGAAGAAGTGAATTGGCTTTTAGGGTCTGCTTACTTTCAGTGTAACTTATACTGGTTTTGTTTGTTTTTATTCTGTACTGGTGTGTGCGTGCAGGAGGTTGTCTGTGCATGAGAGGTGTGTTTCATAGAATTGTAGAGTCGAAAGGGACCCTGAGGGCCATCTAGTCTAACCCCCTGCAAAGCACATTTGCACACATGTATGCTTGTACAAGTAGTGGATGTCTCTGATCTCCTATGGTATGTGTGTGTCTTGAGAGAAGGGCCATATCTAGGTGGTAGATCAAATACTTTGTCCCAGATTCAATCCCTTCCTGGTACGGCTGAAAAAGACTCCCGTGTGAGACCTTCAAGAGATGGACCAGTGGAACGATTTGCTATAATGCAGCTGCCTTTTCTTTCTTTTAGATGCATGTAAGTGTGTGTGTGTGTACACACACACACACACACACACACGATGCAATGCGTGTTCCTGTTTCATTTGGTATGCTCCCTTTTTTTGAGGCTAGATCGTCCTCCACCCAAAGCCTGTATAAAAAGGACGACCAAACAGTAAGAATAATAAAAACACCGGAGCCTTGAAATCCTTACAGCAATCACGCTGGCATGAGAGACTCTGGCGCAGTGTGTGTAAACAGGCACAATTTCCTGTGTGGAGCCTCTATGCCTTGAGCAGCTGTGTGCAAAGCAAGAACATGCTCATTGGTATTTTGTTCTCATTCTTTCCATTCCAATAAAAGAAAAAAACTTCTGATTTAGCACCGGAGCCCCCCTGCCTGCAGGAAACCGAGGCTGCAGCTGAAGACTGTGCTTACCCAGATGTACCTAAGCAGGGAAAGGAGAGGGGATCATTGCAGGGGTTTCGAAAGGACACACTTTGTCTCTGATAATGAAACCGGTGCTTTATGGCCGTGCCAATGAGGCTAGCCTGGCTTCGAAATCAGTGCAATATAATACGTTGTTATATTTTGTGGATAAGGTTGATTCTGGTGCGTGTGTGCCATTTTCTGTACCTCTTTTGCAAGAAGCCGGTTTTAAATCTTGTTTTTACATTCCTAATCCAAGTCTCTTTCTTGCTCCGTCTCTTCCAACAGCTGCTGCTCACTGTCTTGTCCTTAACTGCCTTGGCAGTTAGGGCATGCTTGAACTTAAGGACTCCGGGTCCCCATCGTGCTTCGTTACGTAAAAGTCCTCAAGCGCTTAGGGGTGGGCTGTTGCCAAATGGGAGAGAATTGCAGTCTCTCTCTCTCTCTCCCCCACCCTCTTGAGTTTCTGCATAGGCTCGACGTTTTTGAGGAGAGAACAGCACAGCAGCAGAATAATAAGCGGCAGTCCCTGCTCCAGTTCAGTTGAACGGGAACTTCTGCCGCTTCTGCTTTGTTCTGTGGCGGAAAGGTGCTCGGAACGCAGAGATCCCCCACCGCCCCATATCAAATCACTTTGACCCACTTTGCTTCCATTGGATGAGGCCCGATTTGCTCATTTGTTAGCACAAGGTGTGTCAGCAAAAGCACCTTCTCGAAAGAAGCTCCTCCATCCCAGGCACCTGATGGCCCAAAAATGGGTCAATCAGATCGTGAAAAGACTGGTGGTGTGTCTTGCTGTTGCATAGGGAGCTGGCTTTATGCAAGGCCAGGCTGTTTATCCCTCTTTCCCAGTATTGCCTTTTTGGATTGGCAGTGTCTGTCCAGATCTTCACATGGTTCTTCCCTTGCTTCCAGCTCTGCTACATGTTTTGTTGTTTCTTGCCCGGGAGGGAAGCCGGTATAGAGCTTTAATAAAGTATCATAACTGGAAGATGCCAGGAATAAAATATGGGACTTTCCCCATGCAAAATGTGTGCTGATCATTACCATTGGTCAGGCCATTGGTCCATCTTGCTCAGTATTGACTATGCCAACTTGGCAATGAATCATAGAATTGTAGAGTTGGAAGGGACCCCGGGGGTCATCCAGTCCAACCCCCTCCAATGCAGGAATCTCAACACGCGGTTGCCAATCCAATTTGAAACCGTAGTGGCTCCAGGGTTGGAGGCTGGGGTCTCTCTCATCCTAGCTGGAGGTGTCGTGAATGGAACGTGGCACTTCTTTCGTTCTAAGCAGGCATTTCACCGCAGTCCGCCCACTAAACATACTGGCTGTGGTAGGATTTGAACCCATGCTGCCAAAGAGACTGGAGCCAGAATCCAGCACCTTAGACTGCTTGAGCACATTACCAAATTAAAATATATCTTGGTAGCTGTGGGATTTGAAATGCCTGGAGCCTAAATCCAGCTCCATAGACAACTTGAGCACAGCTGCCGCTCAATTTACTCTCAGCGGTGGAATTCAAACCCATGCCTTTGACGAAGCTACAGCCTTTATCTGTGCTTAAAACTATGGAACTTCTTTCCATAAGATGTGGTGATATCCATCAACTTAGGGAGCTTGTCCTTCTTTTGGGCTTACCAGAGACTTCTTGCTGAGCACTTTTGAGAAGCAGGATGGTGAATTAGATGAAAGGTCTTTGGCTTGAGCCTTCCTATATTCTTAGCGATGGTATCTTTGCAATTTCCTGAACTAATAACTGATGTTCCTAATAGTGGATCCCAGTCTGAATAGTTAACGAAATATTGCTTTTGAAATAGCATAAGGGGCCGGTTTATCCTTAAAACAACATTGTAAGGCAGGCTAGGCCAAGAGAGAGAAGAATAAGGAATTGTCCCAAGGTCTCCCAGTGAGTTTCTGGTGAAGTGGTGATTTTAACCTAGGTCTTCCCAGTCTAAGGCTTCAATCTTAACTCTTAGATCAGAGCAGCAGGACTGAGTAGAGTAGTGGAGCTCCTGCTCCGTCCACATTGCTGCTGCTGAAGCGGGGGTGACAGCACAGTAGCATTGGAAGTGCCGCAGCAGAGATTGGCTCTTTCCTGCTGTATCTTTAATTTTATATAGCTACCCCTTCTATGTACAAGGCCTGATGTAAGAAAGGCAAAACCTCTCTTATTTCTTTCTCATATTATACACTTGTTTTTGTCCCACGGGATTTATTTTCTTCTGGGCTCCGTCTATGTTGTTGAAGTGACATTGCTAACAAGCAGAATGACTGGTTTTCATGGTACAACACAGAGGCCTAGATTGTGCCCAAGTATCCCCTCCTATCCCAGCCACCCCCCCCAAAAAAATCCCCGTTACAGAGATTTATGTTGGCTGCTGTTGGCAGGGATACCACTGGCAGTAGCTTCTGCCCATGCATTTTGTGGATACGATGGGAACGTCACAGTATCTTATCCCCCTGCAACGTGGCAGATCAAGGATTAGGATTGATCTGCATAGTAACCGGTGCTCTAGTTTTACTCTGTTTTCACTTGGTTCTGATTGGCTGTTTTATTATTTTATTTTCTTCCCACTCCGAGAATTTTTAGGATTGTATAAAAATAGGTAAATATATCTGTAGGATACGAATAATGTCCGGCACTGAGAACCCCACACTTGAAATTCTTACTATACTGCGAGAGAGCCCTGTCTGGCATATAAAGTCCTAATTCCCAAGTTCAGCAAGGCAAAAATTTAAGCAGACAGCAAATTCTAAATATTGACGGTTACGTAACTGTTCCTTCTGCAGTGTCATATTGGTTTTATCTTGGATTCGTGGGCAGCAAAGTAAGGCTTGGAGCAGTTAAGTCTCTGCAAATTTTTGTACGCTGATGACCTAACATGCTTCAGGCCCGTAATGCCTGTTAGCTTCCAAGGCCCACTTTCCCCTGCCTGCATTTTTAAACAATCTCTGTGGAGAAAATGTGAATAAACATTGTGAATGCGGCAAAGGCAGGAATGGTAGTTGCCCCAGTTATAATGTAATCCCATGCATGCTTTCTCAGAGTTAAATCTTATTCAGGGGCCTTTATTCCTAGGTAGGTAACTATGGACATGACATACCGTACTTGTTCTTTGTATATCACTATGTACCTCAGGATTGGGGAACCTTTTGGGGGCCAAGGGCCGCATGCCTTATTGGGGGCCGCATGCCAGGGGTTGGCAGGGTCAGAAGCAGTAGTGGGTGGAGCAGCAAATACAAATATCACCTATTGTACAATGGGCTAGATCCTAAACACCCACCCACCCACCTCTTGTTTTTAAAGGACTTATAGAGCATGGGAGACCTGGGCTCATTCATCCACAAAGCTCACTGGGTGACTTTAGACCAGTCGCTATCTTTTTTTGCAGAATTATTTTTCATACAGGACAGCAGAGGAGTATTTCCGGCCCAGTATGCAACAGTTTTGAAAAATAATAATGAACAATTCAAATGTCTGAGGAATTATCATATTGTGTTTATGATGCGTTGTTGGTGTTTCTGTTTGGTGCGCGTAAATAAATGTTGTTCTCAGTTAATTAAAAAAGAAGTTGAACCCCTAGTTCAGCTGAAGAGAATTTTGAATCAGCTGATTGGTGCTGGAAGCTGATCACAGGGAGCCCTTTCGAAGTCTGTTTGCAAGAGGAAAATGCTCTGTTTGCAGGAGGTGACTTGGATTCTAATGGCTTCTTTCAAAACGGAGCTTGGTTGGAGATTGAAGCAAGCCGCTTTAAAAGCACACTCCCAGCACCAGTGGGGCTCTCCATCAATGGCAAACGCCTGGATGTTCCTTTGTAGCCACATCTGCACATGTGACGTCAGGTGTGTGGCAGGTGGCCGTGGTTTGTGGGGAGAGGCCTGGTGGGTCAATTTGGGATCTGTACCAGGTCTAACGTAGCTCATCAACCACAGAGGTTCTCCACTACTGCCCAGCTCTATATGGCAGACAGTTGTCCAGATGACCTGAAATAATTTGATTGGACTGTCGGTTGTTGCATTCATAGCCTGCTTTTGGCCCTTAGAGACAAAAAATAGGCCTTCCCTCGGTTCCAACAGGGCTCTTCTGGTGTGTGATTTTTCCAATCAGTACTCTTGAGTGCCATTCCCCCCGCCCCCGAACTATGCGAATTAAATCACTGCTAATTTTATTCAGAAACGTAATAAGGAAGCAGGTTCTTAGTTTTTAATCTTCTTTTTGTCTTGTTTTATCAGATAATTTTACTCCTGAAAGTGTGGTTGATACTGCCAAAGAAACCTGTTTAAACTGGTTCTTCAAGATTGCTTCCATTCGAGAGCTCATTCCCAGATTGTATCCTTTTCCGAAGGAGACTTTAAGATGATGAAAACGTTATCTGGTTTATGCTTGAATTTCTTTAAAAAATAAATCATAGTGTTGCCTTAGGTTTCTCCACATGGAAAAAAAAAAGGAGTATCAAAGGACCCCTTGTAGGTATTGTCCAGGGTGCCAGCAGAGTTCACAGTTGAGTGTTGAAATGGAGACTAGATTTTCCCTATGGCTAAGGCTTACTTTTTTTAAAAAATGCAGTGGTTATCTTTTCAACAAGAAAGCAAGTTTAAAATTTACGTGTCACATATAACTTACATAAGAAATAGCGAGCTCTTTATCCCACGAGAATGATATGATTATTATCAGTGACTTTCTTAAGCTGTTGTGTGCGATTTTTACTCTTTATTTTGAAGTAAAAGTAAGTTGAAAAGACTGAGCCAACTTAAACTTCTACTCAAACTAGATCCAATGAAATAAGCAGGGCTGGGGGAATCACGCCCATTCATTTCAGCAGCTCTACTCTTGATTAGGAATAGCATTGGGAATGGCCCCGTGAGCTGATTTGAAGTAGTGGTTAGAGAGTTGGGCTAAGCTGGGGAGACCTGGCTTCAAGTCCCTCCTCAGCCACAAAGCTCACAGAGTGACCGGCCCAAGGTCACCCTCTCTCAGCCATAGCAGTGGCGCATGCCCTCTGCAGACCTCCATACCCAGAATGCATTGGTCTGAGAAGGGTCTTCTTGGGCGCAGAGGCAGGGAAGAGGCGGCAGTGATGGTTTCAGTGGGTGGTGGAGAAACCATCAGCATTGCGACTGTTAATGTAGCAGGCAGAAAAAGATGAGGAGGGATGGGTGTATTGGGGTGAAAGAGAAGGATGGGGGGGGGCTATGGGAGGAAGGGGAAGAATGGGGTTGGGCCGTGGCAGAGCTGCCACCCATCTCAAGTAGTGCAATTCCCTTTCTGATGCTAGCTCACTGTAAGTGTCCCTGGGGTCCTTTACCTGTCTCCTTAACCCAGCCCCCAGGTAAGCTGAATCAGATGGGTCTCTAGATGCTCTGGCCGCACTACTGGGACTAGATCCGCTCTAAAATATCCCCAAGTCAATAGCTGACTTCGCAGAGCCGTAAGACACTTTATTGTGAAGGAAGGTCTCAGACTGGGGTATGGCGTTAACAGCTTCCAGTCTCTGCCTAGCTGACTCCCCCAAGAGGGGCTGGTGGCACAGTGGGTTAGTGCATCTGGCTGTTAACCAGAAGGTTGGTGGCTCGAGCCCACCCAGGGATGGCTGTGGGCAGGATTCCTGCACTGCAGTGGGGTTGGACTAAATGGCTCTTCCAACTATACAACTCTGTGATTCTATGACCAGCATAGGGACGTGGGTGGCGCTGTGGGTTAAACCAGAGAGCCTAGGGCTTGTTGATCAGAAGGTCGGCGGTTTGAATCCCTGTGATGGGGTGAGCTCCCGTTGCTCGGTCCCTGCTCCTGCCCACCTAGCAGTTCAAAAGCACATCAAAGTGCAAGTAGATAAATAGGTACCGTTCCGGCAGGAAGGTAAACAGCGTTTCCGTGCGCTGCTCTGGTTTGCCAGAAGCGACTTAGTCATGCTGGCCACATGACCCGGAAGCTGTACGCCGGCCCCCTCGGCCAATAAAGCGAGATGAGCGCCGCAACCCCAGAGTCGGCCACAACTGGACCTAATGGTCAGGGGTCCCTTTACCTTTATGACCAGCATATGGCATTGTAGTCCGGCTAAGAGAACCAAGGTAGCAATATCAGTGTGGCAAGTATAGGTTATTTAGAATTTCCTTGGCTCATAATACTGCAAAAAAATCTTTTTAAAGTTTATTAATCCAAGAGAATGAATATAGCTCTGCAGTCAATGAAAGAAACATCAGATGTTAGTTGTACTGTAGCTCCTAAGACGTTATTTCCCTAGATAATAGATAATGTGTCACCTGAACCTGTGGCCAAATTTAACGATGATTGATTGAAACAAGCTAACTTCAAACCATAGTTTTAAGAAGCTGATTTGTCGAAGCAAGCTATAATTAAGACGAATCGCTGTTTATAGTTCAGAGGCAACTTTGTTCTTTGTTCTTCTCTGTCCATCACAGTAGAGGAGGAAAGGGGAGTTCAAAGCTCTCTGAAGTTTGCCTATGTTAAACCATGGTTTAGTTTTACACAGGGTCTCTGTGCCTTGGATAATCCCAATGACTTTACTGTTTTGAACTTTCCCCCTTGACACTTTATTCCAGTTATGTGGAAGCAGCAATACTGAAGTGCAACAAATTTCTTTCCAAAACGTAAGGCTAATAATATTTTGTGAATATTTGATAAATGTAGGGGGGTATGGAAATTAATTATGTCCCAGAGATTTTTCTATCTTCTGCCAATGACTTGATTGAACACTGGTGGTGTCTTTTGAATTAAAAGTAGAAAAAAGATTCCTGGGATATGAAGGCTATGTCGGATGTTGGCCTTGGGCATGTCTGGTGGGATTTCTGACTCCTTCTCCCCCTCCCTGCCATTTCAACACAGGATGCCCAAGCCATAACACAAGCTGCTGTTGTAAGCTATCTCCATTTCAAAAACAGTTTGCCAGCCCGTATTGTTATATTTTAGTCTTGGGCTTTGGATTTTTGTTTTCTACAGTGGCCTTTGGATAAACTCACGGCAATATTTTACTGTCCCCTTTTGCCGAGTATTTGATGTTATCCTTGGCCAACTGAAATCACGAGTTAAATAAATTGCAGCCTTTTAAGTCGCCAAGAAGTGAAATGGTACCTGAGTGTGAAGCTAATCATAAAAACCCCCTACTTTCTCAAATCTTCTTTACAGAGGAATTTCTGAATGTCTCCCACGGCTGACCTCCATGATCCGAGGAATAGGAGATCCTTTGGTTGCTGTCTATGCTAGGGCTTATCTCTGCAGAGTAAGATTTTCTTCTTTAAAATGCAGTTTTGTTGGTTCCGTGAAAAGGAGATTCGACTAGTTTGTGTCATTTGTTTGCTTTAGTTCTTAAAATATTTACAAACCGCCCTCATAAGGTAGCATGCAAAATAACTGAACAATTAAGTGTGACACTATGCAAACAATTATAATGTTTAAAGTGCACATTATATCCCTTAAATTGAGCATTAAAATTTCATTAAGATACAATAATTAAGAAAAAGCAGGTTTGAAATAAAAAGGTATTGTGAGTCCTTTTTAAATCACTAGTAATGGGGCCATTCATTCTTCCTGGGGGAGAATAGTCCATTGATATGGGGTCACCACTGAAAAGGCCCTGTCCATAATACCAATCGACCTAGTATCTCTTATTGACAGACTAGAGATGACCTTGGAGGGTTGATCTTAGATAATCTGGAAGACTCAGCAGAATGTCTCCAGACCAACCAGTTTTGTTGCAGTTTTCTGTAGACTAGGAAATAGCCAATTTCCTATTTCTAGGAAATATTACACTGGCTATATATTTCATTCTTCTGCTTTCTTACAGTGCACTCACCTTGCACCATATGATACTTCCTTGTCTGAATACTCATCTAATTTTCCTTGTGTGCCATTTTTAAGTGGATCCCCCTACTCCCATATCTTGCAATAGGTATATGAATATACATGATTGTGTTGCAGCAGAAGAGACAAAGACTAGGCTTAATTTATGTGGCTCTTTGAATGTAGGTTGGGATGGAAGTAGCTCCTCATCTGAAAGAGAACCTCAACAAGAACTTTTTTGACTTCCTCCTGACTTTTAAGCAAGTAAGTAAGAGATTCTGTAAACATTGGGAGTGTTTTTCGTGTGCGTTTGCTCACTTAGCCCAGATGTGGACAGGATATGGCTTGCAAGCTGGAACCTTGCTTCCCTCACCCTGCTGTGGGCCAACTTTAACGGATGGACAGGGCTGCCCTCTTGTCAGTCACATGACATCATTTTGACATCAGTTGACAACTTGAAAAGGGTTCACTGAGCCTCTTCAAGAACCTGCGTGTGAAGGAACAATTGGGAAACGCACTTTCAGCTCCCAGTAGTTCCTTTGTAGCAGCATCGTTACCTACCCACGCCTGTTTTCACATAGGACATCACGTGTGGGACAGGTGGGTGTGATTTAGTGAAAGCAGCTGGGTAGGAGATTGAGAAGCAAGTAATCTAGTGTTGTGTGACCTGGGAGTTTTCATAGCTGTTTGGTTTTGGGATATTACCCATTCAGAAAGCATTTCTGCTAATTTCCACTAATTCCCCTCCCCTTAAGCCACCCCAAACACTGGGTTAGAATGGGTGCAGGTGGCTGTAGTAGCTTATTATTATTATTATTATTATTATTATTATTATTATTATTTATTTCTACCCCGCCCATCTGGCTGGGTTGCCCCAGCCACTCTGGGTGGCTCCCAACAGAATATTAAAAACCCAATAAAACATCAAACATTAAAAACGTCCCTACAACAGGGCTGCCTTCAGATGTCTTATAAAAGTCAGATAGTTGTTTATTTCCTTGACATCTGATGGGAGGGCGTTCCACAGTGTGGGTGTCACTACTGAGAAGCCCCTCTGCCTGGTTTCCTGTAACGTTACTTCTCGCAGTGAGGGAACCGCCAGAAGACCCTGTGAGCTGGACCTCAGTGTCCGAGCTGAACGTTGGGGGTGGAGACGCTCCTTCAGTGGCAGGATTGTGTGTGTGTGTGTGTGTGTGTGTGTGTGAGAGAGAGAGAGAGAGAGAGAGAGAGAGTAAAAATCAGGTGTCCCAACATGCACAAGTGAAAGCAATTTCTGTTAAAACAATCCCATCACTGGATGCAATCCTGGGGTTCCACAATTTCCCTTGAAGTCAGTGTTGAATGTTTTGACTCCTTAATGAATGCACAATATTATTTTTTCCTAGCCCCATCATGATTTATATTTTATATTTTTAACAGATTCATGGAGATACAGTTCAGAATCAGTTGGTGGTGCAGTGTGTAGAGATCCCATCATATCTAACCCTTTATTCTCCTGCAATAGATTGGATTCTACAGTGCATCTCTTATCGGGCTGCAGAGGTAAAGATCTCTCTTTGACTGTGGAAAGATTTTAACGTTTAACTGGAACAGAGGCCTAGTACAGCATTTGAACTTTGTATAAATGGAAAATGCTCTGATATCTGAATCTGTTGCTTCTTCCGTGTCAGTCCAAGAAAGTGGAACTAAATCAGTGAAGTTTTCAGGTTACATAGGTGGCACCATTAGCAGGTAGAGTTCTAGTGCTGTGAATAATATAAATTGATCTGGCTTGTTCTATTCTTAGAGCTAGCTATCATCTACCACCCATGAATGTGCAGGCAAAACTTTGTTAATGCTGTTGTTAATTAGAAAGAGCCACTAAATGTAAAATTGAAATGTGGCTTAAGAGGCACATGAGTTTGTAGAATTGTTTTTAAAGTGAGAGGTCTTTGAAGAATCATTTCAAAGCACCTGGAGGCTGAATGTGATAGTTCCGCACATGAGTGCAAGATAAGCGCCAGCTTTGACAACAAGGCTTATAAATGTTAATGGAAAATTTGTAACTTCTGAGTTCCGATGCATTTCTAGAATTTGAGGCTGCTGCTCTGCAAAATAGTGTCTGTTCCCACAAATCAGCGGCCTGACCTGGATGATCTAGTTACTGATAATTTAGCAAAGACAGACCATTGACTGTTGAACTGAAGAATGTTGGAACAATCCTTCCTGTGCCAAATTTGCAAATTTGACAAAGAAAAATGCACACAAACACACATAAATGCAAAAGAAACATTATAATAATACTGTAATAATAATAATAATACCCCAGTCAGCAAACATTAAGGATGCAGTAAACATCAGTTAAATATATAAATTAATATAAACTCTCTAGTTGTCCAATAGGCATCCACACAAAATTGGCATCCAGCTTAGAGGGTGATATATATTTATAGACTCTCCTTTCCCCAGCGTTTAAAGAGGATTTGGACAAAGGTTACATCCACATCATATAGGTAAAAAAACCCAACCCTCTTATACAGTCACGGACAATCCTGGGAACTGTAGTTTATTAAGGGTGCTGGGAATTGTAGCTCTGTGAGGTGAAAACCCTTAACAGACTACAGTGCCCAGGATTCTTTTGAGGGAAGCCACAACTGTTAAAAGTGGTAGAATTATACTTTAAATATATGGTATGGATGTGACCTTAATCTCATTGACTTCAGCAGAAAGTAGTGTGCTCAGGATTGGAACATAAGCAGCTACAGAAATAAACCAACATTCTTACAACGGCGTACTTATTAGTGGAAGGGCCCTGGCTCAGTGGTAGAGCATCTGCATTCAGAAGTTCCTGGCATCTCCACGTAGGGCTGGGAATGTCCCCAATCCGAAATCCTGTAGAGCTGCTGCCAGTCAGTGCAGGATTTCAGCTCAATAATCTTAACACAGAACCTCTACTAAACCAGTAGTCATAATGCATCATTTGTGATGTTTTTTTTGTTTTTTTTTACAGCTCAGCATGTTCTCTGGCAGAAACCAAGGAAACTTGTTATCCTACTTTTTGATCTTGCCAGTGTTGTTCTTCGCACTACTTTCTCACCTTGGTCATGCAAATTACACTTCCTTTTATTTTTAAACTCCTATCAGCATAACGGTTATAACTTTTCTCAAAACAGTCTTAAGCAAGAATTCAGTTCCTCGTGAGCTTTTACGCCATGTGCCAATGTTAAAAAACAACAAGCCAGTGGCAACGCAGCCATGTGGAAATACGAAATCTTTCACAAACTTAGACTTTGCCTCTTTGTTTTTTCACCACATCTCCCTCCCGCCTTAAATCAGATGCTTTGCAAAGAAACCTCTTTTCTTCTTCTTCCCACTTCAAAAGAATAGGACCATGGCTACTGGGAGACCATCCTTTTGTTAAGCTGATAGCAAGGGGTGATCGATTTGATGTTCCCTGAATGGGAGCGGACAACTGGAAATCTCTGTCCTCTGTCTTTTGGAAGGCAGATGCCCTTTAGCTAATGAGAGGGGTAGGGTAACTATGTGTGCCAGAATGAAATCAGTTTCTGGATGGATAGTCAGGGAGAGCTGTGATTTAGGAACATGGGAAGCTGCCTGACACTGGTGTATGGCAGCAGGGTGGGTGGCTGCTGTCCGTTGATATGGTGGGGCGGGTGGAGGATGGAAGGCAAGGAGACCAACACTAGGTGGAGCCAGAGGCAATAATAGACAAGGATGGAGCAATGATAAAGGTAAAGGGACCGACTCTGGGGTTGCGGCGCTCATCTCGCTTTACTGGCCGAGGGAGCCGGCGTACAGCTTCTGGATCATGTGGCCAGCATGACTAAGCCACTTCTGGCGAACCAGAGCAGCGCACAGAAATGTCGTTTATCTTCCCGCCGGAGCAGTACCTATTTATCTACTTGCACGTTGACGTGCTTTCGAATTGCTAGGTTGGCAGGAGCAGGGACCGAGCAACGGGAGCTCACCCCGTTGCGGGGATTCGAACCACCAACCTTCTGATCAGCAAGTCCTAGGCTCTGTGGTTTAACCCACAGCGTCCCCCGCGTCCCCCTGGAGCATTGATAGGTGGAGCCAAATAATTGATTTCGTCTCTGTCCTCCTAAAAATCAGGAAAATTCTCTTAAGAGTCATGCTTTGGATTAAAATGTTATAGGTTTGAGAGAGTTCTTTTAGTCTGTTAAGTAGCAAAGGGTCATCAATGCAGACCACAAAATGATGCTATCTGGACCTGGGACCTGTGCAGCTGAACTCTTATAGGTTCTTCCACACAACCAGGGATCCTCATCATGTTGGGCTGCTTATTAGAAGCCTGTGTATGTTCATCTGGTCAGCCAGATTGAATGTAGTTTCCCTCTTCAGAGTTTTTGTTCAATATTCAAAGGCCTAATGGTGCCCACTAACTTAGATGGCAGTGGGCCAGGGTAACATCCATATAGAGGTAGTGCTATCATGTGATCTGACCTGGAGCAAATATGCTTACTTGCTTCATGTTCAAAAACAAAATGGCTGAGAGATTTGGAAGCAGAATCTCCCACAAAGGAAATATTGGCAAACTGCACCTCCTTCACTTTCCCATTGCAGGGTCACAGTTGGATATGTCTGCGTCATTTGAAGTTTCGGTAATGAAAGATATGGTTGAGTGGGGGTTTTTTTAATGTTCTGATAATGACTGTTTTGGTTGGATGCTTAGTATTTCATTCTCATGAACTCATCTTTGGTAGGTTTTGCTGACGGAAATGATGGAAAGGTGTAAGAAGCTAGGCAACAAGTAAGTAGTGTGCTTGCAAGGCTTTTTGGGGGGAACTCTGAAGGGCCCTGATCCTTACTTATATCTGCAGGAGCCCTACTGGAAGGGGCTTCATTCTGGAGCCCAGTGGAGGTGGGGGGGAAGACTTGCTCCTTGTCCCACAATGGAGGCGGAACAAGTTTATTCAAAACATTCCCTTTTCTTTCTCCATTGGTAGCTGAATGCTGCTATTGAGTCCTATGGGGGTGGGGTTAGGGAAGTCCTCTACGTGGGAAAAAGTGTGGATGCGTTTATATAAAAACCTGTCATGGAAGATCAAGTTGATGGACTATGTTGAAATGGCAAAAATGACCAGAAGAATCAGAAATCTTAGTAACCTATCTTAATAACCATTGTAAACAGCTAAAAATGTTAGTGGGATTAGAATAACACTTGTAGTTTAATGGTGAATTTTGGACTTAATGGAGATGTAAAAGATTTGGATTATTATAAAATATGCAGGAGAAAAGGACTGGCAAGGAGATTCCTTGTTGATATGTTATTGTAAAATTTTAATTTGAAAAACTCAAATTTACAAACACACACACACACACACACGGGTCAACAAACTCTGTCTGTGGTCAACCTCCTTCAGCTGGGACCTTTTGAAGGATTTGCCTTCTGTGAACATTTGTGAATGTTACAAAGGTGCCTTTGTGTTACTCTATTTGTCAGTCTTTCCCAGCCGTGCCTACTCTGATGGGCAGAAGCTCACAAGGTTCCAAAAAACATCTTCCTCAGATCTCCTTTAGTGGGCGCTTGTTTATTCATTTGTTACACTCACTTGTCACTTACTGGGGGGGGGGATGTCTCAAAACAACAGGCCATTATTATTATTTTTTAAAAGCATACAGTACTGAATCTTAAATGCATCAGAAGATAAAAAATATTAACGAAAAGGGCTCATCCTGCTATAGCATAACAAGGACATGTTCCATCCCCATCCAAAAGATGAGCACCAGTTAAGGGCAAAATGCATAGGTGAATAGGAACGTGTTCACCTGGCACCTAATGGTAGTGTCCAGATCTCCAGCAAACAGCTCAGAGCCTTGAACCCGTTTCAGCTCCTTGGCTGGTATCTCATCAGCTTCCATCTCTGTGTCTGGATAGTTGCCCGAGTCAGAGGTCATGACGGCACCTAGCTGCTGTGTATACAATGTCTTAAAAACCAAATGAAGCCCCCAATACAAGCACTTTTCATTTAAAGAAAAGGACCGGAAAGGGACAGGAAACTCAGGACCCACTGCCTACCAGCCAGGTTTAACTTTCTCTGAAAAGGAACTAGCAAAGTGTCTGTGGCCACACTGACATAGATTTTTTTAAAATAAAAAGGAGCCAGCTCGGATCATGAAGTGGGAAGAGGCAAGGCAGTACAGTGGTACCTCAGGTTACATACGCTTCAGGTTACATACGCTTCAGGTTACATACGCTTCAGGTTACAGACTCCGCTAACCCAGAAATAGTGCTTCAGGTTAAGAATTTTGCTTCAGGATGAGAACAGAAATCGTGCTCTACGGTGCAGCGGCAGCAGGAGGCCCCATTAGCTAAAGTGGTGCTTCAGGTTAAGAACAGTTTCAGGTTAAGTATGGATCTCCGGAACGAATTAAGTTCTTAACCTGAGGTACCACTGTATCTGGAAAGGAGGCAACAGAACAAGACTTCTGCTGAGATCTATTGTGGAAGTGTTCTTATCCCTACTTTCCCTCCCAATCTTTACTGCTTTTATGCATGGGAGGGAAATAATAGTCATAGGATGCCGTGAATTCTCCTTGTGCAATTATTGGTTGATTTGTGCAACAATCCTGCTAGTCTGGGTGTGCCCTAAGGTAAAGAATAAAATTAAAGTCCTTTTCCTTTTCTTTTATATCTTGTCTTAATCTGGATGTTTCTTCTAGCGCCTTGCTGTTGAATTCAGTCATGTCCGCCTTCAGAGCCGAATTTATTGCTGCCAGGTCTATGGATTTTATTGGCATGATTAAGGAGTGTGACGAATCTGGCTTCCCCAAGGTAACGTTCCTCCCCTCCCCTCTTGCTGTGCGCCTTCTCCGCTTATGTCAGTGTCATGCTTTATAGTTGCCGGGATAACTTTGCAATAGATAAATATTTTTGTATGACACTTAATTGCTGCCAGATATCACGGAAATGGTGTGGTTTTGCCATGAGGTCCGAGTCTGTGGCCCTCCAGATCATCTAATAATTTATGAAAGTTGGCCATATTTGTTGTGGTTGATGAGGGGAGCACAGATTTCCTTGCCCCTCGTCTAGGCTATAGTGCAAGGAGCACTTATTTGGTTCATACATCTGTTTAACACCCCTTTTCTTTTGCCAGTGGCTGTCTCTTGTCTTGGGAGCTAACTGATCTGCAGAAGAGGTGCAATATTTTAGTCAGTCTGTAGATTTAAACATATCTTGAGCAACTAAAATACTGTTTCTGATTAATTGTACAGCAGATAATAAAATCTGCAGGTGGCAAATGCCATCTTAGAAGCGGTACCGCCACTTCCTGCTCAAACAGGAGGAATGCCTCTCCTAAAAAATGCCTCTCCTAAAAAATGCTTCATCTAAAAAAGAAGGAACTGGGGGGGGGGTGCTTTTTGCCTTTGATGCAGAAGAATTGCCTTTGATGCAGAATTAATTTTTTTTAAAATCTCATAGGCTAAGTTTTGTCCCATTTATTTCAGTGCGACAAGTCAGCCGTGACTAAGTTCAACTAAGTGGCTGGATCCAACCGTAGGATTTCAGTTTTAGATTCCTGTAACCTCACCTGACTGTTGTTTAGTTGTGTCTCCATGCTTGTGTTCTCCTACTAAAGGACCGTTGCAGTTAAGGCACTGGGGATGATCTCGGTTTCCCCTACGTCTTTCTCTTCCCCACCCCAAAATCATTTTATAGCAAGCCGTGCTATGGTTAAATTGAATGGAAATCCCTAATGTGTGGGTGTGGGTGGCACCAGTGGTCCTCCAGATGTTGTTGAATTCCAGCTCCCATCATCCCCGGTCCGCAAGGATCACATTGGGTTCATCATCCCTGAACTAACAGATATGGTTGAATGGACACTCTCATATTTTCACAGCACCTTCTCTTTCGTTCTCTGGGGAGAAACTTGGCCTTAGCTGACCCTCCAGAAGGAGATCGACTTCAGATCTTAAATGAAGCCTGGAAGGTGATCACAAAGTTAAAGAGCCCACAGGTGGGTTGTTGGTAGCATATGAGTTGGGCACAGCTGTAGCCATGTACTGTTGTAATAAATATTTTGCAAGTCCTGCACGTTCCATCGTCGGAGTATTACCTGGCCTAGGAGCTCCCAAACTATGGACCACCAGTTGTCTGTGAGCTTTATTCCGGTCGTCCGTGGTGTTTCTGAAGAATAGTGGAAGCAGGAACTATGAATGGTGGGAGCAGCATATGAAATATAAGTATTGACTGTTGCTATTGTCGCTTTGCTGTATTTTGTTACTTATCCTAGATTATATTGTACTCTAAGGAATTCAAATTGTAATACAATGTGAGAAATAAGAGAAGGAATAAAAATGCAATTACAAATTGTACAACAACAAGCACAGTGCATTACAATTGTTACAACAGGCAGGAAAATTGCAAAGTGGACCTCCCAATTTTCAAGCAGTCCCTGTGTAAAAATGTTTGGGGACCACTGAACTAGCCAGATTCTCCTTCCAGTATTTCAATAATTTGTTTCAAGAACAGAGCAATATAAGAACTACATTTCAGATACATTAAAGTTTTTTTAAAAAAGAATTCAGCAAGCTGATTATTGTATCATTGGGGACTGATGTGTGTTTAGGATGGGGTGTGGAGCTTGCTTTGAAAGCTCTCTAAATACAATATGATAAGCTGCTTTGAAACCATAACATCCATTCATTGATTTTTAGGATTATATCAACTGTGCAGAAATCTGGGTGGAATACACCTGTAGACACTTCACGGTATGTGTAGATTTAAGAATGTATATGTTTTTGTTTTTAGAGTATTTGTATATCTTTCATGTATAAGGAGAGTACAGTCGTACCTCGGAAGTTGAACGGAATCTGTTCCGGATTCAACTCATTTCAACTTCTGAAATGTTCGGAAAGCGAGGTGTGGTTTCCAATTGGCTGCAGGAAGCTCCTGCAGCCAACCAGGAGCTGTGGAACCCACATCGGACGTTTGGGTTCCAAAGAACGTTCACAAACCAGTTTGCGGAATTCGGGAGCCAAAACGTTCGATTCACAAGACATTCGACTTCCGAGGTAAAACTGTAGTTTTAATTTTCACTTCCTTGGGACTTCCGGGTTGGCGCCATCGCCGAATGGCGGACTCCCTCCGAGCTCCGGAGGGAGCCTGCTCGGCAGGGGCTGGGTCTTACCGCGCCGGCGATGCGGGGACCCTTAAAAACCACGGGCACGGAGGCCGTGGACATGGGTGACTCGGCTGGCACCGTTAGCGCCCTCCCGACTCGTGAAGGAGCCTTTTTAAAGGCTACGGATCGGGTGCCGGGGAGTGGCGTGGTGCCTTGAGTCCTCTGCTTTCCCTGCCGAGCGAAGCCGCATGCCATCCGGCGGAGAGCGCTGACTTCTTCCATTGAAAATTCGGACTTTTAACAACAACTCGTGAGTAATTTGGAAACCGGGTTCAAAAGAAGAAAAAAATGAATTTTTTTTCGGATTTGGCACGAGCGGGGGGGGGGGATCCAAAAAGGAAGTCAGTCCCCCTCCCTACTGTAAACATTTTAAAACAAGGACTGGGTAACCAAGGTCTAGAAAGAAGCGTATTTCTGACAAAAACTAAGAATTTCACGATGGAAAACTACAAGAATTGTGCTGGAGGAGAAGAGTGGAGGGAGAAGGAAAACATAACCCCCCCCCTCGGAACCGGGGTGATTGGTGAGAGAGCCTGGTGAAAAGAGACGGAGACTTTGACAGCTGTCAAAGTCGGAAAATTTAAAGAGGACTCTGCTACGAGGACTTTGCTAGTTAATTTCGTTACAATTTGCTACGATTTGGATACAAAATGTCGAAAATATGGAACAACAATCGGACTTTTGGATCAGAGGAAACAAAGTTACAACAATCCCCCTAGAGGAGTTTCGGGACATTACAAAGATGGTCGTAAGTAGAAAAATACTCTCGGAATTGTACAGGACTTGTTATCTTCTGGGAAAGCTGCAAAACTGAAACAGTATTTTGTCTACAGGGGTGTTTACATTAAAGGAGACAATAGAATTTTCTATTGAAGAAAGGAAGGGACTGAACGTAAGTTTTTGTTCCTGAATAACAATAACCCCTGTAGAGCTACTAAATTTCTGAATTAGAACGTTTTAGCAGCGGAACAAGACAAGAAACTGGACTACAACATGGAAAGAACAATGGGGGGAGTTTTAAAGACCAAGGAACTAAAGGCCCTTTGGGGCCGTTTTTAGATTGGAGATTTGAAGTTAAACACCATAAAAATAACTTAAAAAAAAAAACTGGCAAGGAACTGGGGGAAAATCTGATTATGGATCTAAGATTTCCAGGCAGACAACAGACAGATTGGTGGACATGGGGAATTTAAACCGGGGAAGGGGGGGGGAATTAGAATCCAAAGGCTTGTAACTATTTTCTGAAATTTTTTTTATATATTTTTTATTTTTTATATCTTTACATAGTTTGGGAATTCGTGGAAGGAAAATGGGGTGGACCTTGGGGAGAGAATTTTTGTTTTTTATTTAAGGTAATGATGAGGACTGTATAAATTTAAATTTGAATATTGGGTTAAACAAATTAAGTTTTAAATTGGGAGTGAGAGCTTGTAGAACCAACGATATGAAAGGGGAATATGGTAGGGATGGGGGAGGGGGGAGTCCCAGAAAGTGGATAATGAAAGTAAGGCTTTAAATGTATTTTATTTTTGTTTTATTTTTACTTTCTGTATTCTGGAAATTTCAATAAATATGATTTAAAAAAAATAAAAAATAACTTTCACTTCCTTAAGACTCCTGTGATTTAACAAGAGAGTGTTATGAAACTTCTGGCATTAAAAGATGTTGAAGTTTATTATATTGAAGGTTGGACTAGATGATCCTCAGGGTCCAACTCTACAAGTCTATGATTCTATGATAAAGGGATCTTTTTCTTACTTAGTGCCGCACAGTGGAGCCCTTGTTTGTGTTGGAGTCAGAGATTCATGCGCACTCTCTCTAGATCTTTATGATCTAGCCATTTGGCTGTAGCCCAGTTCCTCTTTGTGATGCTGCTGGACACCGAGATAATTCTTAAGTGTGGTGCTAAGTGCTCATTTAGTGTCTCACTTCATATGATGCTGTAATGCTACCTTACGTAGCCCTTCCCTTTTTTATACCTGAGTAACAGGAGATGTAGACTGCACGGTTTTAGCAGACCATTGCAGCAGCACACAGAGTCCCCTCAAACAAACTCTTATCTCTGTGTACCTGCGTTTTGTTGGTGTTATGGATTATGGTTAAAGCTCAAATTAATTCTAGCTCATTGACCTTAGATAACAACAATTTCTCTGGATTCCAAAAGCATCCCAATACTTGGCCTAGCAGTATAAGACTAAGACTTCTAGTTGCTTAGCTTGGTAATGTAATTGTCTTTGTTTTGTATGGTTTTGATAAGTTGAATTCATGACTATTTCACTACTGTTCCCTTATGGCATTTAACTTGCCCTTTTCAGAAGCGTGAGGTCAATACAGTTTTGGCGGATGTCATCAAACACATGACTCCAGATCGGGCATTTGAAGAGGCCTACCCCCAGGTAAATGAAGAGTGCAGCCATGAGAAAAGAAAACAAAGAATTTTGTTCAGACTACAATGTACAGTGAGAGTTGTATCCAATGCTGGTTCTGCTCAGACGAGAGCCATTGGCGTTACTTGAAATGTCTGACTTAGATTCATTAATTTCAGTGTCTCAGCTTTGTGTAGGACTGTTATTTGAGAATTCTGGCTAGTGTTTGATGCAAGTAAATGAAAGGTGTGTATCTGATTTAATAGGTAACTGTGAACCATGTAAGGCCAATTGAGCCCAGAGCAAATATAGAGGTAGGAGACCTGTTGATAGTCCTCAATTGGTTTAAAGGATGTCAGCAAGAAGAGGAAAGCTTATTGTTCATGATTGATAAAAGACTGAATAAGAAGCAAGGGGATGTATCCAACTAAGTTATACTCAGAGTAAACCCACTGAAATCTTACGAATCTGTGTTCATCATATCCATTAATTTCAATGAGACTTTGAGTAGCATTGGATACAGTCCTATGGATTTAAATGAAAGGGTAAAAGTTGGCATGAGGCTGTTGTGGGGAACCTTTGGCTCTCCAGATATCTTATCTTATCTATCTATCTATCTATCTATCTATCTCAGGCATGGCCAAACTTGGCCCTCCAGGTGTTTTGGGACTACAATTCCCATCATCGCTGACCACTGGTCCTGTTAGCTAGGGATGATGGGAGTTGTAGTCCCAAGTTTGGCCATGCCTGATCTCTCTCTCTCTCTCTCTCTCTCTCTCTCTCTCTCCATCTATCCTACAATTCCCATCTCCCCTGGCCATTGGCCATACTTACTGGGGCTGAATGGAGTTATAGTTCAACATCTGGACAGCCAAAGGTTCCCCACACTTGACAAAACAGGAACTTTCTTTACTGTGTGTGTCTTTTTTCTCCTGCTTCTTGCTCTTTAGCTCCAGTCAATAATTCAGAAGGTTATCACCTATTTCCATGACTTCGCCGTTCTCTTTTCATTGGTAAGTTTCCACACAGCTACTAGGATCACAAATCCATACAAACCTCCATCTTCTCTTGTCGGTCATTCCAGAAGAATTTGAGGGGAGCTAGAAGGCAGAGGAGCGAAAGCTGTGCCAGAACTGGAATAATGGGAATTTGGCTGATCTGGGTCTTCCTGTCCTCCCCACCCTTAGCTATAAATTACTCTTCTCATCTGCTCACCCCATTCTCACCATGCAGTCATTGGGAGAGCCCAACGAACCTGGCATATGGCCAAAAGCCAGACCCAAACCAAGATTGGCTTTGTTTTGCTTTTCTATCCTGCTCCACAGCCACAAAGGCTTCTCAAAATAGTTTATGACTTCCTTAAACAACGGTTCTGACTCCTTCTGTCCAACACCTTGTCCCTTGCCTGTTTGTCCCCAATGTCTTATGGCTCCCCAGCCATTTTGTAGCTGGCAAAGGCTGTAGCTCAGTGTTAGCATGCATGCCTGGACTCCCAGGGCGCTTATTCCCACCCATAGTTGCATGCCCCCCAATATGAAGCAAGGTATTCTGCAAATATAGGCTAGCTCAAGCTGTAAGTACCTAAACTTGGTGGTATTTCCGTTGACTTTTTAGGAGAAATTCTTACCATTCTTGGATATGTTCCAGAAAGAGAGTGTGAGAGTGGAGGTTTGTAAGTGCATCATGGAAGCTTTTATTAAGTAAGTATAAAGTATTCTGATTAAGTGCACTCTAGAGACTCTAGACCATCTATTGAAGGGTTGTTCAGGGCGACAGAGTGAATTGGTCTGCAGTCCATTTGGCATTGGAAATGTATTTCTGCTGACACTAAAGATTAGTCTAAAAAGAGCGTTTAAATACAGTATAATTCCTATTGATGTTTATATAAATAGCTTATTATGAAACGAACTGCATTAGGGTAGTCTTGCTATGTTTTAAAGTATGTTTTGCAGCTAGACATGCTGGATTCAAGGCAGCAGTGTATTTGAATGTGAACAAACAGATCTAGAAGGGCAGGCAGAAATGCAAGGCCCTGTTGTTTGAATGCACATTTGCTGCAAAGCTGATATTCAGGCAGTTATGGAGGGTGGTTCCCGTTTTCCCGTGGCTTGAATAGATATGTGTGCCAAGCTTTATGTACTTGTGTGTTAAATACAGACACTCCAGAGTTAGGCCATACCTAAAGCACATTTAACACATATTTTAGGCACATGGCTTCCTCCAGAGATTCTTGGGAACTGTGGCCTACTCCTCACAGAACTACAATTCCCATCACCCTTAGCAGTTCCCAGGATTCTTTGGGGGAAGCCATGTGTGTTTCATGTGCTTTAAATGTATGCTGTGGGTGTGACCCCTGTGCTCCTATAAATAAAAGCTTTGATTCATTTTCTGCTTATTAGCGTCACAGATTAAACAATTGAAGAAAACCCATATTGCTAGTTTTCAGATGGTACGGTATATATTGCAGCTGATAACCATCTTAGAAGAGACATTCCTGTATCTGTGAAAGTGAAGAGGGAAATGATCCTTTTCAGAGGCTGCCTGCCATCAGAAATGGAGCCAAAACAGGGCTACCTAGAAACAAGCAGGAGAGGTATCCAATGTGTTTGGGAGAATCCCAGGGTTTTCGGAAGTATGAAAATAGAAACCAACCAAAAAACCCAAGGGAGACCCTACTCCCTGCCCAGTTATGAATGAGCATGTGCATTTGCCATGGAATGTTGACTGTCATTTGGAAAAGAAAAGGGAAATGCAAGTCAGTGGGGAGGAAGAGGGATGGATGGATGGAACTCTGAACAAGCACTCTCCTTTTAGGAAGGGAGAGTGCATTGCAGTATTTCTGTGTGGATTCCGCTTGTTTATATTCTTACAAAACCTGTTTCCTGGTTAATTGGTGATGCCTCTTCAAGTTGGTTTTTAAAAAGGATATTAATCTATTAATTCATTTTGAAAGGATGAAACCTTTCTGCTGCTAGATTTGTCGCTCATTGTGCAGCAGCTTGAATAGGTTGAAGGTGATACTTTGCCATATGCTTCTCTGCTGCACTGACAGCCGCTGTGATAGCAGGATGCAAACACATGAGCATCTGGGCCTTACAGGCTCCACTGCAGAAAAGTCAGCACTTCTTTAAATTAAAACAAAATCAAAATAGTTTCTTTTTCAGTGCTGAATGCATTCTTTCTCAAGCGGCTTTAATTTCCTTTTTATCGCCTCGTGATATTTAGACTGCAGGTTCACGTTGTTAAGTGGTGACAACGGAGTCTTGAGAAAACACTTCGCAGAAATGTTAACTGGAGGCTTTTGTTTTAATTTCCTCAATCCATTATAAAGAGCGCAGTGTTGTATCTCATGGATTTGTGCGGTAGTGTGTCAGTTCAGGAGTGATGGATGATAAACCTCTCACATGCGCTTTTGATTGGCTTGGCATTATAAATTATTGTAAAGAAAAGTACTAGCTTGTGCTGGCAGGAAGTGCCCTCCACACCCGTACGAGAAGCACATTTTAGCAAGAACAACTGATCTAGTCTGTGTTCTATTTTCTCTTCCCTGTCCCCGTTGTGACAGTTTATTCTTTGCAACACTTTTTTTTCCTAATCTTAACGTTGGCTTGCAGTTCCGTCATCTGTGTCTTTAGAGCTATATTGTTGGTTCATTTTGGACAGCTCAACCAAAAGACCAACAAAACTGGGTCTCAGGATCAGACTCTTAGGTTTTTGCATGGTTGTTTATAAGCTACTGGCCAAACTCTGGATTTCATAGAGCAGTCTGAGTTTCTTCCTAGGAGGTGCCTGTCATGTAAGCCAGGCTGAATTCTCTCTTCTTCTCCCCCATTCAGGTTCTCTACTGATCTCCCGCTGAGACCTGGCTTTTTATGCAATAGGGGTCCTGTTGACCTCATCCAGCTTCCTTCTTTCTTAGAAGCTGGATGTCTTTTTTTTTTTTTAACCAATTTCCTCCCTCCTTTCAGCTGGGGCTGGACAGCCTGGAGTAGGAGAGCCAAGGCTATTAACCCATCCAAGGGCACTTCATTCTCCTGCAGCCTCCCCTGCATAAAAAGGTCACTCTGAATCGGGCTGTTGTCATCCTTGCTGCCTCTTTCTTCTTCTGTAATTCAGTGAATGGAGGGTTTTGTTATGGCATTCAGTATCCTGAATGAATTTAAGTAAAACAAAGTTCTCGAGGGGGCACTAGGACACCTCCAAGCAGGTTGTCTTCATCCTAGTATTTGGCAGCAGGAAATGATGGCATTCCAAGGTAGCTACTATGGAACTTGCCCCTTGAAATGCCAGCTCATTTCCTGCCTTTGTTTAAAAGGCATCTCCTTGAGCTGTGCTTATAGTCTGTCTGATTCTACTCTCTCGGGCCTGTTGTGTGTTGTTTTTTGTGTGGACTGTGTGCCAGCTGTCTGTGTGTGCCTGCCCCGGGGTGAAATTTTCCTCCCGGTGGGATTTGAGTGTGCTTGGTCTGCTGTTTGTATTTTCCTTCTCAGTTACTGCTTAATTTACCTTTTGTGTTCCATAAAATTTCCTCAGATTAGCTGTCCCTTTCAAAACCTTCCAGAATTTATTATTACCTTTGATCCTTCTGTCTTGTTTTCACTCCAGATTAATTATTGATTGTCTTGCGATCTCAGGCTTGGTTCATGTATTAGGGCCAGATCTTGACTACAGCTTGGGGTTGTGTACTTTCCCTTTTTACTCATGGAAGGGTTTTTTTGGGGGGGGGGGCAAACAGCATCTTAAGTCATAGAATTGGAAGGAACCCTGCGGATCATCATAGTCCAATCCCCTGAAATGCAGGAATATGCAGTTGTCCCTTACGGGGATCAAACCTGCAAATTTGGCGTTATCAGGCACATGCTCTAACCAACAGAGCTATCCATCTGGAGGGCACGAGGTTGAGGAAGGCTGCTATAGTGTGAAGAAGTAGTTTCTTTTATCTGGTCTGGATCCTGAGTTGCAGTCCCAAACAGTAGTTTAGACCCACTTTTAGCCCACACATGTATTTTTACCGCATACATTAAAAAAACAACAACCATATCCAGTGTTACCTCAGGTTACATATGCTTCAGGTTACATGCGCTTCAGGTTACAGACTCCGCTAACCCAGAAATAGTACCTCAGATTAAAAACTTTGCTTCAGGATGAGAACAGAAATTGTGCTCTGGCGGCGCGGCAGCAGCGGGAGGCCCCATTAGCTAAAGTGGTACCTCAGGTTAAGAACAGTTTCAGGTTAAGAACGGACCTCCAGAACGAATTAAGTACTTAACCAGAGGTACCACTGTATTGGCTTGGTGGTTGTAGTGCTGTGGTGACCCACACTAGACCCAGATTGTGATCCCATAGTGAGTCCAAGTCCACCATTTTAAGATCAAGGGGTTGAAAGTGTCAGGTAAGTCTGCTCCACGGTGACCCCAGTCCTAAGGCAAATTCTTGTATGGCAGTGGCTCCATTGTACTTTTGTTCCCCCAGATCAGGAGTTGTGCGAGAGAGCTGCAGAGCTCTTTTGTTCATTCGTCACACCTTTGCTGTGCAGTAAATAGAGTATAGAGCTTTTAATGCCCTATAATCAAAGAGCACTTCAAGTGAATGCTTATTTTCTATGACAAGACCTTTTACACAGCAGGAAAGCATAATCCGAGTAGATGGAAAGAACCGCTAATTACCATGCTAAGTGTTCCTGCAGCTTCTAGGCGAGCTGAAGGCACTGGATAGAAATGCAGAACTTCCTGTGTGTTGCTGAATGTCAAAGTGCCATATATCCATCTGGGCCTGGGGCTTTGTGTGGTTTCAGGTTTTTGAGCACTGCCTTTATTTCCTTTGGGGCGATAGGGCTGTCCATGAATTCTTGTTCCTCTGCAGCTAAGGTTGGCATGGTCAGCCCTGTTAGGAATCTTCTGGTTTCCTGTGCAGGTGGGTTGTGGGAGATGTATAGATTGGCGTAAAATTCAGCAAATTCTGAGGTTATTTCTTTGGTGGAGGATGTTATGTTACTGTCTTTTTTTAGTGACACAGTGTATTCTGTTTTGAGTGCCCCCCCAACTGCATTTGTTTGCTAATAGTCTGGAGTTCTTCCCTCCATATTCGTAAAAGCATTGTTTAGAGTATAGGATGTTAATCATTGTTGTATTGATCTTTAGAGAGTCAGTTTCCCTTCTTTTTTGTTCTTTGAGTTTTAAGGAGTTTTTTTGGCTCCTGTTTGTTTATAGTGTGATGAGAGGGTCGTAATGTCTTGTTCTAATTTACCAATTTTTGAGGAGGTGGTGTTTTTTAAAGGATGCCCTCTCCTTTATGCAGGCTCCTCTGGTGACCACTTTCATTGTGTCCCAGAGGATGGGGGTTGTTATGTTGCCCACGTCATTGTCCTTAAAGTAGTTTTGGAGAGTTTGCAAGACATGGTTGACATTAAAAGGTAAAGGTACCCCTGCCCGTACGGGCCAGTCTTGACAGACTCTAGGGTTGTGCGCCCATCTCACTCTATAGGCCGGGGGCCTGCGCTGTCCGGAGACACTTCTGGGTCACGTGGCCAGCGTGACGAAGCTGCTCTGGCGAGCCAGAGCCACACACGGAGACGCCGTTTACCTCCCCGCTAGTAAGCGGTCCCTATTTATCTACTTGCACCTGGGGGTGCTTTCGAACTGCTAGGTTGGCAGGCGCTGGGACCGAACAACAGGAGCGCACCCTGCCGTGGGGATTCGAACCGCCGACCTTTTGATCGGCAAGCCCTAGGCGCTGAGGCTTTTACCCACAGCGCCACCCGCGTCCCTCATGGTTGACATTACCACATGATTATTTTTGTCACTTCAGCTTTGCATGGGGAACATTTCACTTACATTCTTTTTTCTGGCATGGTCTAGCAGTTTATCCCGAGAAGGAAGCTCACTGTTCTGAATTGGTTCCGAGTTGTTAAATGCCTTTTTCAAGAGTAATATTCACCATACCCCCCTCCAAATAAAAATGTATGTGTTAGAATCACTTTGCAATGACTTCATCACAACCGTAAGTAGCACAAGATGCAGAGCTGGTTCAACATAACTCAGAAGTAAGGCCCTGTCTGCACTGTGCATCTTAAAGCAGCATCATACCACTTCAAGCAGTTGTGGCTTCCCCCTCAAAGAATCCTGGGAACTGTAGTTTGCTAAGAGTGCAAAGAGTTGTTAGTAGACCTTATTCCGCTCACAGAGCTAACAGTTCCCTGGGAAGAAGGATTGATTGTTAAACCACTTTGGGAACCGTAGCTCTGTGAGTAGAATAGGGGTCTTCTAACAACTCTTAGTACCCTTAACAAACTACAGTTCCCAGGATTCTTTGGGGGGAAGCCATGGCTGTTTACAGTAGTGTGATACTGCTTTAATTGCACAGTGCTGATGGGGCTTAAGTGTATATGCTTCCTTCCCCCTCCCCAATCTGATTTTGCGTAACCCATGTTAAACGACCACAGCTTCAACCTTACTGCTAATAATATTTTTCATTCTTGTTTTTCCGAACGTGTTGTTTAGGCACCAACTGGAGCCGACCAAGGACCCTGTCATCCTCAATGCCCTTCTGCATGTGTGCAAGACAATGCACGATTCTGTGAAGTAAGGTTTTTTCGCTGTCTCCTTATAATGAATTTCATTTTAAATGGTGGTGGTTGTTGTTGTTGTTGTTGTGATCAGTTCTGAGGCCAAGGCTTCAGGGTTGGAGAACTGTTTTTCCATGTGCTGCTTTTATTCAGGGCTGTGTGCAGGAAAACAAAATACCATCACTGGCCTGCTTGCTCCTTAAAACCGTTGCTTTGTTCTAAATGCAAAACAAAGAGAAGATGATCTGGGATGTGCTGGTGACTTCACAGCTTAACAAATGGGTTGTGGGTGGAGCAAGAGAGAAGCGGCAGGGAATAAATGTTAAGAGTGTCAAAACGGATAAACAAAATGACATGCTTTTGTGAGATGCAGGCGTCAGTTAAAGTGCCTCTCCAAAAAGCACTTGCAACTCCAGTGAACAATACAATATTGATATGGTATGCTTATACCCGACAAGTATTTTAAAAACAAACAAATATCGGAAGTAAATGCTTTTTTTTTTTTGCCATTTTGAAATGTGTACTCTCTCCTGTTAGGTACTCCTTTGTACTCTTCTTCCAGCAAAAAGCTGCTCCCCTGATACTTAGTGCCAAAAGGATGCTAAGAACTTACAGGAAGAAAACATAGAAATGTCATTTCTGCATTTTCTTTCTTTGTGGTGCCTGGGCAGTCTCTGTGCTCAGCTGGTTGCCTGCTTCAGTGGGCAGGAGGGGGTGCATTTTGATAGATGCCTTTTAATGCCAGGCAAGGAGGGAAGATTACTCACAAGATCTACGGATCTTGGTCTTGCTTTCTCTGAGTTTCTCATTCTTCTGATCTTAAGTTCACATCTCCTCCGTATCTGCATCAGCTTTGCAGAAAGAATTTAAAGGCCCGCTTAAAAACCCACATGCCTTTATGTGTGCATTTCCCACGGTATTCCTGTTTTTGCCAGCAATTTATTCCCTAGTGCGGTGGATTTTTGCAAATTATTTTCATGAATACATGCATTTTTGTGCTTTTATGCACGTGCGCTATTGAACTGTTTCACAACGCTAGAAGAAGTGCAAACTTCAGAGATAGCGCATTAGTCTGAGAAGTGCCTGTTAAGAGATTTGCATTCAAATGTCAGCCATGCTAATTTCCCTTCCATTATTTGGTCACAATTGCAGGATTTGCCCTAATCCTGGTTTACATATCATAGCAAATGTGTGGGCTTTCAAAGAAGAGACTTTTTTTTACTGAGCTAAGCTAAACTGAAGGACATTCTCAGTCCTACCTGGAAACGTGTGGGACTTATGGGCAAGGGAGATGCAAAAGAAACTTGCATTTCCTGCTACTCTACAGTGCCACCAGATTCAAAACTGCTGTGTGACACTGTGATGAGATCAATACAGGAGATCGGTGGTGTCGCTGAGAACAAAATCTTAATTGTTTCTGGCACCATCTTTGCTTCCTTAGTCCTTTTATCTAATAAAGGGAGAAATTGACTTTTTAAAATAAATAAACAAAGCACATTAAAAAACAAATGATTTTCCACGTCTATAAATCTTGTTCCTATAAACAGAAAACATGATTTTTGGACTAAAGGGATCTCAATATGCAGCCTATTTCTTTGGCATACAGTAACAACCTTTTGATTTCTATTTCTTGGTCATCTACTCCTTAATTGCAGGAATGGGACTAACTTTTTAGTGCTGAATCCATATAATTCTTGCTATCATTAGTAAGTTCTGGAGTAATAAAATAATTGCCCTGGACTATCAGTCGTTGAAATTGTTCATAAGCACTGCTTCTGGTACAGGTGTTAATTAATCTGGTCTCAGTTACCAGGGCAATCAGTTCTATCAAATGCACTTGTAACAATACTGGGTTGTGTTTACTGTTAGCGCTACTCAGATTGGATCCCTTGAAATTAATGGACAAGACATACTTGCACCCACCAATTTCAAGAGGTTTACTCAGAGTGAAACTTGGTTGGATTCAAACGCCAAACAGTTTTTCCCCTTAAATCTTGCTTTGTTTCTGAAATAATTCTGCAACATCTGCAAGAGCCTGCATCAACTGGATTGCGCAGCCTTTGCAAAAGGAGCTGCATTGCAAAGCTTTGCAAAAATAGTGACTATGGAAAAGGTCACATCCAAATCCTGCATTTAAAGCAAATGTAAGAGTAATGACTTATCCCAAAGAATCTTGGCAACTGTAGTCTACCACTCACAGAGCCACCTTTAACAAACTACAGTTCGCAGGGTTTTTTAGAGGAAGCCATGACTGTTACAGCCCTAGAAGAGTGCTTGAAATGTATGCTGTGGATGTGACCTGTGCTGCAAATTAGAAAGTCCCTGGTTTGAATGTCACCTCTGGAATAATAATAATAATAATAATAATAATAATAATAATATTCATACCCCACCCATCTGGCTGGGTTTCCCCAGCCACTCTGGTCTGCTCCCAACAGAATATTAAAAATATGATAAATACATCAAACATTAAAAACTTCCCTAAACAGGGCTGCCTTCAGATGCTTTCTAAAAATCAGATCGTTGTTTATTTCCTTGACATCTGATGGGAGGGCATTCCACAGGGTGGGTGCCACTACCAAGAAGGCCCTCTGAGCTTGCTAGGTGGCCTTAGACAGGCTGCACTCTCTCACAAGAGCAAAAACAGAGCCTACTGGATCAGGCCAATAACCAATCTAGTCCAGCACCCTATTTTCACAGTAGCCAGCTTCAGTCCCCCTGTCTACTATATGGAGTGATAATACAGATTTGCCTTACAGAGTTGTTGGTGCTTGTAAGGTGCTTGTAACATTTGCATTGCAGTCCCAAATGTTAAAGTGTGTTTTAGATTAAAAAGTTGAACTAGATAATGCCCTTTTCCTGCTTGGGCTCTACTCAAGCTAAAGCACTGTGTGTGTCATTTAAACAGCTGCTTTGCGGTCATGTTTTTAAATTAGCAATTTTTATTGGGGACCCAGTGCTCCCTTCCACGCATCTTCCAAACCATCCATCAGTTTCTTGTTATGCCTGTATTGGATGGCGAAACCCTAATGAGCTAATCATGGTGAAGGTTCACTCTTCCCTTCCAATTGAATTTGTATTCCAAAACAATTACTCTGTTCCCATCTGGTGTCTGCACTAGGAGAATTGCAAAATGGTACACCAGGGACTAGCATGCCCAGGATTAAACTGGATTACTTAATTGTAATTGAGTGTGGTTTGTTTTCATCAGAATGTGTATGGTTTTATTACCTCCCTATTTGGTAACCAAATTAAATGCTAATGATGTGAAACTGAATTTGCTACCCTCCACCCCCCCCCAATATCCCAGCAGTTTATGGCTATGGTTTTGGCCCAGTGTAGATCTGCAGTGCAGATGTTTACACTTGCTGTGTTCTATGGGCCTATCCTAAATTAATTTTGGAATTGGTAATTTGCAAACAATGGCTGCTCACTGTTACAGGGTGGATTCAAACTATTTTCCAAAACAGTTTTGTCCCACAGTGGATGTTGGATAGCTTAGTTAGCAAACTCTTAATCTTAGGGTGGTGGTCTCTAACCCTACATTGGGCAAAAGATTCCTGCATTGCAGAGGGTTGGACTCGATGGCCCTTATGGTCCCTTCCAACTCTACAATTCTAGAGATTTATTCCCACTTTCCCTGGTTCACAGTGCAGTGAAATTTATAAAGAAGTAAAAACATAGTTTGCAAATCATTGAGAGTTGTACAATTTGCTTCACTTGCTGATCTCGTTTTGGTTCATGATCTGCACAAGTATTAAACCTCTTCTTGTTATCATGTTTCTCTCTCTCTCTCTCTCTCTCTCTCTCTCTCTCTCTCTCTGTGTGTGTGTGTGTGTGTGTGTGTGTGTGTGGAACACATTAATGGCATGGAAAAGGTTCCATGTTTCATTCTAGGCATCTCCGGGTAGGGATAGGAAAAACCTCCTGTCTGAAAGTTTGGAGATCCATTGCCAACTTAGCGTTGGCCATACGAAGCTAGAGGATCCCAATGGTATAGAGCAGCTTCCTAGTTGCCTGTGATAAATGGGACTTGGTAGCAAGGTAGAAAGACACCATCCTGACTACAAGTCAAGTGAAGCAGGCGTTTGAGGACTGGGGCGTTCCAAACATTGCTTGTGTGACTTTTCTGTTCTACAGACATCTTTTGCCATGCTGTAGTTCAGGGGTCGGGAACCTCAAGCCAGGGAGTCAAAAGTGCCCCTCCCAGCCTCTTTTGTTTGGTCCTCGGGATTCTCCCCAGGTCATGATCCGTCCTGATCAGCTCGGGTGAATCTGCTTTGAAATCAGAGTTGTTCAGATTCCTCCCCCATCCCTACCCTGGGGTAAGCCGCACTGAATTCAACAGGGCTCATTTCTCACGTTTATGCTATAAACCGATTTGAGGTTTTTCTTAAAAATATAAAGCAGTATAGAAAGGAAATGAATAATAATAATAATGTAGCATCAATTTATTTTCGATGGGTTTCTTAAATATTGATGCTTTTTTGTAGTGCGCTGACACTAGAAGACGAAAAACGAATGCTAGCCTCTTTGATAAATGGATTTTTGAGAATGGTGAGTATCTGCTGGGCTGGTCAGAGTTTTAATCTGCATTTTAATTGTGCTTTTAACTGGCTGCTAGTTCTTGGCTTTGGCAGTGTGTGTGTGCTTAAAAGAAAGCACAGTATATCCGATGTAATGTGTAGTTTGGCCCTCAGCTTTTAATTATGACACCTAAATTAAACCTTCCATGGCCAGATGCAGTATACCTCAGGATGTTAGAAGATGCACAGCAGGGCTTGCCTTTGTAATTATGCTTGTGAATTTCACAGCAGCATCTGGCTTTACACTGGGGGGCGGGGGAGGCGTGCTGAGTGACATAGACCTCTTGCTCTGATCCAGTGGGGCTGCTGTTTTGCCCCCATTGCATCAGAAAGTTGTGTGTTCCTAAAGGTTCTGTCAAACGAAGTGAAAGAAAAAAAAGATGTGATATGAACCACATTGCTCGGTAAATACTGCATGGAAGAGTTAGCGCTGCACTGCAGCAAATGAGATGGAAAGAATGGGTAACTGGATGCCAGAGTCCTGTATAAGAAATGACTTTGTGAATCTTTTAAATCCAGGTTTCATTTGGCCGTGACTTTGAGCAGCAGCTGAGTTTTTATGTTGAAGCCAGATCAATGTTTTGCAATTTGGAACCTGTTCTCGTCCAGCTGATTCATGTGAGCATACTTTCTTAAGTTGAAATAGGACTTCAGGAGCTGTGTGAGCTATTTTTTCCTGCTGCATTCCGTCATTCCTTGCATTTCATTACAGAGCAAGGTCAATTTTGTTGGCATTTTAACAGCAGAGAATTTGCATTCGTACATCATGTTTTATATTGATATTTGGCATGTTGCTGGTGAATTCATCCTGCAAATTGAAAAGCGCAAAGTCGTATGAGCTGATAGCTCATTAGTGGGGAATATTCTGAGTTGCCTCCTTCATTTTCAGTGTTTCTCTTTCCTGCATTCATGTAGGAAAAACAGTATTTGAAATATACTTTTCCTCAGTCTAAACTGATTGCTCCTGGGCACTAAACTAGCACAGCAACTAGTTTTGAATTTTTAAAGGTGGCATTCTTGTCCCTAAGTCATGGGTGGAGGACTTCAATTTCAGGGGCCAAAAGCACACTCCCCCAGCCATTTTTTCTGACCCTTGTAACCCTTCCCAGCTCACACCTCTTCTCCCCTGGCAACATTCCTTCACTTGCCCTGCTTTGCTCTGGAAGTGTTTTCACCTGAATGGAACGTGCCCTTGAACTCAGGCAAATTTGTGGGGTTTTGGTCTTGTTGCACATAGTATGCATAACCCTCCTTGCACATCATTATAGCTGTATGCTCTTTCATTTTCCCTGAAGCTTGTATTTCATATCAGTTAAACAAGAATATTTGTTATTTATTTAGTTCCATTGACTTCTGCTGGAGAAATCATTGAATTGTTTGAGTTGCAGAGTTGCTTCTGTAGGTAACATAATCTTTTAAAAACAGAGTGTGAACCAGCTGGCGATGGAAACACGAAAAGTGATGAAAGGGAATCATTCCAGAAAAACGGCTGCATTTGTCAGGGTAGGTGTGAAATCTGAAGGAATTCTTCATCCTTATTTTTTCTGCATGAACTATGGTCTGTTTTGGCCAGAGCGCTAAACCATGGTTTAGCACGGGGGGGGGGCTGGTTGTACTTATGCTCCCACTATTTCTGAGTACGCTTTAGTCATTTTAAGTGGGGGTGATGGGATTTGGCACCCAGCAACGCCTGGAGGGCCACGATTCCCCAAACCTCTGATTTAAGACACGTTCAGAATAGCCTTGAAAACTCTTCTTCCTTTTTTTTTAAAGGCTTGCGTTGCCTTCTGCTTCATTACAATTCCATCTTTGACAAGCATATTTTCTCGTCTCAATCTTTACCTGCACTCTGGACAGATTGCTTTGGCAAACCAGTGCCTTTCGCAAGGTAAGCCTCATGATCTTTCTTCATTTGTAAAACAAATTATTATTTTAGGAAGCAGTCTTTCTAGCTACAGTGGGAACACATGAGGATTGCTAAAATTTTGAATGTTCTGTTGGGAAGGAGCTGCAGCCTTTGCTTGTCATGGCTCCTTTGCACAGAACAGATATGCTTTGGAGAAGGGTCATAGCACCTCCCTTCATTGCAGAAGGTCCCAGGTTCAGTCCCCTGGAATCTCAGGTACGGCTGGGACTGTCCCCCATCTGAAACCCTGGCAGTTGCCAGTCAGTCTAGACTCTAGAACAATACTGAGCTGGTTGCACCAATGGTCTGATTTAGTATAAGGCAGTTTCCTATGTTCCCGTGTTCCGTGCTAAGGGAAAGTATTCAGGTAGTAAAAAAAGAAATCCAGTCGGAAAGAGTGTAGGCACAGCATGATAAGAGCTTGGAATTCTGGGATCTAAGGAATGCGCACATTTTACTTAAAGTGCTACTGAACCTATGATTAAATAACACTACTCAGAGCCTAGATTTTGCTTTTAGGCAAGACATAAAACAAGCAGAGCATACAAACGTGTGACATGTTTTAAGAATTCTAGCATTATTTTTGGCAAGTGGTAAGGACGTTAATGCTGACATGCTAATTTGCTTAACAATGAGACTGTTTTTGTTCCTTCAGAACAAAACCTTCCTCTGCCTGTAAAAAAAAAGAGAGAGAAGTCTTTAACTGCTACATGTTTAGTCCCATAAAGCATTTCAACCTTTCTTTTCCAAGAGGAGTTCGTTTTGGTGGAAGCTCTTCCTTTGTGCTAGATGTATTTGGTACAACATCTTCAGGCTTTAGAAACAATGCATAACTGATGCCTTGGATTCAGTCCAAACACCTCTTCAGGTGTCGGTGTCATGGTTTATGTAGCAAAAGTTATATCACAAGGAATCTCTATAAATGCATTTTGAGTGGAGAGCAATACAGCCTGGTTTTGGGAGGATTTTGAAAAGGCAAGAGTGTGTGACACCCTTCTTCCGGTAGAACGAGGCTTCTTGTTGTTGCCGTTTTTACAGTTGAGAAGATGATGTCCTGAACATTTGCCCTCTGGGCTCTTTTTCCTGTTGTAGGGTTGTGATGGTTGAAAGATGTCAAGGGTTAGTCCCTTCTCAGAATGAGCTTACAACATGGTGTAGGGAAGGGCTGTAGCTCAGTGGGTAGTTTGCATGCCAGAGCCCTCAGATTCAGTCAACAGCATCTCTTGGTGTGGTTGGGCAAGACTCTTCTTAGAAATTCTGGAGAGCCACTGCTCGATGTGCAGACAGTGCTGAACTAGGTAGTGTTAGAATTCCTGCTCCATGATTGCAGTCATGGGATTTTTGTCTATCACCTGATGGTGTATTGACTGAGTGGGAAGTGACAGAGACAGGATGTTTATGTTGCTGTGTTCCGTGAAGTGGGACAATAGTCCTTTGTTCCTTTTCCTCTTTGCTGTTTGATGCTAGAGAGAGAGGGAGCCATGTTGCAGTCCTCTGTGTGTGTTTGTATGTAAATAAAGTAGATTAGCCAAAATGCTGAGTTGCTGAGGTCTGTCGCGCAAGATGCGCAAACTCTGCGGATCCCTAAGTGTGCCGGTGTCTGTTGGCATCGGTTGCTGTGATGTCCGGGCTGAAGAAAGCTTATGAAGCTCCCAAACGATCGACCAGGAGGGAGGGAACATTCCAGTCCGGCATGTGTCTCTGCTAGGGTCCTACTTGAGTGTACGCTGAACTCTTGACAAGTAGACCATTGGTGTGACTTGGAATAAGTCTGCAGCCTATGTTACTATATCAGGGATGGGGATCTCCACCTGTCCTACAACTCCCATCAGCCCTAACCAGCGTGGTCAGGGGTCAGCGTGGATGGGAGCTGTAGTCTTAGCAACATCAGGAAGGCCTCAGATTCCCCATCTCTGTCCTAGATTCATAGACTCTACGCTGTGTGTTGCTCCCACTCAGTGTAGGCATTGTGTTCGATGGACCTTTGGCTTAAACAGGTGAAACACAGACCTCCCTCCCTCAGCTCTGGTGTGACAGGCCGGCTGCACGAGGCTTCCTCTCCCTCAGCTGCCATCTGGGGGCAGCCATTCCAGCAGAGTTACTTCGGTGGAAGAGATAGCAAACAAGGCTCATTTCATCGGCTTTGCTGGAGGTGCAGCTCTACCAGGCCTCTCCTGCCAGCTGGTCATTATGGGAACAACTGTTTAGAAATTGAGTTTGAATTTTATTTCCTTCTTCCCTCCCTGCTCCTTTACGGTTGTGCATTGGGTTTTTTGTGCACTTGCAGGAAGGTACTGTCTTGTTCTGATTGTACATGGCATCCTGGGAGCCTTTTTGGCTGAGGAGCAGGGTAAATAAGCTCTAAATAAACGCGGAATAATAAAACAGGGCAAGGCAGCTTCATAATAAGTTATTTGGTCATTCATGTGACTAGCGAAGAGCCAGTTACATATGTTTGCCATTTTGATCATTACCTGTATTTTCTAAGGCAGGATAGACTTGTAGGATTGTATGTTTGTGACAGTTTGACCATAGGTTGTTTTGGGGGTGCGGGGAGTGGAGCACAGAAGAATCTGTGCATGTATGACATGTTCTTTCTGATCGGCATGGCTTCAGACATGTGCAAGTTCAAGCAAGTCAAATCTTGCCCCTTTCCGGAGATGACAAAAGTTGCCAGAATTGCACATGTGCTAGTAAGTTCCAGCTGTAAATGCAAACATGCTGACATCAGATGCTGACTAAGGCTTTCACCGCAAGGCTACTGGTTTTTATTTCTTTGTTTAGGCGTGATGCCGTGTGCCTCATTGGGGATTTAGAGCAAAGCTGACTGTTCCATCCGAGCAAGTTGTGAAAACAATAGAGCTGCAAAGTCAGTGCAGTGCACTTTCTGTTTGTTTGGCTTGTTTGTAGACAAACCAAGCAGAGACCACAGTGTGAAGTCATTCTCCATTCCTCTGCTGTGGTTATTAACTCATTCGCTATTGTTTCACCCCGCTGGATAATTAATGGGTGCATTAGCTTGTTTAAAGTAAGGAACATAGGAAGCTACTTGAGTCAGACCAATGGCCCATCTAGCTTGCTATTGTCTACACTGACTGGCAGCTGCTCTCCAGGGTGTGGGGTAGGCGTCCCTCTCAGCCTTACCTGGAGATGCTGGGGATTGCACCTGGGACCTTCGGTATGCAAGGCAGATGCCCTACCACTGAGCTGTAGCCCTTCCCTGTTCTAACCAGCCTTTCCCCAAAGGCTTCAATGGATGCCTGAAATTCTACTGAAGGATCCCCTTGGCTTGTGTGTGGAATTGCCACCCACTTCATTAAAAAAAGAATTCAGGGTCTTGAAATTGGATTGAAAGTCTGAAGTGTGCCCACTGCTTCTGTGACTGTTACCTCCTCCCATTTGCCTTACTGTCTCCTTTCACTCCCAGTGTCAACGCTGGTCCTAGATGCTGTTGCACATGGTACAAAAAATCTTCCACACTTTAAATTTTTGTGGATCTGCAGTTAGTTTTTTGCTAACTAGATTAACACACGAGACAGTTACTCTAAAAATATTATGCAAATACTTTCAGTCATCATTGACTGATGCTTTGACTTTATTTATTGTGTGTGTGTGTGTGTGTGAGAGAGAGAGAGAGAGAGAGAGAGAGAGAGAGAGAGAGAGAGAGAGAAAGAGAAACAAAACTGGCCCTATATTTCAACAGAGTATTTGCTTTTCTAGGCAGTCCTTGCCAGCCAGTTGAATGCAAACTGTATCATAGCTAAAAAGTTGGATTCTTCAATACTGGGCAACAGCAATTTGTCCTAAAGTCATGTGACAAAGCAACCTTGCTAAAAGTTAAGTGGGCTGTGGACTAGGCAGTGTCTGGATGGAAGGGATCTATGGAAAAGAATGCTACCTACTGGCTTGGAAGATTTCAGCTGCAAATGGGACTCAATTGAACTTTGACCGGAGAAGACATGTGTAGGATCACACTATATATACATGACCCTGCACACTGAACTGGATCTCTTGGTGCAGTGGCTTCCAAACTGTTTTCCCCACGAGCCACTTGAATTTGCTGGTGGTTCTTGGTGGACCCCTTAATGACCCCTTCTGTCTGCTATAGCAATTGTAAAGCGCTGTGCTAGATGTTGTGTGATTTTATTGCTTTTATTTCCTATATTGTATTTTATTGTATTATAATTTGCATTTTGTAAAATTCAGGTTACAATACAATACAATACAATACAATACAAGAAATAAAAGAAGCATCAGCAATGCAATTAAAAATCAATGTGAATATTTAATGTGGAAATGCTTCAGGTCACCTGAATGGATCTTGCGGATCACTGTGGTCCATGAACCACAGTTTTGGAGCCCCTGACTTAGTGTAACTTTGCAGAGTAGTGATGAATCCTCACCAGACATGTTTCCTGTCATGGGTAATGTGCTGGGCCAAGCTAGCAATCTCTCTGAGGGCAAAATGAACAGAGATTTGTTAATTCTACTTCTCTTTATAACATTCACTTGAGGCACATGATTGTGAAACAGTGTAGGTTGTCCTAACGTAATGCTTTTCTGAGCTGTTAAAACTTTGCTTGGCTTGAAGCATAATATGCCACATGGCCAGAGGTATCCAACTAACTTGGATGACTAATTTCACCGAGGGACAGATAAAAATGGAAATTGGGGTGGGATTTGTTTTGCTCAACTGCGCTGACCGAATCTGGATTCAGAGTTCAAGAGTGCACAGAGCTATAGTTGATCTAATATTCCTAGCTGCCCCCACCCTTATCTGATAGCACAGCAAGATGAAATATTTGTGTTTCTGCTGGCCTACTTTTCTGGGCCATCCGGAAATGAGGACGAAGAATCCTCAATCCTGATGTTTTTCATCATCTTGTTATATTTGCTGCTTTAGTACTGCATATTTTCCAATTCCAAGAAAAGGCGGCATTAGCATAAATTGCAACTGCCTCTTCTTCCCCACCTCCCCCACCCCAGATTTGATTAGATCCTTCAATCTAGTCTCTGACCCATTTGGAACTGAATGGCTTTCATCGCTGATGTGGATAGCCGTGGTTTGATCATAGAATCATAGAATCATAGAATCATAGAGTTGGAAGAGACCACAAGGGCCATTGAGTCCAACCCCCTGCCAAGCAGGAAACACCATCAGAGCACTCCTGACATATGGTTGTCAAGCCTCTGCTTAAAGACCTCCAAAGAAGGAGACTCCACCACACTCCTGGGCAGCAAATTCCACTGTCGAACAGCTCTTACTGTCAGGAAGTTCTTCCTAATGTTTAGGTGGAATCTTCTTTCTTGTAGTTTGGATCCATTGCTCCGTGTACGCTTGTCTGGAGCAGCAGAAAACAACCTTTCTCCCTCCTCTATGTGACATCCTTTTATATATTTGAACATGGCTATCATATCACCCCTTAACCTCCTCTTCTCCAGGCTAAACATGTCCAGCTCCCTTGCTTGGCTTGATCTTGATCCCTTGATCTTGGCTTGTTCTCCCTAAAGTTAAAACAAACCATAGTTGCTGCAGTTCAGACATACCAGGAAACTGTGGTTCATTTTCAAAGCAGAAGCTGAGACTTCTGATTTCCTCCTTGAGGCTATGAAAAAGGAGGGGGGAGTGCATGGGCCCAGGGCTATTTATGCCTTGTCCACAAATTGGGAAACCATGATTTCCTAATTATGTATCACCTAGCCCAATGTTTCTCAAACTTGAGTCTCCTGCTGTTGTAGGACTACAATTCCCATCATCCCTAGCTATCAAGACCAGTGGTCAGGGATGGTGGGAGTTGTAGTCCAACAATGCCTGGAGACCCAAGTTTGAGAAACACTAACCTAGCTTACTTCTCTCTAATCTACCTGATAGGGCTATTTTGAGGATAAAATGGGGGGCGGGGAGCTGTGCACACCACTCTGAACTTTTTTAGGAAACATGGTATGATTACAGATACCTTATAGCATCCATAATTGCCCCAGAAGCTGGTTTTAAAAAGGGTCTTATGCAAAAGAGGAAGTGTGGTGCAGTGGTTAGAGTGTTGGAGTAGGACCTGGGAGAACAGAGTTCGAATCCTCACTTCACCATTAAGCTCACAGGGTGACCTTGTGGGCCAGTCACTGCCTCTCAGCCTGACCTACCTCACAGGGTTGTAGGGATTAAATGGGGAGGGGGGACCATGAAAGCCGCCTTGAGCTCCGTGGAGAAAAAGGTGGGATATAAATGCAATAAAGGAGAAAAGGAAAAATGGAGAGAGGTGTGGGGAGCACGCTCCCAATCCTTTGAGCCCATGTGGAGCCTTCTAAAGGCAGACCATGCGGCCTTTGGGAAACCCTGCATTTGCAAGGAAACATTCAAGGCGTGATTTCCCCTGCAGCCAGGCACAGTTGGGCCCCGTTAGAACAGGGCATTAATTTTTCTTGTCTGAAGGTCACATGCGGAAATAGCGCAGGCCTCCACGGAAGGATTTATAGCCCAGTGGTCAGCCAGAACGAAGGAAGATCCACTGCTTGCCGGGGAGGAATGGGAAATTTAGTGGAGCGCAAAGTAGCTTGCATACGGTGCACTGCACAAGCTATTAATTGAGGCCTAGGAAGGCATCATCGGCAATTTATTGCAGCGAACGCTCACCTCCCCACCCCCATCAAACGCAGTGCCAGCTTGCCTCAGGAAAGGGGGGCTTAATGGACAGCCTATATAAGGAGCTGCGTATTTCAAATTTATCTCGCCATATTTCAAGGTTAGGTAAAGGAACTATATTTGCAAGGAGCTGCTTTAAGCGGACTGTAAATGACGCTGGGTTTAATTCAGTAGCTTTCCCTCAAAAGGTGGGCTGTGGAGGCAGAGTTATCCTGCTGCCGTCATCCCCTCCCTTCACTTTCCACCAGCTTCTCCTTTGTGTGTTTTCATGTTGTCGTAAAGACGGCGTCTGTCAAAAAATAAAAATAAAAGACAGGCGGCCAGTTCCTTCGTGGTTCTGCAGATACTGACAATATCCTAAGAAGGGTGCTAAGTAGCGCTGCCTGGTGAGATGTGTGAGCAAATCCAACTAGCAATTCAGAGTGCTGATTTTGACTGGGGAAGAAGTGTGGTGCAGTGGTTAGAGTGGCAGGCTAGGACATGAGAGGCTGGGGTTCAAATCCCCACTCAGCCATGAAGTTCACTTCGAGTGACCTTGGACCAGTCTCCAACCTACCTCACAAGGTGGGGATTAAACAAGGAGCTGGAGAACCATGTCTGGCACCTTGGAACTCCTTGGAGAAAAAGGCGGGAGAAAAAGACAGTAAATGAATGGAGGAACGAGAGTTGGAATCCAGCCACATCTTACATACTGTACGCCATTTTGAGTACTGGGAAAACCAAGCTTTAAATATACATTAAATGCCTTCCTAGCCAAGCATGTTGCCTCAGGATATGCCTCTCTGTGTCATGGTTGGTAGTTCAGAGCAATGGCTCTGAAAGGCTGTTTCTGACTGATTCCCTCAGGAGGCAGAAGTAATTGCGGCTGTGTTCAAGCTTTGTTCTGGCTGCCGCCTCTCTGCTAAGGTGACAATTCAGCTGACCTGGGGTTGTATTCTCGCTGTCCCCCTGTGAGCACGGAGGAGAATTTGGCCATGCAGCGCAGGCAGGTGGTTAAATGTTTGGCTTCATGGGAAGGTGAACGCCAGTCCACTTTCCTTAGGGACTCGAAGCAAATTGCCTTGACCCAAACCTACGAGTGCAACTGCGAGTAGTCCTGGGTGGCTTGGCTGTGTAAGACAAGTGTCATGGTTCTCTTGTTGGTGACAGGGCTTTCTTATGATGAAAGGACAGTTGCACAGAAAGCAAGTTGCTGTGAGTGAGAGAGAGGGAGGGAGAGGGGTTTTCCCCCCTGCCCATAAAGTAATGTTGCTGAGTGTTAAGTGGATTGGCTCCTTTCCCCGCTGGGTTTTTCCTCCCTACAGTTTGCGTTGGGATCAGTATAAACAAAAACCCATCTTTTCTGGAGTAAGGATCACCAGCTAAGCCATTTTCCGGTGGGCTGAATCCAACTAAGGTCTACTCTGACCCATTGAAAGCAATGAACTTACATTAGCCAAGTCCTTTCATTTTAGAGGTAGCGTTGAATACAACCTCGTGACTAATTTAGGCATATTACTTTCAGTGGGTCTCCTCCGAGTAGCACTAAGTTGGATACAACCCTGCATTTTCTTTAGCCCCGAGAAGACTCAAAAAGCAATTTATTTGAATTAAAGCTGAGAGTTCCTGGCTGAAGCAGTTCCTTTTGGCTCTTCTCTGCCCTCCCCAAAAGCAGGGAGTAGTTGTCTGGCCTTTCTCTATGTGACTTAATAGGACACGAAGGACAGCTATGTTTCTATGTTAAAAGGCATAACAATTGACTGAATATTTTTTGCATTGCTGGTGATATTTTGAGACTTTCTCTCTCTCTGTTTGTGTGTGTGTTCCTTGAGGAAGTATCATTATTTAAATGTCTCTGAATATGTTTGGAATATAAATAAGATTGTTTGCTCACAAGATGTAGGTTGACTGCACTTTACAGTGTTGGCGAATTTCAGCTTTCTTGTTTTTCTGTATGCCTTTCCAATGTGTGGTGTTCAATAAAAATATATCCTAGGCTATGATCTCTTGCTTGAGGAGGTATGACACTATACTCACAAGTCTGCTTGTTTTAGCCTTCAAAAGACTAATCACGTTGTATTACTTGTATGATGCAGACCTTTTAATCCTTTTATTCTGATGTCGGTGTCTGGGTTTAATGTTTTTGGTGGGGGCTGAGGAGTTTGCTACCACTTTTTTTAAAGTGTTGGGGTTGTTTTTTTACCCTGGCTGGGATAGACTTAAGCAGGCGAACTAGTGAAAGCTAAATTAAGAAAAGATCTGGAGATTCATCCCATGTAATTTGAAGTAACTTTAGAAAGCCAAGAGTATTCTTGTCCGTGGAACTGGATACTTATGCTATTCAGATTATTTCTTTTCTGGTGACAAAATGTCATATACAGAGTCATTGAGCACGTGTGTTTTGTAACACCAGAGCAACGGCAGATGTGATTGCATTCCATAGACTTCCTTATCTTAATAGCCCATGGGAAATGTAATAACAATGTTGTTGTGTAAAGCTAACTGCGCAAATTAACCTGTCTTTAAGAACCAGTATTTTGGAGGGAGGCATAACTGAGTTGGAATCCTGAACACTCCTGTTAGGAGATGATGGATCCCTGAAATATTCTGTTGCAAGTGCTGCTTGTTGAATAATTGCAGGTTGCTGGATAGTGCAGCAGAGATTTGAACTCATGTGATTGTGTGCAGGTCTACTTAAAATCACAGGCCTGTCGATAAATCCATGTTCTGCTTGCTCATAAAGCAGTGGCTGTGATTTCTTTGCAGCGGATGCCTTTTTCAAAGCGGCAATAAGCCTTGTCCCCGAGGTGCCAAAGACGATCAACATAGATGGGAAGATGCGGTCCTCCGAAACGTTCCTCCTGGAATTCCTCTGCAATTTCTTTTCCACTCTGTTGATCATTCCTGTAAGTAGCCAGAATGAGCCACTCAATCTTTAGGGCGGAAATGCTTCTTTTTCTAACCCGCTGTTATACTATCAGGGCAGCTTATGTAGCTAGGCAAGACAAAAACAATTGGGGGTTTCTAAAATAAAATAACAAGACACATAAGGGCTGTGTAAAATCATTAGGAACATCAAATTGGGGGGGATTAATTTTATTATATAAAAAAAAGTTCTTCCTGGCACCAAAATGACTTTAAGGTTGGCTCTAGGCAGACCATTGGTGAATTCAGATGCTGCCACTAAAAAGCCCTTTACCCAGTCACCTGGTGGGTGGAAAGACTAGTCAATGGCTACTAGTCAAGGTGGGTGTATATTATTTCCAGTATTGAAGGAAGTAAGCTGGAGAGCAACAGTGGGAAAGGGCCGTTGCTTTTGCATTTTCCTAAGGCATTTTGTTGGAGCAGAATACTGGGCTAGGTAGGCCTTTTGGTTTCATCCAGCTGGGCTCATCTGACGGTCCTTAAACCCTTTAAGAGCATATGAACAGCTAAAAGCTGTTCAGGCCATCTCCAGCATCCTATTCTCAAAATGGCCAACCTAATGCCTCTTGGAAACTCTGCAAGCAGGACATGAGTGCAGCCGCCACCTCCCCACGTGCTGCTCTCAGAAACGTGGCTCTTTAAAAACATTTGTGCTTTGGGTTTTTCCAAAGGCTCAAATCGGGAAGAGCCAGGAGTGAGCCATGTGGATTTCATGAAGGCTTTCTGCCTTTCCCAGCGTTTTCTCCATGATTTTTGAGCTCCTTAGAAACAGGAGGTAAACCTCAGTCTGCATAGTGCAGGTGGGGGCTCTCACATGACTTGATGCTCACGAAAACAAAGTTAAACAAAACAATAACATGCCAGCATGCTGCTAAACTGCCTGAAATCGGTTGGGTTAAGGTGAGCGCTTCTAAGCCTCTCTTAAGAGCTCTTCAGTCTCCCTTCACCTGCTTACGACAGTGCTTGGTTAACCATTGCTGAGCCAGCACAAAATCTCTTGAAGCAGGAGTTATGTTGCTGCTGGTGGCTGAAGTGTTGTTTGGGGGGCAGGAGTGCGGAATCAACCTGTTTGATTATACTGGGTCTTACTTAAGTGTGTGTGCTTTTTTCCGTAGGACCACCCCGAGCAAGGCGTGTTGTTTCTTGTGCGAGGGCTGCTGAACGTCATCCAGGACTATACCTGGGAAGATAACGGTGATGATAAAGTCCGGATTTATACGAATGTCGTGCATCTTCTCTCAGCAATGAGTCAGGAAACTTACATCTACCATGTAGACAAAGGTAGGAGAGGGAGGCTTTGATGCTGGGAACCCCAGAATTTCATTAGGAGGCTCCCCGCAAGCCAGAGTACCAAATGCTGACTTGCTTGTGTGAACAATAATGCAGCTGCCTTCGACTGAGTCAGCCCATTGGTCCATCTCCCCCAGTATTATCTACTCTAGTGCCCTGCCCCTGAAGTTTTGGACTACAATTCCCATCAGCCCTAACCAGCTTGGCCAATGATTAAGGGTTTACTCCTGATTGCTACTCCAGAGACTTTCTTAGCTCTGCTACTTCCAATGCTCTTAAAAGGAGATGCCTGGGATTGAAGCGAAGATCTTCTGTGACCAAAGCATGTGCATAATCTTTTGCATTTAAGGCTAGGTATCTGAAACCCTGGAGAGCCATTGTCAATCAGTGGAGACAGTGCTGGGCTTCGCATGGTCTGGCTCCACATAAGGCAGTTTCCTGTTAATTCAGAACCACGCAGACTGAGATCTTACTTCATCCACAATAGCTGAGTGGTATAGCATCTGCTATACCACGAAATTAAAAGATGCCTGCTTCTTGGGAGAAGGGCAATGACAGGCCTAGACAGCATCTTGAGAAGTAGAGACGTCACCTTGCCAACAAAGGTCCGTATAGTTAAAGCCATGGTTTTCCCAGTAGTGATGTATGGAAGTGAGAGCTGGACCATAAAGAAGGCTGACCACCGAAGAATTGATGCTTTTGAATTATGGTGCTGGAGGAGACTCTTGAGAGTTCCATGGACTGCAAGAAGATCAAACGCATCCATTCTTAAGGAAATCAGCCCTGAGTGCTCACTGGAAGGACAGATCGTGAAGCTGAGGCTCCAATACTTTGGCCACCTCATGAGAAGAGAAGACTCCCTGGAGAAGACACTGATGCTGGGAAAGATGGAGGGCACAAGGAGAAGGGGGCAACAGAGGACGAGGTGGTTGGATAGTGTTTTCGAGGTTACCAGCATGAGTTTGACCAAACTGTGGGAGGTAGTGGAGGACAGAGGTGCCTGGCATGCTCTGGTCCATGGGGTCACGAAGAGTCGGACACGACTAAACGACTAAACAACAACAACATAGCATCTGCTTTGCATGCAAAGGGTCCCAGGTGCAATCCCTGGCATCTCCAGGTACGGCTGGGAAGGACTCCCTTCCTGAAATCCCAGAGAGGTGCTGCCAGTCAGTGTCTGCAATACTGAGTGAGATGAGCCAGTGGTCTGACTCGGTGCAATGCTGGTTCCTATGTCCCTGTGCTCTACCACTAACCCTATGCACAAAGATGGAATTGTTTATGAATATGGCAGGTGTAAATACATGGAGGAAGCGGGTGATTGGAACTGCAGTCCAACAACCTCTGGAGGGCCGTAGGTCCCGCATTCTAGCTTTAAACAGCGGCTTCAGGGAAAAAAGGAAAGCTTCAAGGAGACAGATTTGGTGCTAGCAAAGGTGTTCTGTTAGGAGCTGACAGACGTAATGGACAAGCAAAGGCAATTGAATGGAGTTGCTTGACAGCAGAAGATGTAAAGGCAGTTGAAGGTTCCAGAGGTGGATCGGTTAAGATCACTGATGCTGATATATCAGGGGAATAAGGGGGGAAAGACTGTGGAGAATTTTAAAAAGGTAAACACGAGGAGTTAGTCTGGATGCAGAGAGGATGGGATTGCCAATGGAGGAGTGGAGTGTTGCTTGGTCTGATGGAAGAGGTGAGCTATTTCAGCATAAAAGTTACGTGACTGGCATGCAGCCGTAGTCAAGATGAGACCTCATCAGGGTATGGAATGGAGTTGGAGGGGAGGAGGCAGAGAAGAAAGGGCCTGATTTACAGTGCTGTACAAGCAGAAGTGCCTTGGGCTGACGCCAGACTGATAAATGGAGGGCAAAGGGGTAAATGAAGTCACAGGTGAGGCCAGGGCTCTGGCCCTGCCCTGCCTTGCTAGTGGTGGATAGATTGCCTTTAAACTCCGGCAGTTAACAGAAAGGTGGCCTGGAGACAAAGAGAAGCCACTGACACCTGTTGGATCCGGCCTCTGCCCTGAGTCGTATAAATGAGGTTTCTTGTTTCAGGACTTCAAGTCCTCTCTGCATCCATCTTATACTGCCACCTCACCCTGCTCCATCTTTTTGTTTGGTGGGGCTGCAAAGAGAGAAGAGTCAGGATTCTGTTATGGGGTTGTTTTGTTTTTTATGGTATAATAGATTTGTATTTTAAAATGTGTTTTAAGTTGTTTAGAGACTTTCAGGTTACAAGGGACTAAGAAGTCTAATAGTAATGATGATGATCATGATTGTTATAATAATAATTATTCTGGAGAAGGCAGTAAGGGGCAAAGAGAGAAGAGAGGAATCATTATTTCCAAAGAGTAAAAAGTCAAAGCTTTCAGTTTCCTTTTTTGTATCTTTCAACTGTGTGTGCACAGGGGAAAGGCACTGTTCAAAACTGAAGTCACAGTGCAGGTCAAGGGATCAACAGCCTTCTATAATTAAGTACAGTGACCTGTCAGGCAATTAGTAGCCAGCATGAGGGAAGGGGCAGTAAAAGCTTGGAAATATGTAGGAGAGTAAAGGCAGAAAGAGGCATGCATTTATTTAGAGGATTTAATAAACTGCTTGATCCAAGAAGCTCTCCAAGCCGTATACAAAAAAATTGGAGCTAAAACTCACCGTCTAATTAAAAACAAATATACGTAGAGCCACTATCATTAGAGACAAAGATAAAATTAATAAAACTTCTAAAACGGATCTAGGTAACTCAGTTTCTATATCTGGGTAGACTTGCTGAAACGAAAAGGCTTTCAGTGGGCAGCTGAAATAGTACAGCGAGGGCATCTGCTTAATGTCAATAGGCAGGGTAGACACTGGTAGTGTAGCATCCCTTATTAAAACTGATCTCAACACCAAGAAAATGTAGCTTACAATTTTATTTCGGATCGGATAGTATCACATTTGAAGTTTATACAGGTAACTTGTGTCTTATGCACGGGTTCGGTTCTTGGGGTCCACATGTAAACACAAAATCAGTAAAAAGAAAAAAAAAGGCACATACAAGAAAGGTGGGATTGGTTGATGCGCACATACAAAGTTTTGACCTGGAAGTTGATAGTGACTCCTAGGCAATCACAATGCTTTTAGAAAGATGTGCAGGCAGGAATGTCAGCCGCTGGCCCAAATGATGAGGTTCTTCATCCTCCATGGCTTTTGCAGCTGGCCGTCCCACCTAGCAAAGAGAGCTAGAAGGGTGATGGCAGCAGGCCGGTGTGTCAGGAGTTGCTTAGTCCCTGCAAAGTATGTGTGTACGTAGGAGAGACTTAACGCACAGCATGGGGAAGCTGAAGCCTTGAAGTCCTTAAGCCATGTCCATTCATTCATTTAGTATACCGCCCTTCATCTGCAGATTGCAGAATGGTTGGTGGCCAGAAGGAACCTCTGCCAAGAGTGGCTGCTGAAAGCAAAAAAGTGGGGGAAATCATAGGTGGGAGAAGAATTAAAATCCAACTCCCGTCCCCAGTATGCCCAAACTGGGCTTTATTTGAATCATCCCCCTCTCCTGCCTTGTAGGGATTCAACATAGTTCAGCCCAAGATCAGTGTGACTAGTACTCAAGGATGACCTTTGACCAGTCACTGTCTCTCTCAGCCTAACCTACCTCACAGGGTGGTTGTGAAGGTAAAGTGAGGGTGGCGGATTATGCGCACCAACTTTTGCTAACTTGGTACCCAGCAGATATTTTGGACTACAACTCCCATCAGCCTGAGCATTATGCTGTGCTGACTGGGGCTGATGGGAGTTGTAGTCCAAAACAGGAGGGCGCCAGATTGGCAGAGGCTGATGATATAAAATGTTCTGAGCTCTTTGGAAGAAAGGTGACATGAAAATAGAAAGAAGATCCACTCTGGGTCATGTTTTCAGCCTCAGTTTGGTGCTTGTTTTTCCCTTTTAGCCCATCTTGATAAATCCTTTTCGGTTACTAAGCAAGTATTGAGTGTGCAATTGGATTATGATCCTGCACAAAGAGCCTAAATACTTAATCCACACGTTGCAAACCTTATTTGTGCAAAACCTGGGATTAAGCGCTGCTTTGCATCAGTAACTCTTGAGCGCTTGGTTCAAAGAACTTCATGTATTCCCAACTTTAATAATAATATCTTACTAGTGCAGGCACGCTCAAGCTCATTTAATCTCATGACATTTCCCTAAGAGAGAGAGAAAAAGAAAGAAAGGAGGAAGGCTTTCGCCCTGCTTTCTCTCTCGCCATGGCAGTGGATGAAGAGTTCTTTAAAAATACACAGCTTACTTGCAGATAGCTTAAATGAAGTGTGGGTAAGGCCACTGGAGTAAGCTGCAAATGCTGGGAGACTTCTGTCTTGATTGTGTAGCAGATCCCAGTATTCTTGTAAAATCAAATACTTACCTGAAAGAGGCATTCGGAATTACCTTAACCCGGGTTGACAGCGTTGTGGCTCCTCCTGTTATGGGTGTGGAACCTTTTTCAGCCAAAGGGCCACGTTCCCTTCTGGGGCCACGTACTAGTGGTGGGCGGGGTCAGAGGCAGAAGTGGGCAAAGTGTACAATAGGCTAGTTTTTGCACAGAACCCTCTGTGTCATCCAATCAGAGTTCAAGGATGCATTCAAGTCAAGCAAAGTCAGGAACAAGTCTGGATACAAAGCAGGGCCCATGAGTGGGGAGAGAACCAGGAGCCAGATAGGTATTTGAGGGCCACATTGGGCCCCTGAGTCTGAGGTTCTCCCCACTGGCCCTGAGCTGTTTTTAATGTCCCATGTCGTATATGCATGGATGTGGTATTTTATGAGATTATGTTCTATAAATACTTCTGTTTTTTAAAGCTGTTTTTGTTGTGATTGTATGTGTGCGTTTACTTCTTTTTAAATATTGTTGCTTTTTCCTATGTTTTTAGCTGCTCTTATTTTATTTATAAGCTGCCTTGAGTCAGGGGAAAAGGTGGGGTATAAATATATAACAATAATAATCTTTTAGAAACTGGTTTGAAAACCTCTTGAGGTCTTATAAAGCAGAATGTAAGTATTCTAAATAAATAGATGGATGCTGTCACAGGGGAGGTGATATCTAGAAAGCCTCAGGAGACACAGAATCACTTCAATTTCTACTTTTTTTTTTTATTTCTCTGGCACACCCACTTGGTGTTTACATTGCAATTTTTAAGTGTCATGGGACTGCTCTTTTATTCTCTGTTTAGATTGTGTTTTGACGTGGTTGATTTTGAGCTGTAGCTTCTGAAAGTTTTGCTTTCTCTCCCTGACAATGCGTTAATGATGTTTAGCTTGCTTTGTTAGTCCCCATTGAATGGGTAATTTTATTGATTTTTGTTTTTCTGATTTTTACATCTTGTATGCTGCTTTGAGCACTAGTCATGGGGAACAGGGTATACATATTTCAGAGAAAACTATTTTGAGAAGCTTCACATTCTTGGACACCGTTCTGGCATAATTTTAAATATTTGTGTAAGTGAAATAAAAATTGGTCTTAGAGATGTTACGTTCTTTGAAAACAAATTATTGAATGTACCATAAAGTCAACGGTGATCAATGTTCTAATTTGAAAGAAAAGACTAAAGTGAGAGAAAGCGTTCTTGTTTTGAAAATCAAAGAGCGTTCTCTAAGAACAGCAACTTTTTCATATTTCTGAAGGGAAACTTTAGAGGCTTTAATCAGTCCGAATAATTAGACAAACGTGGCTCATTAGTGTATTTCCCAGCAGAAACAGAATTTTCAGATCAGTCTTCTTAGAACTTTAGTACAATCTGCTGAGGGTATTTGCATTTTGTATGCATGAAATCCACCCCCCCTTTTTTGGTTTCCAACAGTCAAAACAAATTAAGACTTGTCATTAGGAATTTTCGTGCAAAAGTTACAGAACACATCCATCAGTGTACACTAGGTCATGGTCATGCCTACATGGATGTTCTGAATGCACATCCAACTTTGTAGCTCAGACACTACTTTGCCCATAGCTTACTCTACAGATGGAGTAATTTCAAGCTCAGGTGTATGTATGCACTGGCTCTGCCCTCTGGGAATGGGTGGTATCCAGCTAAGCCCCACTGAGAGTTCTTGCATTGCAGGGGGTTGGATGAGATGACCCTTGGGGTCCCTCCCAACTCTACAATTCTATGACCCAACTGAAATTAATGAATTAATGGGTCTCCTCTGAGTGGGACTAGCATTGGATACAACCCGTTGTTACTTGGAAAACTGAAAGGCAGACAGAATTGCTCTGAGATTTTTTTTTGTATTGCTTTGTAAGCGCTTTCATGTTGTTGTGCACTGCCCTGATGTTTTGCGAGAGGGCGGTACATAAATATTTTAATAAAAGTAAGTATTCTTACTTTATATATATATTTAGAGCATTTAGGCCCCTTGCTTCAGCCCAAATGGCTCCCAGAGTGCCTTACATACAATCAATTAAAACGAGACAGTACGTGTCTGCAGGTTTACAATCTTAAAAACACACACACACACACACACACACACACACGCACACGAAAAGGAACGGAGGGAAGAGGAAGAAAATAAAACTCAGGCACCAATAAATGTTTACTTTTTTGTCTTCTGTCAAGCATTCTTGAATACCCACGTCCCTGTTTTTATTCCTAAACCTGTTTTCTCAGTTGAATCCAACGATACCCTGTATGGTGGAGATACCAAATTCCTGGCAGAAACCAACAAGCTGTGTGAAACCTTGATAGCCCAGATCCTGGAGCATCTCAAGAGCCTTGGGAAGGATGAGGTTGGTGCAAACTAGTTTCTTCTTCTGGGACACACATCTAGCCTAGCTTTCCCCAGCCTGGTGCCCCTGCAGATTTTGTGGGACTACAATACCCATCATCAATGCTTGCTGGAGCAAATTAGAGCTGTAGACCAAAACACCTGGAGGACACCAGCTTGGGGGAACTTGGTTTACATAACAAATATTTGCACAAACACTTTCCGTAGTTTGCTTCCAGCGTTGTGTTGGGCCTGAAATCTGCTCCTAAGCTGCTGGCCACTGATAAAGCCTTGAACTGTGCCTCAGTTTTACTCTCCTTCCTTTCCTTTTGAACATATCTTGCTTACACCATTATTATGGTCACACCATTTCCTGCTGAGGTTTGGTCTCATGGTGTCAGGTTTCCCTCTGCAGGGGTGGAGGGCCCATTAAGCTGGTATGGCCTTGGAGACTGGATTCCTGAACCCTCTGGGAGATTTTGTGGTGGACAGAGCTCTTGATTCTGCTGAGGTCTTAGTCTTGCTGAAAATCAGTGAGTTTTGGTGGGCTATCCACACAATCACTCCAGTGCCTTCTCCAGCCTGGAGGAGCCCATGTTGTTCCTTGGTATTCTAGGGAGCTGCAGACTATAACACAGGCTGGATGATGGCCGGAGTATGAGTGGCGCAAAAGGCAAGGACGACTGCTTAGGTCTCTGTGATGACATTGACGCTGCTGTTGTTGTCACCAGTCTGGTTGAAGTGTCCAGTGTACCATCTGGTCTAGGTCTGTGGGACGAGGGTCAGCTTTTGAGGCTTGAGTACGTGGACAAGGTGTTTGCAGTAAGTCAACTGGCCATGAGTCAACCAGCCATGTATTCCTTTGGCCCTGACTCATCCTGGCTAATTTGAGCAGGCTGAGGAGAGGGTGGGTGAGTCCTGGGTATAGAAAATGCATCCTTGTATGAGAGTGTGATGCTTGCCAATCTTAAAAGAGGTGACAGTCTGTCGGTTCCTGGGGGAAAACCCCACCCCACCCAGGATCCCAAGATAAGTGACAAATAGCCCCTTTAGGGGTGAGGTGCTCAAGAGGGTGGTAGCAACTCTCCAGGCACTCTTGGAGAAAGATTATCTAGGCCAAATCCACTTTGGTTTTAGGCCTGGCTTTGGAACAGAATCAGCCTTGGGTGCCCTTATGAATGGCACTTAGTGTGAAAGAGGCAGGCATATGGTGGTGGTGCATCTTTGTTAAATCTCCTTGAGCTCTCACCGGCTCCTGATACCATTGACCATGGCATCCTTTTGAAAGTTACCATCTGGTCCCCAGTATGGTTTGACATGTCTATGATGCTGTTGGGAAGAGTTCATTTGAGGTATAGGTACACTGATTATTCCCAGCTCTGAATCAGAAGTGGCTGTGCCAGTGCCTGGAAGCAATGGTGGGCTGGATGAGATTCAGCAAGCTTATTATACTGTATTAGATCCCAACAAGATGCAGGCTCTGTAGGTGGGTGGCTTTCAGGCCTGTTCTGGATGGGATCTAGTTTGTAGTCTGCGATTTGAACTGCTTTTGTCACTAGAAGCTGAGGTGTCTGCAGGGGCGAAAAGTGTCTTTTATCAGCTTTGGCTTTTGTGCCAGCTTTGGCCGTTCCTAGACAGAGCATTAGCCAGGCCACAGTAATCTGTTCATTGGCACATTGAGACCGGACTACTGCAATGCACCCTATGAGCTCATAAAGCAATATCAGTGCTGTATAAGAACATCTCTCGTTGCCCACTCATTGGGAGTGTGGAGAGAGCAGTTGCTTGACTTCAGCAGGGCTAATGTTACTGTAGAATGAGGTAGCTGTAGATGCATGATGTCCAACTGCAGCAACATCTTCTTGGGGGAGCCTTTCCCTATGTTACATTCAACATAAACTCTTTTCTTGCTGGGTTGTATGCGTGCACGCATGAGCGAGTAGTCCTGGTAGCAGCGTTTAGGCAGCATTTTAATTTCATTCCCCTGCTTGCTTCAGCAGTAATTCACACCGGGCAACAGTTAAGGCTGGGTGAATTGAGAGAGGGCTCTGGTGAAGTATAAAATGCATTAATTAATGTGGCAGGTCAGCCACAATGGCTCAGCAGCTTCCAACTATTCTTCAGCTGATTTGATTCCTTGGGGCGATGGCTGGCAGCTCTGCCTCTAAAAGGGGGAGGGGAGGGCAAGCGGCTCTTGTTCTTCCCAAGTTGAACAGAAAGTGCCTCCTGACAAAGGGGATGATCAAAAGAGCATTCAGCCTACTACACAGGGGTAATGCTGGCATTGCTATGGAACACCTCTAGGGTTTGGCAGCTGCCCTAGAGAATCCCTGACGTGGTGCTTTTATGAAGCATCTTCAGGGTAAACATATACGAGTATATGAAACTCCCTTCTATTGAGGTTAGATCATTGGCTTATCGAGCTCAGCATTGTCTTACTGTGGCTCTCTGTGTGTCTGGATGAGATCTCTTCCAGCTTTCCTACTTGAGATTCTTTGGAATGGGATTGAACTAGGGAAAGTCTGCATGTGCAAGTCAGTGTTTATGTGACACTGCCTTTGTTTTTGCTGTTTTGTAATGTGTTCTAACAGTGTTGCGTGCAATACTGCAGAATGACACTGTTGTTTCCAAGAGGGTTTAAAAATTTAAAGTAGGCAGAAGACGTGAAGGGAGGGGCTGATGATAAGGGAACAAAAGGGGTTGCTCAGCCGTAGGTTAACCTGCCTGCCAGTCAAGTGCTTTCATTGCAGCTTCAGCCTAAGGGAAATGCAATTCCCTTTAGAAACAAAAGATGACATATGGATGATAAAAATAAAAAATAGTATTATCTCCATCATTACATCTGTTGATCTCAAAACAAGGCAAATCGCTTGACATTTGTTGGTTGAATGTCTGTAATCAAACAAGAAAAAGTCTTGTGCCAATTTTAATACTGATGTATTACAGCACAAACATTTGTGGACTAGAGTCCACTTCATCAGATGCATGATGTGGCATTGTCAGTAGGTAGATATGAATCAATAGGTGCAGGCTAAAAAAAAACTAAAAATGGGTCCAAATGACAGTGAAATGCAAAATCTGCAGCTCGACATTCCACCAGTTGATTCTCTCTTCCCTGCAACCCTGTGTATGATCTTGCAAGCTACATGTCTGTCTGCTAAAATAATTCTATGTTTTAAAATGCTGTAGACTTTAAAGCGGCAGAGCCAGCTGGCCCTCAACCTCTTCAATAGCATCTTGGCCCACGGAGACCTGAGAAACAACAAACTCAACCAGCTCGCTGTTAACCTGTGGAACCTGGCTCAGAGGCACGGCTACGCAGACACAAAAATCACGGTAAGGCAGATTTTGAGGCTGGGCAGGGGGTGACCTTTGTATTCGAACAACAGAGTTTTGCGGCATCTTAAAAGACTTAACAGATTTATTGTAGCATCAATATTTATGGGCTGGAATCCACTTCATCAGATGCAAGAAGTTGGCAGCTATAAAATAAATAGCTACAGAGAGGGAAAATGGGACCAAATGGCAATGAAGGGAAAGGGTCAGCTTGCCTTGTTTTGTTTCCATCTGTAGAAGACTTGGTTTAGCAGAATTGTCTCTTTCCACATTGTCTAATAATTTAAACTCTTCGAATTAGGATATCCAAGCTTCCCTGTTTTAATCGGAATAATAGTTCATGCCTGACTCCGCTGGATCCTGAAACCCAGTTTGCCACCCTACTTAAAAGCAGAGCTGCATAGCAAGAAGACGGCTCATGTCAACCTTTCACTCACTTTCCCCATAAAACTGGAACTCAGGGTCACCCAGTGAACTTGACTGGCAGAAGATTTGAAACAGACATAGGAGAAGATGCACAACACATAATTAGTCATGTGATTCATTGTCAAAAGATGTGTTGATGCTCACAGACCTGGATGTCTTGATAGGGTAACAAAATATACCCCTCAGTCACTACTAGTCATGGCTGCTATATGAATTATCCATTTTCAGAGGGCTATTGACTTCAAGCCTTGCTTGTTGCCTTTGAGGATGCACCTGGTTGGTCATAGGATGATGGACTAGATGGACCTTAATTCAGAAAATCATTGCTAAATAACTTTTGCATGGCTTGATTTTCTTTTGCAACTTCTTCTTTCCTTCCCCCAAAGTCAGACTCACCACTGAGTACGCAACCAAAAGAATAGCTGGGCTGTTCCATTTCACTCGATGCTCATCAGGAAAACATAGGGAGAATGCTGCTAGCTGCATTTACCCAGAATAAAGTAATTTCGTTGTCCCCGAGAGGGGCAATGACAATAAAGATATTATTATTATTATTATTATTATTATTATTATTATTATTATTATTATTATTATTATAAGCCGTGCTGTTCACTAGGAAGTGAAGCTGCCTACGTTAGACCTGGAAAATGGGTATTTTTGTGGCATTGTAAACCCAGGTCTGTGTGTTCCATGCACTTTTAAGTGCCCCAAATTACTTTTTACAAAATCGAAGCTGTGCTCCCAAGGTAACTCAGATTGACCAATGGCCCATAGCCCAGTGGCAGAGCTTATGCATTTTTCATGGCCAATGTTCCAGGTTCAACGCTGCTACTTCCAGTTAATGGGCCTTGGTTTCAGCAAGAGAGACAGACAGAGACCCCCTTCTGCAATTGGGGCCAGTAAGCTGCTGTAGGTCAGAGCAGACTCAAGTCATTATGAGGCAGCTTCTTTCTCTGTGATTTACATAATAGACACACCTTAAGCAAGCTTTCACAATTGCCTGCCCTTTGATTTTGGTTGTGCTCAGGGGTCAGGATGCTCTGCAGGGCATTTCAGCCCTGCTCCCAACTAACGCTGGGCGATATATCAATATATCTCGCCCAGGACCAGTATGGGAGGGGAGACTGCGATGACAGCTTCACTCAGCATCACTGCTCTTGAGTCCCTCCCCCACCCAGCATGCTGAGGAAGAAATAAACTAGTCAGGAGCTGGAGGCAGAGGGACTCAAGTGGTGGCGGATTCACCAGCGATATACCACTGGTGAAACCGCAATTGCACTCTGCCCCTGGATTGGCAACTGCCACCAGTTCGCAGGAGCCAGTGGCAGGATTAAAGTGCTTCTCCTAGCCCAGCTGCAAGAGCCCTGACCCTGCTGCTGCTTGCATGAGAGGGATTGGGCCTGCTCAGCTGGGAAGAGTAAAGCCTGCCCTTCCCAGCTGAGAGAGCCAGGACCCCGTTCATGCTTGTACTTGGAGTAGGAGCAGGATCGGGTCTACAGCCGTGCTTGGCTACCGCCTGCCTGCCTTCATCTGGGAAGGTGTGCTGTGCTTTTCCTCCCAGAAAGAGGGAGCCCACCTTCCTAGTGCAAGGCAACCAGGCAGTATAGGGGCTCTTCGGTGCTGCTTTGCACCCTGGATCTTGTGGACTTCACCCAGGAGGGTGGGCTGCATCTTTCCTCCTGGGGTGAACAACCCCAAGAGGAAAGAGGCAGTGCACCCACATGGGCGAAGGCTTAAGGCAGTCAAATGCACAAAGCCCAACAGGCTCTGTGCGCTTGGCTACTGATCTGTCTTTGGGAAGTGGGGGGCGAAAGGGGAAGGTAGCTTGCTTGCCCCCCACACAAGTGGGGCAGCCTGGCCAAGGAGCCCCAAGGTCCTTGCTGCTCGAGCGCGAGTGGCAGGGACACCTGGGCTGCCTCTGCTGGGGGCAGGAGCTTTCCGCCCCCAGCAGCCTGGCCAAGGAGCCCCACGTCCCCTGGTGGCCACATATGAGTGGAAGGGGACTCAGGGCTCACTCAGCTGGGGGCAGGAGCCTTTACACCAGGCATAGGCAAACTCAGCCCTCCAGATGTTTTGGGACTACAACTCCCATCATCCCTGACCACGGGTTCTGTTAGCTAGGGATGATGGGAGTTGTAGTCCCAAAACATCTGGAGGGCTGAGTTTGCCTATGCCTGCTTTACACGCATCCCCAGATGAGCAGCAGGCTGGGGCCAGCTGTATTGGCCACAGGCTGCAAGGTGCTGAGGTAAAAGCACCTCAGCTTCCATGATGAGAACTGCAGCAGTTTCACCCATCACCTTGCCAGCTGGTGCCAATGCAGCTTTTTACAACATCACAGTTTATCACCAAACTCTGGTGTTTGGAAGCCTCTGCCACCTTGTTAATTTTTGAGGACTTCCACAGATGTTGCTTAGGGCACTGTCAAATTTCCACATTGTTCAGTGGTTTCAAACCCATCCTGAAGCAGATACACATTCCCTGTAGAGAGAGGACTTGATTTTCATTGTTTATTTCCCCCCCTGCTTCTTTCCATCTTAGGTCAAAACCTTGGAATACATCAAGAAGCAAAGCAAACACCCTGAGCTGAGCCATTTTACCGATCTTGCTGCACGACTTCCTCTGCAGTCAAGGACCTGACAAATCATAGCCTCCTGAACTTGGATGTACTGGAGGGTCTTTCTCTAAGGTCTATAAACCCCCCAGGCTGCATCTTAGGCTATTATCGGAGTTCAATATCTTTTTTTCATTTTGTAGAGTCCCTTGGTGCGTGACAGATTTATTTGGTCAGAGACAGAAGGAAAATGTGTCCTGACAGTGCCATCATTTTTGAAATGAGGTTTTGTTTCCCCACTGCACAGCCACTAACCATTAAAAGGTGATTTAAATGCTAACTGGGGGTCGGTGAAACAGTATCTTACAATTTCAGACTGGAAATAACTTTTCTATCCAAATCTGATGGGGCTGTAAAGAAAAAAGGAGAGATAACTTGTGCTAGCAATGTTTGAGCAATGTCTTTTGAGTGCTGCAGCCTTTGAAAGATGGGCTTGTTACTCAGCATTCATCTTGAATATACCTCTCAGAACACCTTGCTGTTGGGCCTTTTTTTTTATTTTAAAGCATCATGTAAATGGAGAGATTCTTGAGCGTTTGTGGTAGACCTTGAGAAATACTTGGAAGCAAATGTGTCCGGGAAGCTTTGGTGGCTAAGCTCAAAATGCATCGCTGTATTTAAGAAAAGATCTAATCATGGATACATCACATTTGTATTCATTCCCATTACCGAACTTTGCAAGCAGCGCTTAGCCTGCTATTTTGTAATCATTAGGCACACTTATTATTATGCTGCATAACCCAGCCTTCATTTGCCTTTTGATTGTAAGCCCATGTGAGCAGCTTGAGCTTTTTATAAAAAAATTCTTTAAATTACTAGTTAACACATCCCTTTAAGAATGGGCGAGCAGCGTATCAAAATGGATGGGGTGTACCTTTTTTCAGTTCAGCACCAGCAATGTACATGATGCCTTAGAGAGGCAAAAATGGAAATGTCCCTGCCTGCAAAGAGCTTGCTCTTTCCAAATAGACAATTTGGGGAAATGCAGGAAAGATGAATGTGGACAGATGTGATCATATAAGGTACACTGAAAGCCATGCAGAGAAGCTGAGCTTTGAGGAGGGATCTGAGAAGGAAAAGAGGCAATGCTCATATAAAGACCACATCCCTGTTTGAGAAAGTTTCACATCCAGGGCCAGAAAGGGAGAATAATTGTTTATTTTGAGGTTTTTGAACCAGCCCTTGAACTGAACGATTCTCTAGGTGCTTTAGCACAAGTTGTTGTAATACAAAAGCTCACCTTTGCAAACCCAGGTCATAAGACGAGCCTGCGGGATTAAGCCAAAGGCTCATTTAGTCCAGCCTCCTGTTCTCACAGTGGCCAACCAGATGCCAATGGGAACCCCCAATCAGGACATCGCTCTCCCCAGCAACCAGCATAAAGGCTTCAGCAGTGGAGGTAGAATGTAGCCATGGCTTGGCAGCCTTTACTTCTCTGGCTCATGGCACAAGCCAGTGTGTACCTCCCTTTGGTTTCATAGTTCAAGAACACCGGGAGGTTGCAACAGAGTTGTCCTTTCTGGCATTGAGGGAGGAAGCAAGCTCCCTGCAGCTGCTCTTGACTTGCTGTGATGTTCTTCCCAGAAGGCAAAGGCTCCAGCCTCCCAGTGACCCTTAGTCGCCCTGACCATTGGCAGAGGCCAGTGTGCCTCCCTTTGGCTCTGTGGTACCAGGGAATCTGGCTGCTAACATCAGGCCTGTATTAAACAGCAAGTGGCCTTTGTGTAGCTGAGGGTGCAGCAACTGGGGTAGCAGAGGTGACAGTGAGAAGCCAGGGCCAAAACAGGGTGGAGTAATATTGTGAAGAGCAAGGGTAAGGGGCACAATTCCTAGAATATCCCTGCAATGTCCTTAAGGATAACTCTGGTGGCCAGACCTTCCATTTTCAAGAAAAAAAGTTGGGATTTGGTGGTCCTGTATGGTAAGAGGTTTCTGCTACAACAAAGCACTGTGAACAGTGCCCTTTGGTGGCATCACTGCCATGAGGTCACTGCATGGTATTGCATGTCCTTGCAGGAGCAAACATATTTGTTGCTGGTGTTGCATTGGAAATCTCAGCCATAGAGGTTTGCTCGTAATTCTGTTTAAACAAATGGAATCCCACCCATGCTCAGTGGAACATGGAGAGAAACATAATGAAAGACAAGTTATTTAAGCTGTCTGTCTGCAAGCTTTGCTTATACAATGAGTCGTGTAGGAAGGAGCACCATGCATCTGAGGACAGAAGAAAATGAGGCAGAGAGAACAAGGATGCTGGAAACTAGGAATGAGTTCAAAAACTGGACGAATCAAAGTCAGCTGCTGTTAAGGGAGTGGTTGCTTGGGGCTTAGTAAGTGCATCGTGTATAAAAGGGAGGGGGGTGATGAGACTTGCTGAGCCATTTTGCCAAGCAGAATTCTACTGCCTTAATAATAGCAGCCACCAAGGAAGCTGTGGGCAGAAAGCTGAGGGGAAGCTATTATGCTTGCAGAACAAGCAAACATCTTTTGGGCAGAATGCAATTTGGATGCATCACCATTGCCATGTGAGGACATAATAGGTGGAGGGGAAGGGATGGGTGTGATCTGGCATATCTGCAGATGAACCAACTCACAAGTCAGTTGGGCAAACCCAATGCAGAATGTTTTATGCAAACAAATAACGTGGGACTTCATTCTTAGTCATTCTTAACGTGGGACTTCATTCTTAGTCATTCCAACAAATATTGTTCTCCCCCTGATCCCTCCTCCAGAAGAAACACTGTTAAGGAAACCAAACATGATTTAGGAAAGCCTCCCTTATAGTTCAGCCTTCAAATTTTATAGATCTTGATGCAAATTTATCTATGTGCACCTGCTTCTGAATGGGAGGCTGAAATCCAAGGCCGATGCCTCTGTGGTGCTTCCAAGCTAACGCCTTCTCAAATTCAGTCTGTAGCTTCTGCTGCAGGTTCTGCTCTTTGCTCTTGTCCAAAGCCATGTTCAGCTTGGAGGCATGTGCTGGAGGACCTTGGACTGGCACAGAACCCTTCTTAAATCCACCCATCAGCCGGAGGAACTTGGTTTTTTGCTCTGAATTTTCAAAGGTCGCTGTGGTCCACTGGCCAAAATGGACATCCTGAAATGCAAGGCACAAGTGTGGATTAGTGCCCCAAAGGACCTAAATCAAGTTTATTAGCCAACCAAATGCAGGTTATAGCCAAAGAAGGAAAACAGGAGAACAGTGTGATGCAGGGGTACATGTTCAGTGCTCCAACTCAACCACTAAGATTGTCTGATGGTGGTTCCTCACATCCCTGAGGTTCAGTCAGCCTTTACTAGGGACCAAGCCCTTAGTGTGGCAGGCCCTTCCCTGTGGAACTCCCTGCCACCAGAGGATTGACAGGAATCCTCCCCCCGCCTCCTTTCAGATGTTTCCTGCAAACATTATATTAAGACAGGCCTCTGAAATGTTTATTTTTCTATTCTCTTCCCACTCATTTTTATTGATCTTATTGCAATTTTGTATGGTGTCTACCATTTTGCTGTGTTCTTATGAAATGTAGAGTCTATAAATATTAAATATGTACCGGGCACTGCACTGTCTTTTCATGCTAGAAGATGGCACATCACTTGTGGCCTTAGCATGATAGCAAAGGCTGCATCTCAGTAAGCATACCTTCTGCAAGGATTGTCTATATAAATAAGGTAAGGTAAAGGTACCCCTGCCCATACGGGCCAGTCTTGACAGACTCTAGGGTTGTGCGCCCATCTCACTCTATAGGCCGGGGGCCAGCGCTGTCCAGAAGACACTTCCGGGTCACGTGGCCAGCGTGACAAAGCCGCATCTGGCGAGCCAGCGCAGCACACGGAAACTCCGTTTACCTTCCCACCAGTAAGCGGTCCCTATTTATCTACTTGCACCCAGAGGTGCTTTTGAACTGCTAGGTTGGCAGGCGCTGGGACCGAGCAACGGGAGCGCACCCCGCTGCGGGGATCTATATAAATATACCAATGCAAATAAGTGAGGAAGGTGCAGGAGGCAGAGAGGCACAGGCCAGAACTAGTAACAGCTTAGTGCAGGTGTGAGGAACATTTGGCCCTCCAGATTGCTGCCGAACAACAATTCCCAACAGCCCCAGCCAGTACAAACAATGGCCAGGGATGGTGGGTGTTGTAGTTCTGCAGTATCTGGAGGGTCAGAAGTTCCCCATGCCTGGCTCAGTGGTAGAGTATGTGCTTTGCAGACAGAGGTTCCCAGACTCAATTTCTTTAAAAGGGTCAGGAAGCAGGAGATGGGGAAGACACCCTTTTCTGAGACATGAAGAGCCACGGCCAGTCAGAATAGCTAATACTAGGCTAGATGGACAATAAGGCAGCTTCCTATGCATCACTTCCCTTAAAACAGCCCAAAGCCACTTAACAGTAAAAACATCCAGACAATAAAAGTGTTGTGTTAAAACAATTTCAAGTCCAATACAAATAAAGATTGGGATACAATCTCCCTTTAAGTGGCTCGTTTGGAAGAGGAAATGGGTGCCAAAAAAGACAAGCGAGACAGTGCCTATCTGATATGTAAACAGAAGGAGTTACAAAGCATAAGTGCCATGCTAAAGGCCTGATTTCCTACAATGTACGATGTCCGGATAAGGTGGTATCTGGAGGAGGGCCTCACCTGCAGAGCGCAGTGCTCTGTTGGGTATATAAGAGGGCGAGATGATTCAAGAGAAGAAATATTCTCCTTGTTTTGCCCTTCCTTTCCACCCCCCTCCCCACATTTACGCACACATGCATTGCGTCTCCCTCTCCCCCTCCCCAATCCCTCCCCCTGCTTCCTCTCACCATCAGTAGGTGACAACAACAGCAGTCAAAACAAAAGAGGCAGCGACAGCCCTCCAGGCATACCCAGGGAACCAACAGAAAGACAGGAGTCCTACGGGAGATGTTCTCTGAACCACTGCCTTCTGATTTTTCATTTCCTACCATGCCCAACTCTTCTTTCCAATTGTCTAGACTTCCTCCATTCTCAGCTTCTGCACCCAGACATGTCAGCTTGCAAACAATTAATTCTACTTAGCGGTGGTGGTGGTGGTGAGATTTGTGCAGGCGTAATAACAGCTTTTCCAAACCCTGCAATTTTGGAGGTTAACTCTGAGCAGCTCTCCAACATGTCTTTATTTTTCCCTACCCTTTTTAGCTGGCTTTTTGTGAAGCTTGCCATTGGGCTCTGTCACTGCTGTTCTTCCAGGTGCTAATGCATTCTGATAGGCCGTCACCAAGGGATTGGGATTCCCTGCATAAATGTCAGCTGGAGGACAACTCTACAGCCATCTAGACATTTGCACATTTAAAGCACAACTGGGCATTTACAAAAAAAAACCTGTCCAGCTTCCTTCACCTGAAATACCCTACAACTCTTTTGGAGGTTGCCAGCATCCACCTGGCATTACAGTTTTAGCGACAAGCTGAAACATTTGCAGAGGAGGACGCCCACGATGGAAACCAAGCCTTATGAGAAATAGTTGAAGGAGCTGGGTATGTTTAGCCTGAAGAGAAGACTTGAGAGGAAACAGACACCTTCAAATATCTGAAAGGGTGCCAAATGAAGATGGAGCAAGCTTGCTTTCTGCTGCTCTAGACCAGGCTTCCTCAAACTCGGCCCTCCAGATGTTTTGAGACTACAGTTCCCATCATCCCTGACCACTGGTCCTGCTAGCTAGGGATCATGGGAGTTGTAGGCCAAAAACATCTGGAGGGCAGAGTTTGAGGAAGCCTGCTCTAGATAGTAGAATCTACAGTGGTGCCTCGCAAGACGAAATTAACCCGTTCCGCGGTTTTTTTCGTCTTGCGAAGCACGGCTATTAGCGGCTTAGCGGCTTAACGCTGCGGCTTTAAGAAAAAGGAAACGAACTCGCAAGACGTTTCGTCTTGCGAAGCAAGCCCATAGGGAAATTCGTCTTGTGGAACGACTCAAAAAATGGAAAACCCTTTCGTCTAGCGAGTTTTTCGTCTTGCGAGGCATTCGTCTTGCGGGGCACCACTGTATACCAATGGATTCAGATTACAAGAAAGAAGATTCCAACTAAACATAGAATTGTAGAGTTTGAAGGCACCTCAAGGGTCATCTAGTCCAATCCCCTGCAATGCAACAATCTTTTGCCCAATGTGGCGCTCAAACCCACAATCCTGAGATGAATAGTCTCATGCTCTACCGACTGAGCTATCCTAGCAGTCGCTAGGAATAACTTTCTGATGGTAAGACCTATTTGATGGGGATATGGGCTATCTTGGAAGGTGCTGGACTCTCCTTCACTGGAGGCTTATAAACAGATGTTGAATGGCCAACTGCCAGGAGTTCTTTAGCTGTGATTCCTGCACTGCTGAGGGTTGAACTACTACAGCCCTTGGGGGTTCCTTCCACCTCAACAATTCTATGATACTATAACTGAATAGGACTAGCCAGAATAGTCTACCATCCAGGCAGTGACCAGAAGCAGACCAGCTTACTTTCAGCACATACCTTTAGACTATGTACTTCACTGTTGGAGGCACTACACCTCTGAATATCAGTTATTAGGAATCACAAACAGGGAGAGTGCAGTTAAGCTCCTGCTTGCATGGTTCCAATAAGCACCTGGATGCTGCCCATTGTGAGAGCAGGATGCTGGATCAGATGGGCCACTGGCCTGATCCAAAAGAGGCTCTTATGCTTTTACACAGAAGTGATAATTCAGAGAGGAAATCTGTCATGTGTGAAGTGGCCCTTTGAGACAGCTGGACTTCTAATGTGAGCAGATGCCAATCGATACCCAAGATGGCCTATTCACCTAAAGTACAGAAACCTTTTAACACTCCCTCTTGGCGATTTAAGACTCAATTTCCCCATCTAAGTCAGCAAACACAGAGAACCTCAATCATGCCATTACTCCAGCTCCCAAGATAGCCTAGCTCATTTCCGCCAGGGATTTGGGGACCACATTCTTCAAAGGGGGCAACTGCCTCCTGCAGTTAAGAGTATTAGATGGTGCAGTCCACTAAATGCAGGGAAAAGGTAGGCTCCCTCAGATTCTCTACCTCTGACTGGTCATCTTTTGCAGTCATGGAGAAAAGAAACATGGCAGTGCTAATCAGAGTGTGACAGCTATGTCCAAGGGCTAGTGTTATTTATATTCCACAGCAAATAGACAGAAACAAACACACAAAAATTCTACAGCAAATATATCACAACTAATTCCATTAAGGGACTATCGGAGCAAAAATGCTATTTTTCAGGATTAACAACTGGAATCACAGTTTTCTGGAGGTCAGAGTGCTCTGCTTTCAGCATCTCTAAAGACTGGACTCATTTGTTCTACAGCATGACCTCAAGTTTCCAATCAGATGAGAGATTGGCGTGCCAAACCACAGACATGACTAGCAGCGCAAGCCAACCACGGGGGAGGGCTGCTTTGTCCTTGCTACCTGGGCTCTTGCAGAGCTTGTGCTTACCGATTCTCCCTCTTCCTTGACAGTCTTCATTTTGCCAGATTCCCTGTCAATCTCTTCCTGGAGAGCCTGCCGTCTCAACTGGCATGGAAAAATAGGGGGAAAATGTGCATGAGGGCAAAAAAAAATTGTTTGATTGTAAAACTGGTTAGAAATGTCAGGATGTTGAGGGGAGAAGTGGCCAAAATGTTACTTGCAGGAAAGAAAAGGCACAATTTCAACCCTTTTACGCATACAAGAATTTGCAAAGGCAAAAAGCATCTGCAAGACAAGCAGTTCTCAAATACACAGAAATGCACAGAATGTTTTACAGACTGGGTGGCTGCATTTACTTGGCTCTGAGAACACTGTAGGTAGTGGATGACCTCAAACTGTGTACATGGAAAAGAGTGGCAATGAAGGAGGGATGATAAAACACCCATGGAAACAATCAGACATTTTGAACCCTTTTGGCATTATCTAGTTGCCTTCCCCAGCCAGCTACTCCAGTTTCAAAATTCCCTTGCATCAGAGATGGGCAACCTTCCCAGTGCCTCCTGGATGCATTTCCAGAGTGCCCGAAATACCACTCTCCTGTTCTAAAGTAGGTGCCTGTAGCCATAAAAAAAAGGGGGGCAAGTAAGCTTGACAAAACAAAGGGGGCTTATCAGGAAGACTAGGAAAGAAGAAGAGCAGGTGGAGGTGGGGAGAGGACAAATCTGAAAGCCTCAGGACTTCTAAGCTCATCTCATTCACAAAGGACCAACACATCTGAATCCAGCACTTGGGGAGGAAGGCTGGCTTTGCACATCTGATGCTGTGCCCAGAATTACAGAACCATCACAGAGCAAGAATAGGTGGCCAAAGCAGCAGAACTGCAGGTGGTGCCTGAAGCTGAGTCCTTCCATGGTTAGAGTTGTGAAACACAATTATCTGCTAGATAACAGACCCCCTTCTCAATTTACAGAGGATCCTCAATTTACAGAGGATCATTCAATCTTATCCTAAAACCGCCACTTCTCTCACACTGGAGTTGACCAAACAACACCTTGGTTCAGATGACCGATTAAACTACAGTTTATGGGTTATACGTGACTGGTGGGAACAAGCTGTGTCAACTCTGAGGCTGCATGCTCTCGCTTCCCACTCTTCCATCTTTGTACGAGAAGTGGAAGAGGGGAGCGTGTGAGCCCAAAACTCATCACAGTTTGATTGTCTAAACTACGGTTGATCAATCAGTGACTGTTTCGTATCTGAAATGCTTTAAACACAGATGTTCTTGTGGGAAATGTGGTATATAAATCAAGTGATAATGACTAGGAGCATAATCCACAACCTACATAAGTCTGAGCCACATAGTCACTAACCCGAAAGCCACATAGTCACTAACTGGGAAGCAGCACATAAAAGTCTGGCATAGCCCAAGATGGGCATCCTGAGAGGGCAGGACATGCAGGTGAGATCCTGCTTCACCAAGTCCATGTGAGCCAGACACTGGACATTATCCAAATCAGCCTAATATGTGCCACAATAAGACTCCAAAAGAGCCACAAAAGAATAAGGTTGTACCTTGTCTATTTGTATTTCGTCACAGTTTCCTTTCTTAAACGCCACCACTTTTATTTCTTCATCCCCTTCCTGAAAAACAAGAGTACACATTTTGAGTATCACCGGGAAAACCCGCTCATGTTTAAGTGTGATATGGTTAGGATATAATGTGGAAACATTACTCCCAAAAAATGGTATAAAAATGGAAGATTAAAGGAATAGCACTGAGTGGCTATTGGAGCCCTGCCATCTTTTAATGAAGTTACTGGTAGCCATGGCCAAGATAAGATCAGACCCAAAGCTCATCTAGCCCATCATTCTGTTCCCACAGTGGCCAAAAAGATGGCGACGGGAAGTCCACAAGCAGGAGTACAAAAAACACCCTCACAGTTTGTGGTCTCTGAATGCATACCACCTCTGATATTGGAAGCAAGAAAGCTATCATATGGCTATTAGTCTTAACCTTCACAAATTTCTCTGATCCCCCTTTAAGGCTGTCCAAATTGGTGGGTATCACCACATTATTGTGGTAGGAGAGAAAGAACAGATAACTGAAAGGAGAGGTCATAACCGCCCCAAAGAACCTGTGTGGCGTAGTGCTTGGAACATCAGACTAGGACCTGAAAGACAGGGGTTCAAATCCCCACTCAAACATGAAATCCCCACTTCTTACATTCCTCCATGGTAAGAACTGTGTATTTATTTCTACTCTCTGCTTCCAAGTGTATCGATCCTATCCTCTTATCCCAAAAGTTTTTGGTGAGGAGCTTTATGACAAAAGGTTTTCAAAAATTTAAAGACACAATGTTGACTGGGTCACCCCTACTTACATGCTTACTGACAATTTCAAAGAATGCTAAAAGTTTCAAGTGCTCATTCAGCCATGAATTTTGGGTGAGCTACACTTTTCCAGCCCAACCCAACCTACCTAGAGGTCCCGGGCCCTAAGGAAGTTAAATTAGCCTCAACCAGAGCCTCAACACTGGCTCCGGCCTGGTGGAACGCTCTGTCTCATGAGACCAGGACCCTGCAGGATTGAATTTCTTTCCACAGGGCCTGTAAGACAGAGTTGTTCCGCCTGGCCTTTGGCTTAGAATCAATTTGATTCCCTCCCCCTCTTTCTTTTTTCCTTTCTCCTCCTGTGAAGAGGCTGCATCTTAATGTTTTAATGTAGCATTTTAATCTTGTTTTTAAATTGTATTTTAATCAACTTGTTTTTATTATTGGTTGTTCGTCACCCTGAGCCTGGTATTGGCTGGGGAGGGCAGGGTATAAATAAAATTTATTATTATTATTATCCCATCGGGCACTCGTGATGCTAAAATGGGGGCAGGGGAGGGCAAGGGAGAGGGAAGCAGAATCACACATGACACTCTGACCTTACTGGAGGACAGGTGGGATAAAAACAAACTGCATAAGAAATGGCAAATAGCAAGTTCTATTTAGAAGCTACCTTTGCTTCTTGTTTAATCTTTGCTTTCTTGAAACTGGGCTCTTCTTCACAGGCTTTGGAGTCTCTGTTCTCCCGGTCCTTCTTCTTTTTCTTCTTGATGTGCTGCCTGCTGTCATTTTCAGATCTGCCATCTTCCGAGCTCACTACATGGTCTTGTGCCTTTTTGGATTTGGGGGCGTTCTTAGTCCTCTTTGTTGCTGACCAGCTCTCTTTTGTAGCCACATCTCCATCATTTTCCAAGAGAGCTGGATGATCGCTTGCAACTTTGGTTTGGGTTTTCCTCTTCTTCATTTTCTTCTTCTTCTTCACTTTGTTGTCTTGTTCAGAGTTTGAGATCAGACCTGTTTTCTCCTTGCCATTGCTTGGCTTTGTTTTAGATTTTTGTTTTGGTTGGCTTTCAATAGAAACACAAGACTGATTTTCCTGGTTATCCTCTGATGTCAGAAGAGGTTGCTTTCTTTTCTTTTTCTTCCTCTTCTTCTTCTTCATTACTTTGCTTTCTTCTTCTGATACATTGGGTGTGCCCTCTAGATGCTGTTGAAAACCAAGAGCTCTCCTCTTGCAACCAAATTCTTCTTCTAACTGGTGTACAGTGTTGGCAATACCTTTTTCTTTTAAACAGCAAACTTTTCCCCCCTTTACAATATCCTTGTCACCTGCAGCATTTTGGACAAGAGTCTGAAACGTTGTCTCCTGGGAAATGGTTTTTTGTTTTTTGGAGATGTGTTTTACAGGCTCATGCTCATCTTCTCCACTAAGTTGTATTACACAGTGAGCAGGTTTGTGTTTTTTCTTTTTCTTCTTTTTCTTTGCAGGAAATCCATCACCAACTCCATCACTGTCTGGAATATCCCTTTTGCGTTTCTTACTAATGAAAAAAGGGGCTTCCTGCTGTTCTATTGGCAGCTCTTTACTAGAAATCTCACCATCACCATCTTGATTACAAGAAAATCTTTGTGTTCCTTTTCTCTTGAGCTTCTTAGGCATTTCATCAGTTTCTTTTAATAATTCTGAATCTGAACTGCTTTCTATAACAATAGGAAGGTTTGTACAACCTTTGCTCTTCAATTTGGAAGCATTTTTCTTCATTGAATCTATCTGATCTGAACCCTCTCCATTTACCAAGCGCTTCTTTTTCTTTGCCTTGACTTTGGTTTGTAAATCATGATAGCCATTTTCTTCTATTATAGCAACTGCCTGGTTTCTAACCATAGCGTTAACTTTATTATTTATCTGCACAGATCTATCAGTTTTGTTCCTTGCATCCTTTATGACTATTCTGAAAAACAAAAAGCAGACACCCATTTACCAAGTAGTAACTTACCACAGTGGTATCATTATAGTTTAGCAAGATGTGAACAAGCTTAGCCTCCCTCCAGGTTTGTGTGTTCCTCTCTCCCTTCTCCCATGAGAAGAATAATGCTTTTTTGCTGAAACACATTAGGCTACTAATAATTTATCAGCAACTTGAGACACAATCTCTCTTTTTGGCAGCTATTTCCATGCTTGACACATTTTCTGCTGCAGGGGAAGCAGATGATCTCTACACTCTTAAATAAGTTAAATAAGTAGCACTGTCCTTCATTGCAAGCAATTCCAGTGACATTCTTTGTTACAGCGGGCTGTGGGCATACAACCAAATTAGAAAGCTTTAAATGGGAATTATGCAATTTCATGAACGATAAGGTGGTCAATGGCAACTAGTCATGATTTCTGTATGTACTATATGCAGAATCAGATTCAACAGGCCTCTGAATGACCATTTCTGAGGTGACAACAGGAGTGTTTTTACTCTCATGTCCTGCTTGCCATAGGCATCCAAATGGCTGCTGTAAATATAAGATGCCTTCCAACCCTACAATTCTATGATAGTTGGGCACTTGGACTGATCCAGCATGGTTCGTCTTGTGCTCTTATATTTAACAGTGCAAAAGGAGTCAGACAGGAAGGTATAGTGTTAAAGGCACATATTCACAAACACTTCATACATATTGGGTCTCTTTCGCCCCATCTTATGACACATCTCCATGTGGACAAACAATATGCGTTCCCACCCTTATTTATTAGGTAAGATTTCTTCCTTTTCCTTCACCACAAGGTGACTTACAGCAATAAATTGTGTAATTATAAATCAAATAAAACAGTTACAACCCTATGCAAGTGTAAAGATAATCGAAAACAGTTCCCCATAGAAAACAATTAAAAACAACTTTGTATCAAAAAACCCCAAACAAACAAACACAGGTAAAAATAGTTCAGATGCAGGCTAGAATAAGGACCTCAATTTAAAAGGCTTGTTGGATGGTCAACAAGACAATAGATGCCAAAAAGGCAGCAGAGGCAGGACCTGCCTTGTAGTTAATGGCAGAGAGTTCAAAAGGGGAGATGCCACCACGCTAAAGGCCCTGTGGGACGGACCACCTGTAAAGATGGTACCTGCATGAGGCCCTCTTCTGAAGAGCACAGTGACTGGCTGGGCATTTTAGGGGGGGTGACAATCTTTTAGGTATCCTGGTCTCAAACCAGGAGCGGCAACAGAAGAACAAGTCTTTTCTTTTAAAGTATTTTTTATTAGAGATTTCTTGGTTTACAAAAGTATCTGCAATGTCTCTTTTTTCAAGTTACATTTTCTACAGGTCAGTTTCATTTGCTGAGACATTAGTGTTACATTAGGAAGAAAAAGGGGGGAAGAGGTGGAGGGGGCAGAACGAATCTTTTCTGTAGTGGCTCCCTGTTTGTGGAACACTCCCCCCCCCCCGAGAGGCTTATTTATTTTCATACAATTTATGCACTGCTTGTTTGTTCTTTTGAAAGCTGTTTACAAAAAGACAAAACAAAATCGAAAAGCAAATAAATCACGACCATGCTTTTAAAACCATACTTTGTTGCATCTCTTTAGGCGTGCAGAATTGAGTCAGTGGCTCATATGCTTCTGGCTAGCACTCTTTATAAAAAGATTTGAGGTTATTACCCCTCTATTATTGTCTATGCTGGGTCGCCCAACCACTGCTACTGTGCCCTTTCTTTTAGCAGATCAAGATGATCAGGTGACAGCAAAAACTGCAAGGTTTTTAGCGGGGCCAATTAGAATAAGGTCTATTATTTGATTATTGATGTAACCCCCACAAAAAAATGTATTTTCTATAGTTAGGTTTTCACCTCTCTCGTCAGTATGTTTTATTTTATTGCTATGGCTAGTGGCTGATGCAAAATAGATTCTTCTGATTCTGATCGGGCGAAAATGTTCCTCTTCTCCCAGGCCTTTGGCTACTTACTTAAACCACCTGTGGCTTATCAAAAAAATATGTGTGTGTGTTGTTATTTTATTATGTTACGTATTCCTGCGTTGTTGCTTTTTCTGCCGCCTTGAGACCCTCGAATGAAGGGCGGTATAAAAAATAATAAAACGAAATGACATGGACACCAGGACTCTCCTGATCTTGCTGGACTCCCAGCTCCTCCCACGGCAGCCTCGGCCATGAGCCATGCGGCCTGGGAGTCAGGAGAGCCGGGAGGCCGGCAGCATCTGGAAGGCCGCAGTTGTTGTCCCGTCCCCCCCCCCGCTGCTTGGGGGTCACGGGCCTCCCAGCCCTACGGAAGCCAAAGCCTCCCCTCACCCCACAGAAACCGACCCCTCCCTCTAGCCTTCTCCCCCCCACACCGCCACTCACCTGTCCTGAGGAAGGGGAGCGGGGCCCGTTGGCCTGCCTGCCTCCTCCTACGACCCCAGCTCCTTCCCTCCCCTACCTGCGCGCCGCTTCTTCGAAAGCCGCGAAAACACTTCGCCTCGCTCGGCCTGACCCGGAAAGGAAAACAGGCGCCGCGGCCTAGCGGGGAAACCGCCGCCGGGCGCCCGCGGCTTTGAGGTTGCCTAGCAACCGCTCCCCCTTCCTCCTCCTGCCGCGGCTGCTATGGAGGAACTCCCGGCCCCCAACCTCTGGGATCAAATCTGCGCAGGTGGGAGACCCTCCCCCCCCCGCGTTGCCCCCCTTTTGCCCGCATCTTCGGCAAATGCCTCGGTCCAAATTGGGGGCGTGATCTATCCAGACCTTCTCTAGGAGCAGGGCCGGATTTAGGTTTGATGAGGCCCTAATATACTGAAGGCAAAGGGGCCCTTTATATGTCCAGCTGAGCTGTCCTTTCTCAACAACAAATGGCCGCTGTTTTTTTGTGTTGAATATATGCTATATGGTAATTTATGGACCTAATACACAACACAAATCACTGCTGCTGTATGTAGGTTTTATTTGTTTTGTTTTTTATCTTATATTTTGGAAATCTACATCCAGTTTTCCCCCCCCTTTAAATTTTTTGGGGGCCCCCAAGAGAGTGGGGCCCTAAACTATAGCTTTTTTAGCTTATACGGAAATCCGGCACTGCCGAGGAGCAACGAAAACCTGACACTTTCACACACACCCTTTTCTTTTCCTCCTCCCCCTCCCCAGAATTTGAAGCAATGCAGCCTCCCCATCCTGACACGTTGGACCAGAAGAGGGAGGTTGTGCCTGAAGCTAAGCAAGAGCCTGTAGTTACTTCCCAGGTAAAGACAATTGCTGTGTGAAGAAGCACTTTTTGTTTGTTATCCATCCTGTATCTTTCAACATTCAGCTTCATTTGGATTTCCATGCATCCTGGTGTTAGGAGAAAGTAAGAAACTCCCCCCACCCACTTCCTCCTTGCTATGCCTAATTTTCTAAACTTCTGTCATGTCACCTCTGGCTCGCCTTTTCCCTCAACTGAAATGTCCCCAATTCTGTATGGATTCAGTTCCTCTCCCCTTGTGTCGATCCTCCAGCTTCAAAGGCACTGTATCACCGAATAGAGGCTGCAGCGGAACAAAAGATGGGGATTGGCGGCTGCCCTCATGTCCTGCGTCTGGGCTCCCTGTAGGAAATGAGAGGCTAAACTAGACATAGACTGTCCGTTTGATGTGTCCCAGTTCTTCTTATCTTCCTGAATATTCCTTATTTTGCAGATTTCATTGCAGGGACAAATCCCAGGTATTCGTCTAATACTAAGTAGCAGGTACTGTTTTGCACAGCCCTGTTCTCCACTTCACCTGGCAACATCCTCTTTACAAATCAGCATCACGTGGAAATCTGCATGGATTTCATCCTCTGAGCAAATCCTTCTTGATCAAAAGGATGAAGGAAGCGGGGTGGGGTGGGGAAACAAGGTTGAAGGATGGTAATCCAGACTTGATGTTTCCATTTGTTCATATCATTTGAATCTCTGCCATGAATGCAGGTAGAGACTGGAGATCTCTGCAGAATCATGCCTTCCCCCCAGTAATCCAGAGATGTATACAGTGGTACCTCGGGTTACAGACGCTTCAGGTTACAGACGCTTTAGGTTACAGACTCTGCTAACCTAGAAATAGTACCTCGGGTTAAGAACTTTGCTTCAGGATGAGAACAGAAATCGTGCTCCAGCGGCAGCGGGAGACCCTGTTAGCTAAAGTGGTACCTCAGGTTAAGAACAGACCTCCAGAATGAATTAAGTTCTTAACCTGAGATACCACTGTAATTTGTTATGGGTGCTGATAGTTGTTAGGAAACCCCTATTCCCCTTGCAGAGTTACAATTCCAAAATTGGTTTTAACAATCAGTCCTTCTTCTCAGGGAACTCTTGAAATTGAAGTTATGTAAAGCAAATAGGGATCTCCTATTGGCAGGGGGGACCCTGTTGTTGTTGCTGTCTCCAGCTACTGCCCAATTGGCATAGACCCCATGACATGGCCTTCTTGGTGGTGGTTCCCTTTTTCTTTCCTTTTTCCTTTTTTTGGAATGTGCTTCCTGGTGAGATGCATCTGCCTCCTTCATTGACTTTCAAGAGAAAATTTAAAACATTTTTAGGTATTTCAGTTGGTTAGAGCATGGTGGTAATAACACCAAGGTTGCAGATTTGAACCCCATATGAGACACCTGCATATTCCTGCAGGGGGTTGGTCTAGATGATCCTCAGAGCCCCTTCCAACTCTGCAGTTCTACGCTTCCTGTTTGTCCAGGCATTTGATGGCTATGAGATATTGGACATTACAGCCATGAAATGTATACTACTGTTTTAAAATGTGTTTAGATGCTCTAAAAGTTTTAGATGGTTTTCAATTGTTTTTGAATGATTTAAACGTGTTTTATTCTATATTAAATTGTACTGCTTTAACATTTATGTTTGCTACCCTAGGCTCTTCTAGAAAAGGGGTGTGATACAAATTTAAGAAATGAATACGTGGGGATTTATTTGGATCTGGATCTTCTGTTCATTTATAACATTCTGTTCACTGAACTTCACTAGCTCCAGGCTATGCTTTGAGTCTGGGTTCCTTTTTGGGATCAGCTTGTTAAAAATGTGTTGTTGTAATTGTTGTTGTTTTTGTAATTATGCCAGGATATTTATATTATTAAATTTGATTTTAAGGAGGCTCCTGCAGGTACTGAAATTTCACCAGATTTGAGTGGGGATCAGAGCAAATCACCTCTTACTGATGAATCGATTGCTGCAAAGACCCCTTCTCTCTTTTCCCTACCAACATCACCTGAGCTGCCTGACCTAAAAACCTGTAAGTCGGAGCTTATTTATTATTTTTTAATTAAATTTGTATATCACCCTTCATCCGAAAATCATAGGGCGGTTCACAACATAAAGATACAAAATGAGAACACAAAATACATAATAAAAAACAAGAACAAACCAATAATTCCCCCTTCCAAAAGACGTTTAAAAGGGCATAGAATGTTAATAAGCCAAAGGCCCAGTTAAAGAGAAACGTTTTTGCCTAGCGCCTAAAGATCTGTAATGTAGGCGCTTGTCAAGCCTCCCAAGGGAGAGAATTCAACTAATGGGGAGCCACCAAAGAAAAGGCCTGCTCTTGTGTTGTCACCCTCTGGGCCTCACATGAAGATGGGCCTCAGATGGTGATTGCAGGATCTGAGTTAGTTCACAAGGGGAGAGGTGGTCCTGAGCCATTTAAGGCTTTATAGGTTAAAACCAACACTTTGAATTGGGCCTGGAAACTAATTGGCAGCCAGTGCAGTTGCACCAGGATTAGCGTAATATGCTCAAACCGCCTTGCCCCAGCGAGCAACCTGGACATATTTAATTAGAATTGTACTTTTGCAAGACAAAAAAGTAGTACCAAAATCAACCAGGGAGAGAAAGAAGAGAGACCCTTAACCTGGCCATAATGGCTTGGGTATGATACAAACAATATCACTGCATAAAAATGAATTCTCAAGAATAATTTTTGTCCAGGTACTCCAAGAGAATTATTGGAATGCTACATATTTCCTGTGCTTCTACCAGGAATGGCAGAACTGCTACATCAGGCTAAAAAGGAAAAATGTTTTGAGGTCAGTTTTCGGTGATTAATTTGTTTTCTGAAATGTAATGATTTATTTTAAACTATTACTCTGTACCTACTTGACTGCAGTTCTCAAGACAGCTTATAGTATTATTATATACCAGCTTATAGTATTATTATGTAGCAGCCTTCCCCAGTCTAACGACTGCAAGATGTTTTCAACAGCTTCCTTCATCCTTGACCATGTTGTCTGGGGCACTTGAGAGCTGTCAGCCAAAACATCTGGAGGGCACCAGGTTGGGGGAGACTGGTCTATAGGATGGCCATGATAAGTGAAGTCTCTGTGTGCAAGAGCAGCTGTGCCTCCAAGTGCCAGACAAATTACAGAGATTGAACATCACTATCCGGCATTGCTTGTGAATTTCTCCAGAGGGATCAGGCTATCCTCTGTTGCATATGGAACACTGGGCTCCTGACAGATCTTTCTTTAGAAGGTTCAGCCATTGATTATACAGTCATAAGACCCAATATTTATTTTATATCCTGCCTTTTGATCTAGTGATCCCCAAAGTGGCTTACAACAGATTGCAATGACACACACACACACAAAACAAGCCCTTAAACCAGGTGTGGGAGAACCTTTGGTCCTCTGTATGTTGCTGAACTACAACGCCTATCATCCCTGGCCTTTGGCCACGCTTGCCGGGACAGATAGAAGTTGCAGTTTGGCAACATATGGAGGTCCAGAGGTTCCCCAAACCTGCTTTAAATTCAATACATTCCCAGCAGCTCTTTGCACCATGTCCAATGGATGTGCTTCCCTTCTGCTCTGCAGTACTAGGATAGTTGACTTACAGAGCTGAGTCTTGTTTCTGGCAGAGGCCAGAGTGTGCATCCCTTCAGCTCTACCATTTTCGGGGCAAAGCAAAAGCAGTCCTTGTGACATGAGACAAGCCGGCTGGATCAGGCCAGTGGTCCATCTAGTCCCACATCCTGTTCTCACCATGGCCAACCAAATGGGAAGCTCACAAGCAGGACTCAAGCGCTACAACACTCTCCCCTCCTGTGGTTTCCATCAACTGCATTAATAGCCACTGATAGCTTGATCGTCTATGAATTTGTCCAGTCCTCTTCTAAAGCTATCCAAGCCGATGGCCATCGCTACGTCTTGTGAGAGTGAATTCTGATGTTTAACTTTGGAGATTTTGATGGCCTTAGAGATCTGGGTTCCGGAGGTTAGAAGCTGATCCCTGTTACGCGTGCCCCAGCATGGAAGTGCCGCAGCATGAGTAAGGTTTTAAGGTTGATAGTTTGTTGTTTCTTGAGCCTGGCTCCTGGCCAATTAAGTATTTTGCGAAGAGCACATGCAGGCTGTAGCACATGCCTCATTAGTGTGTTGAAATTGAGGGTCCCCGCAGGTTTAATGATGGGCTTTGCAGAAGCTAACCTTATTAAGTCTTCATGTCTATTGTATTTATTCTTTGTTTTCTGACTGGCTTATCATAGTTAAGATGCAGCTATTAATGGTACATTGATTTCCAACCCCCCTTTTAAAACACATGCACAAACGTAACAGCAGCACGTTCCTTTAAAGCAATAACAACTTGGGCAATCTGAAACTCATTTCAAAATGACACCTGCAATTAAATAGCTGATAATAGAAGCCTAAGATCACTGTTGTGTATGTGTTTCTTTTGCAAAATTGGTCTCAATTGTATTAAACAGTGATGTAAAATGCATTTTTTTTTTTGTATGTGACCGACTTCTACTTGTTCTGTATTTTACTTTTATTTTAAAATGCTCATCTCTTGCCTTTCTGTCTCTAATAACATTCAAGGCTTCAGTATGCAATACACACGTAAAATGAAGTAGTGACAATTAAAAGAAGTGTCACAAAAAGCAAGGGGAGGGAAAACTCAAAATAAGGTCAGCAGAGAAGCATGGAGAACTTTATGGTCTTACAGTCTCATCCCATCTCTGAGTGATAATGTGTATTCCTGCACTTACTTAAACATGCCGTCAACCACCTTGGCTGCATTTGGGAGTCCTCTTGCTCTTTCTACTATGTCAGAGGGTGGGGAGTTGAATTGTGCCCCAAAGTCCTACCTTGATGGCACTACCACTGTCAACAGCTTATAGAATGGTCTGTATACAACTTGTAAGTCATCTTATAGCTGAGTACACAACATACATTTAAAGCACTTTCTCCCCCAAATAATCCTGGGAACTTGTGATGGGTGCTTGGAATTGTTGCCCTGTAAGGGACGTGGATGGCGCTGTGGGTTACACCACAGAGCCTAGGACTTGCCGATCAGAAGGTTGGCGGTTCAAATCCCCGCAACGGGGTGAGCTCCCGTTGCTCGGTCCCTGCTCCTGCCAACCTAGCAGTTTGAAAGCACATCAAAGTGCAAGTAGATAAATAGGTACCGCTCCGTCGGGAAGGTAAACAACGTTTCTGTGTGCTGCTCTGGTTCGCCAGAAGCGGCTCAGTCATGCTGGTCACATGACCCAGAAGCTGTACGCTGGCTCCCTCAGGCCTATAAAGCGAGATGAGCACCGCAACCCCAGAGTCGGCCATGACTGGAGCTAATGGTCAGGGGTCCCTTTACCTTTAAGGGATAAACTACAGTTCCCAGGATTCTGGGGGTGAGGTGGGGAATGTGCTTTAAATATATGGTATGTACACAGGCTATGCTAAATATTTTGAGAGTTGATGCTATTGTTTGCAAAGGAAAGAAAGCATAATTGTTACTTGTAATTGCCTTTTGAGGGGGGGATGAGGAGCTGTTCATCAAGATATTAGCATAATTTTTGCACCGTATTGTCTCCCAAGGCATAAAACAAAAGCGATAAAGAATGGAAAATTATTCTCATTGTGAAAATAGTTTCAAACACATCTGCTGGATAACAATACACATTGTATAGAGGTTTCCTGTGCATATCCGGATTTGTTCAGTATCACACAGCTGTGCCAAATACAAACTTCATTTACTATTTTATTTTCTGGCTGAGAAACTCCTGGAGCTTGGAAAATAGATGGGGGCTACCTAGTTTGTAGATGGGGTTCCTAGTTTGTGATTTCATGAGCTTCCTTGATGTTACATGCATGACATAGCATAGAAGATGGATTGGGGGAAGCCGGGTTCAGCTCAGTTGGATACAAAGCTCTCTGACCATCCAGAACCGACTGCGCTGTCTATTACTTTTTCAGCAAGGGACTTTCCTTCCCATTGACACTAGACGTGGCCTAACGGGAGTTCTGCGATAACAACTCCCAATCGTTCCATCTGTTTCCGATGTTCAGCCTGTGAGTGTGCTGCTTATGTAGCACAAGAGACAGGATTTGGCAGGCCGATGGAAGCTCCCAAGTGGTGTTGAATCCTTCTTGGAGTGGGGGTGGGGGTTGAGCTAAAAGCAAAGAAATGGAAGTCTGGAGAAAGTTCCAGTGCTTCTGGTTCTGTAGCATCAATGCAGCTTCTAAAAGCATCCAAGCTGCAGGCATTCCATCAGGCTACAGCAAAGGGAGAGATGAGACAGCAGGGACCACTCCGTCGCCACTGCTGAAATACCAGCTCCATCAGGCTCTTTCCTTTCTTCTGCCATCTACCAGCAGCTATTCCATCAGGCTGCAGCAGAAAGAGAGAGGGGAGAGCAGAGCCTACTCCATCAGCTCTACCAAAAAAGCAACTCCATCAAGCTCATTCCTGTCATCTAGCAGTAGACATTCCATCAGGCTCCAGCAGCCGTTTCTCTTTCAGTCCTTTCTTATACCACCATCAGAAGTTCATTATAAGAACTTTGTAACTTTTTAGAACTGGCTCCTGGATTTGCTTATCTTCCTCTTCCCTTCTCAACCCCTTCAGCTTTTTGTTGGCGTGTCTTTTAGATTGCAATACTGAGGTCAGAGAACTGATTTGTTTGTTATTGATCTTATATAAGTTGCTCTGGGAGACTTTTTGGCTAAAGAGCAGGGGGGAAAAAGAAGAAGCTTTAAATAAGTGAATAACAAATAAAACTTGGAGTTTTCCGTCAGCCATTAGTTGTTATTATACTGTATTGTTATTTTTTCTGGGGAAGGAGCAAACTTTACTGTGAAGTAGCACACTGGGCAATTTTTCACCGGAAATATAAGATTTGACTTGTGAAGTGGGAGGAGAGAGAGGAAAGCTTATAAGTGTCTAGATTATTACTTTGGCTTAAAATAGACACAGTATTAAAAGACATGGTGAGATTTTACTCCCAGCCCATTGCATAATCCAGCAGGAAATTATCTCCCAAAAATCCTGATAGAAGTGAGTGGCGTAAGAATGCAAGAGCCCTGCTGGATCAGGCCAAAGGCCCACCTAGTCCAACATCCTGTTCTCACAGTGACCAGCAGGGTGCCTGTGGGACATCTACAAGTAGGATTCCTGCATTGCAGGGGGTTGGACTAGATGACCATTGGGGTCCCTGCCAAGTCTATGATTCTATGACGGCCCTCTCTCCACTTGTGATCATTATTATTTATTCAATTTTCATTCATCTGAAGATCAGAGTGTGGGTTTACAGCATAATGAGAACACAAAATACAGAACGAAGCCAACCAATAACCTTCTCCCACGCCCCCTCGGCACAGATAGTTCAATCAGCCAAAGGCCTGGTTATAAAGGAAAGGTTCTGCTTAATGCCTCAAGATATGTTACAAAGGTGCCAGATGAGCTCATTCCACAAATGGGGAGCCACCACAGAAAAGGCCTGTTTTCGTGTTGCCATCTCCTGGACCTCTTTTGGAGGGGGTCACACGAAAAAGGACCTCAGATTATGATTGCATGTTCCGGGTTGGTTAATATGAGCAGAGGCGCCACCAAGGGCTTCAAATTTGGCCTGCAATATCGTTTCCGCCTCTTCCCTCCCATTCCTTTTTCCTGATGCATCCTGTCTTTTTTCTTTAGACTGCAAGGCTGAAGGCACGGACTACTGATTTTTGTAAACCACCTGGGAAGCCTTTTTGTCTGAAGAGTTGGGGCACAAATGCCTAGAATAACTAAGCAAAGCAAGCCCCCCCCCCCCCCCGGGACGTCAGGGGTGCTGCTTTTGAGTCGTGCACAGCCGCAGAGTAGAACCCTGGAGGTTTCCTTGCATTAACTCTCTTAATCCCCTCAATCCAAATGGCCTGTTCTTGGAAACTGTAATCCCAGGAAAGGATTTGCTTCTGCTTCCGTGTCATAAATATCAACTTAAGGGAACACATTTCTTTTACTTTCAGAGCGGGGTGGAATAAGAAGCAGCTTCCAATGGGGATTCCCACCCTCTAAAGCTGCTTGTAAGTTCCAGCAGATAAATGAAAGCCTAGCTAGGCCTTAATCCGGAGACATAGATAAAGGGCATGCAAGAGACTGCATGAGTTTCTGGCAGTGTCCTCTTTGGTTGCTCCAAACAATACAAAGCTGAGATGGGGAACCTGCAGCCTGCTGCCTTCCGTCTCATTTCATGTGGCCCTCGGTATAATCCGTCTTGCCGAACGCTGAAGCCACTCTTTCTTTCTGGACTGCCACTCTGGGAATCATAGAATTGGAAGGGACCATGAGAATCATCTAGTCCAACCCCCTGCAATGCAGGAATCTTTTGCCCAACTTGGGGCTCAAACCCACAACCCTGAGATTTAAGAGTCCCATGCTCTACCAAGTGAGCTATCCCAGACTTCCTCTTCCACCTCATGCGTGTGCTTGTGTCAGAGAGAGAGGAGGGATGCAGTGGAACAGAGAGGCGGGGAAATCTATGCAATCCTGCTAAGCAGGAGTGGAGAACCTTCCAGGGGCCACATGCCAGTTATGGGCAGGGCCAGGGGCCAAAGTGGGTGGAGCAAGGAATGTAAGTTCTATACAGTGGTACCTCGGGTTACATACGCTTCAGGTGACATACGCTTCAGGTTACAGACTCCGCTAACCCAGAAATAGTACCTCGGGTTAAGAACTTTGCTTCAGGATGAGAACAGAAATCGTGCAGCGGCGACGCAGCGGCAGCGGGAGGCCCCATTAGCTAAAGTGGTCTTCAGGTTAAGAACAGTTTCAGGTTAAGATCAGACCTCCAGAACGAATTACCGTATTTTTCGCCCTATAGGACGCACTTTTCCCCCTCCAAAAATGAAGGGGAAATGTGTGTGCGTCCTATGGGGCGAATGCAGGCTTTCGCTGAAGCCTGGAGAGCGAGAGGGGTCGGGGCGCACTGACCCCTCGCTCTCCAGGCTTCGCACACCTCTCCGCAAGCAGCGGGAGCCCAGCGCTGGGCTCCCGCTGCTTGCGGAGAGTTGTCTGCATGCCGAAGCCTGCGCGTGCTCAGCTCAGCGCGTCCAGGCTTCGTGGACCTCTCCGCAAGCAGCGGGAGGGCTTGCAGAGAGCTGCCTGTTTGGGGGCTGGGGTCGGGGGAAGCTCGAGCTTCCCCCGCCCCAGCCCCGTGCCTTGGGGGGAAATATTTTTTTCCCCTTTATTTCCCCCCCAAAAAACTAGGTGCGCCTTATGGGACGGTGTGTCCTATAGAGCGAAAAATACGGTAAGTTCTTAACCCAAGGTGTCAATGTATTTATATCGTAGGCTAGTTTCTAAACACACACACACTCGCCTCTCTACCATTCTCCATCCAAGCAGGCCAGAAGTTCAAGGATGCATTTCAGCCAGGCAAAAACTCTTGAGGATTTGCAGTAGGGCTGGCACTGGGTGTAGTCTGGGGAGAGAGACCCAGATAGTTTAGGCTGGGGGGCTGCATTCAGCACAGCAGCATAGCAACCCCCTGCCACCCAGAATCCAACCCCCGATGCACAGACGCACTAAAGAAGAAGAAGAAGAAGAAGAAGAAGAAGAAGAAGAAGAAGAAGAAGAGTTTGGATTTGATATCCCGCCTTTCACTCCCTTTAAGGAGTCTCAAAGCGGCTAACATTCTCCTTTCCCTTCCTCCCCCACAACAAGCACTCTGTGAGGTGAGTGGGGCTGAGAGACTTCAAAGAAGTGTGACTGGCCCAAGGTCACCCAGCAGCTGCAAGTGGAGGAGCGGAGACATGAACCCGGTTCCCCAGATTAGGAGACTACCGCTCTTAACCACTACACCACAAAGACTCCCTTGCCGCCCTACGACCCCCAAACGCCCAGTGCGGATCACCACCACCCTGTCCTTGGCTACCTACGTTACTGATTCAGCACCTGGGCCTGCAGTTCTCTATCCCTGTTGCAAATAATGCCCACCTTTGGCTCTGGTTCTTTCCGCCATTGGCCCCAGCTCCATTCCCCATTGGCTGCGACCCCAGTTGACTTTTCTCCTGGGTCAAGAGCCCTACATAAGAAAAAGGTTCCCAGGCCTGGTGGAGGTGGATAAACCACAATGGGATCTTTGTAGGAAGGGATCTATCTTACCTATCTATGGGATGCAGCTATCCAAACCTCATTTGTAAATAATAATAATAATAATAATAATAATAATAATAATATCACCTCTGACATGTGTTCCAAGGCGACATACAAATTATAATGAAAGCATAAAAGCTAGCAGAACCAAAATCAATACAATACAGGCACCTGTGGCAGGGGCCTGTTCATTCCACTGGGAAAGCTTGCTGGCTGTTGCTCTGATATGTGTCTCATTTTTGCGTCATCTTCTGTCTTGTAGAGGAAAAGGACAAGATTCATTGCCTTGGATTTCCTGACCGAATGGCTATACAAGTAAGTTACTTAAGCTTTGAAATATTAAACCAGGGGCAGCCAACCTGGTTCTATCCAGATTTTGCTGGAGTACAGCTTTAAAGAGCTCCAGCCAACCTGGTAAAAAGTCAAGGACAAAATCTGGAGAGCACCATGTTGGCCATATCCATATTAAATGTTCCTAATTTCCCCCCCTGTTGTTTGTGAACCATTTTGAGACCCATGTGTTTGATTTCCTTTTCTAATGGTGCCTTTTTAACCTCATGGCGGCCCGATCAGCCACAACCCAAAGAGGAAAGACGAACCGTTTGTTGAGTTCTTCGAGATCCCTTTTGTGAAGGAGTGGCTAAAGGACCAGTAAGTATCACCCAAGAATCAAATACAGTATTCCTGCCCCCCTTCCCCCTCCCCGCCTGCTCATCTTGCCCCCTATCTGGCAAACCTCAGGATAGAGCTCAGTCAAATTGTCCCCTTTTCAATTGCCTTTATTATTCATGTGTAACAAAGACTCTCTGACATGCATGCTAATTTGGTAGCCACCTTGTTCCAAGGCATTTTTGTCCATGGTTAATTTGCACAGAAATTGAAAGGGAGAATGCTGAAAGATTCATTATTCCTGAACCCGTAGAGGAGGGGTCTTTAAATTGCCTGCTATTGTTCTGATTATTGTTATACGAATGAACAAATATTGTTTACTGGCACAACAGTTTGACAACGCATCTTTTTTTGTGGGGGGTATTCTGTTGATTCAAAGGGTTCCTTCAGAGTGGGGCCAAATGCGTTTCCACTGTAGCACTTTTGCAACTATGAATAGGATAAGCAAGACCTGCTGGGAAGCCACTTTACATAGACAGTTTGCCATGTTGAGCAGCCTCTCCATGTGGATGCAAGCCACAAAGCTACCTAAATGGGTGATGGCATGTGAATCGGGTGGCAGTGTCTCCAATGTGTTTGCTGCCCTGGGCTCCTTTGGGAGGAATAGCGGGATATCATTTTAAGGAACAAACAAGTGAATAAATAAGCAAATAAGTTAAATTAATAGAAGGAGACCAGGGTGCTTCAGAAACACCGGGTGCGTGGGGAGTTGTAATAGGAGGAGCGTTGCATACTATTAAGCTATTCTAGAGCCTCGCTCAAAGTCACCTGCCGCTTTGCAAGTGTATGAAAGGAAATAGCCTTCATTTCTGCATTTGTGTGGTTTCCTGTGCCATCTGCCCACGGCCAGCTGGCACATGGGCATTTGACTGGGGTTACAAGAGCGCTTCAGTTTGTTTGCATTATGAAGTACCTCCAAACACCCTCTTGTTGAGCTTTTCATCCTCCGCTATTGACCCTCCGAATTCTCAAAAGTTTCTCTGGGGTTTAACTCCTGCTTCTGTCTGTCTGTCTGTTGGTCCATCCGATGGCTTCTTTGTTCTACTAATAAATTGCAGAATTGCACATAGCATTTTTTCTCTGGAGGCTAACATGCATGCCAAGTGTATGTGGAACATTCTCCCCCCCCCCTTTTCTCCTTTTCATATTCTAATTGACCTAAGTCTGCTAGTCTCAGCTGCCTTTACAGTTGACATCACTCAGTTCTCAGCTGGCCCTATAGGGCTAATTTAGCAGGGGTGACTGCTTTCTTTCTCTCTCCACAAAGCTCTGTGCTTCTACAGGCTTTGCAATGTTTCAAGCGGCCTGCCCCGGCCCTGGTTTTCACCATAAGCATTTATTTTGAGCGTCCCCCTGCTCCGTGCCTGGCTACACCGCTCTCATCTTAGCTAGAGCTCGAGGAGAGGGATGGCTTTTGAGCACCGGAGAGAATTTCTCTTCTCCATAGCATTTCAAAGAAATGGCGGGAGGAGGGTTTGTGTGAAAAAGCAGCTGGGCCATCTGTAAAGGAGACGTCCGCATTCATGGAACAGCTTGTTTGGAAGATGCTGGAGTGTTGGAAAATATGGGATAGATAAAAGAGAAGACGTAATTGCACAGTGCATAGTTAAAACTATGGGATTTGCTCCAACGGGAAGTAGTGGTGGCCCTCAGCCTGGTTGGCCACTGTAAAAACAGGATGCTGAACTAGATATGCCTTTTGCCTTATCTATCAGGGTTGTTCATATGCTCTTACATTCATGCATTTGTGTTTCTTCGCTAAACTGTGTGCTGTATTGTAAGGAAACATTGCAGCTGAGCTTGGGCTATCAACAGCTACTCAGAAGAGAGTCTGAACCACTCAGCACAGTGAAGGGGAGGCCCAAACACCTGAAGAGAGGCCAAACTGAGACATAAGGAAGTCATTTGGAAAACTTTGAAAATACCTGCCCTTTCTTCAGTGAGCTCAGATAGATAGTTCTTTCCTCACTCTATCCTTTCAAGTACCCTGTGAGGTTGTCTGGCCTGAGCACTGGTGCCTGACCCAAGGCCTGCCACTTTGCTGAGCATCTCATGTTTCAGAAAGCACAGATTAGGTCGGTTGTTCACTGTTCATTGTGAACTGAATTGAGTTTCTCCCCCATCGCTAGCCTGAAGCAGCTGCCTCACACTGCCTAATGGTAGGGCTGGCCCTGAGGCCATTTCACCACCAGAGATCTGATCATGGGCCTTCAGATAACAGAGAAGCCAAAAGGAAGGACAAGTAGCAGCAGCAGACAGGGATTCTGGGGAATTCCATCAAATGGAAAAGGAGTGGGAAATGTCGATATTTGCTTATTTGTCCAGTATCCAGGACAGAAATCAGTCAGGCGAATGCAGTCAGTAGTCACTGTTGTTGTTGCTTTCAGCCTGCAATTGATATGTAATTGATTAGGTTTTTTGGCCATTGCATTTGCATCTCACATTCTTTGCATTGAAACAAATGGCATGGAACAACATAATGACAACATAACTTTATCTAATCAATTACACAACTTACATAATTCGCCATAGCAGATAGTGAGATGGCTAAAGTACTTTTTGGCGGAAGATGAACTGCAGTGGAATAGAAGCACTGCTGTGTGTGATGAGTACAGGGTGGGATGGAAAATGATGCCTTCTCACATCCTTCAAGACAGAGTCTCTTCCCCTTTGCCTCGTTCTTCACATCTCTCGTCTGTTCTTGCCACCTCCTGTCCCCCTTGGCAAGCACAGTTTTTGTTTCCCAGCTGAATGAACAAGCTGTGAATCTATTGCTTTTGGTGACCTTCTGTCTGTTTCCAATTTCATGACTTAAAAAAATTACACACACACGCAAAACGTAAAGCCCTTTTAGGGACCCCCCCCCCCGTATGTCAGCAATACACTTAGCAGATCCTCTCTTCCACCATGCTGGAAATAAAAACAGGAAGACATTGCTTCCTGCATTTGAAGCCTCTGTAAAAATCCAGATGAGCTCCTTCAACCACCATTTCAAACGTCCACCCCCATTCCTCCTCCTGTATCAGGAGATGCTGCATGCAGCAAACTTCCTCTCTTTCTAAATACGCTGGAACAAGAATCACTGCAGGGGCTGAACTATTAGATTGTCAGACACAGTGAATGTCAAAATCTGCCCAGCACGTTTGGCCTAGATTAACGCCTGTGTTCTCCATGTGCGAATCCATACTCCAGCAAAAAAGAGAAAGAAGCAACTATTCCATTCTGAAATGAGTTGACTGAAGCCTTCCTTTTTATTTATTTATTGGAAAAGGCACAATAGAATTGTAAGAATTGCCGTGCTTCAATGGGCCAACAGTCTGCCTTGGCCAAGGATGGGGAAACCGGTGGCGCTCCCAGTTGTTGTTTGGCTCCAACCCCTTCAGCCCTTGCTGGAACAGCCACTAGTCAGGTATGAAGGGAGTTGTAGTCCGACAGCTTCTGGCAGGGCCACGGGTATCTCATTATGGCGTTCTGCCTTTGGAAGAGGTTGCCCATATGCCGCGGGGAAGCTCAGAAGCTGGGCAAGTTGGTGATCTCCATCCCGGTTGTTAGCCCCCAATGTCTATTGGTCAGGTATACAGTGGTACCTTGGGTTACAGACGCTTCAGGTTACAGACGCTTCAGGTTACAGACTCTGCTAACCCAGAAATAGTACCTCGGGTTAAGAACTTTACCTCAGGATGAGAACAGAAATCGCACGGTGGCAGCACAGCAGCAGCGGGAGGCCCCATTAGTTAAAGTGGTGCTTCAGGTTAAGAACAGTTTCAGGTTAAGAACGGACCTCCAGAACGAATTAAGTTCTTAACCCGAGGTACCACTGTACTGTCTCTAAATATGGAGTTCCATTTTGCAGTTACAAGCAGGGTCTACAGCAAAATGTTGCAGTGTGGAGTGCTCCCATTCAGGGTGCCAGCCGGACATGTCCATTCCTCCTCCTCAAAGGTCAATCAGTATTCTGTGCCTACTCTCAGTCCTCATTTGGCTGTTTTTAGAGTTCCGCCCCCGGCTTTTATGGATTCCTCCCCGAATGTTTTTCTGCCCTTGTGTCCATCTTTTGGTTCCTCCAAGACTATGGATACCCCAGAGCCCTCATGCCTCCTTCCCAGAGCTGGGCACCTCCTTACCTGCCTTGGGGAAGGCCCACCTGAGGGCAGGGAAGGGGATGCCAAATTTTGGCCTCGCACAGGGTGCCATAGTACCCAAGTCCGCCACTGCTCTTGTGCCTCTCCAAATGCATCTCCTGAGGGACAATGACTTGGGCTGCTGCAGATGAAGTGGCAGTTGATGGAAATCAGGGATCTCCAATGGGAAAAGTCTTCACACAACATTCCAGGTCTGCTATGGAGCAGCAAGGTTCAAGCCTGCTAGTTCCTATTCTTGTAAGCTCTATTGATGGAGCAGAGGGAAAGTCAGCTGGAACCTGCTGCCAAATTCCTTGCTTCAAGCCATATGCATATGCATATCTTGTGTTGCACCATCACCCCAACTCTTTTTGACTCCAGGACAGGAGCCATTGTAATTATAGAGTGGAAATAAGTGAAGATATGTAAGTGTGTGCTGACTTCATGTAACTAACCTGCCAAACCAAGGATCAACTTTAGGAACCAGATTGGTGGTACAACATTGGACTGTTGGGCTGAGATAGCATCGTCTTGCCCAACCTGGCTTTATATGCTAGTCGAACCTTCGCCAACCTGCTGCCCTCCTGATCTTTTCAATGACAACTCCCAGCAGCCCCAGCCAGCATGGCCACTGGGATCAAGAGAATTCAAATAGAAGAAGATAGAAAGCTCCCTGCACACTGACATCAAGTTAACGTTGATTTATGCACTGCAAATTTGGACGGATAATCGAGGATCCTCCCTGGCACCCTTTCAGATATAGTGTTTGACCCACCCTTTCTCAAAGTGGTGTGGAATTTGCTGGACAACAGAGAATGATGTGTGAAAATCTGCTTGGGGCCATATTTCAAAAACTGTCAGATCTCGATGACTTCAGATTTCAACCACATACATTAACGGGGAGAATTTCATCAGCCTCTGCCTTAAAAGAAAACAGGCATTTCATGGGTTAATCCATTACTTATTGCTGACAGTGTTCATATGCAGCATTGGAGACCAAGTGACATAAATTAGCATCTCATCTTAGACCCAAGAGTAGTTATTTCCTTCTGGGTGATGGTGATGGTAAATAAATAGCCCTTAATTACTTTTTCGCCTGTGCTTCCATTTTGGTATTTAGATGGGAGCACATACAAAAGCTTTAAATGTAAGGTAACCTCCTCCTCAATGTGCTACAGCTGCCCCTTGCTGCAGCCTGCCCTATAATAGCAGTATCCATTTCCAGCAAGCAGCCATTTATCTCCTCATGCAGAGGTGGGAAGTACCATACAGAACAGTACCTTTTTTCTTTCCTTCGAAAGTCCTATTTCTATGACTAATAGCTGTCTTAAGTCAGCAAATTTTGGTGTTTGTGGCACCAACTTCCTTCACTTGAAAGCAGGGATGTTGGGGAGTTCCATCAGAAATGGGAGCAGAAATTGCTGCAATTCACATGTTCATCTGAGGTCAGCAACAGAAATTGTGCAAGTGAAGACAAGTGGTATTGGTTGTCATTTTTTTTTCTTCAGTCCTCAACATTACACACATAATTGCATTATTTTCTGCATTGTTTCTATTCTATTGATATTGTTTATTTATTATCAATTTATATCTTGCCCTTCTTCCTGCAGAAACTGAGACCAGCAAACACATCAATAATAATGATAACAATCTTTTTAAAGCATTCTAAAAACAGTTGAAAATATTCTAAAAACATTTTCTTAACCTGTGATCTCAGAGTTGCCAGGAGTGTTTTGATGTTTTTCTTCCACTGAAATGCATTGGCATTTGTGACATAATTCATTACATTAGTTTCAGTTAGAGAGAGAGAGAGATGAATAATGTAGATTTTAGCGTAAACTGATCTGTAGCAGAATGGAAACAGCGCTGGTTACGTGTGGAATACAGGACAGAATGAAAGTTGCTGCTCCCTACATCCCCGCTTGTTTGCCAGCAGTTCTCTTCCTTTCTTGCCTTTTAATAACATATGAGTCACATGTCTGGGATTGCAACAGGGATGTGGACAAAAAATAGCCATCCCTCTGGGCTCTGACGGAGGGCACTGCTAATGCAAATGAGGATAATCTGTAATATAGGATCATAGGAGTATCGAATTGGAATTTGTTGGTTTGTTTAAGGTGGAAGTTCAAATCGTGAATTTACTAAGTCACACCTTGTATTAAAGTACTGGGAAGCTATGTTATTTCTGAGCCGAAATCTTCCTAGTACAAGCAAAGTGTTTATGTTTCAGACATTGTGTATAGATTGGCATTCACGGGATAGCTGTTAATTTCAAAATCAACGGAGTTGTCAGCTCTGATTCGTCTTGGAGTGTCACAGCTGTCTCCTGCCACAAATAACTTCCCCCCTCTCCCCCAGTTCACTCTTGATGGGCTATTGCCTCTGCTCATATTCTATTTTTATTTGACCTGAAGCCAATTACTAATACTCCTGGAGACAAAAATGGACCTGGCATGCCTTCTGCTCCTGGCCTGCTGAAATGATTGATATCTCTAGGAGGCTTCCCCCCTCCACCCCCTGAATATTGAGCCCTCCCTCCACCTTTGCCTTGATTTATACATTGCCTTTTCTACTTTAGTCCTGGATCAGTTCTCTGACAGCTCCTCATGATTTAAAAATGAAGCCTGGGGAGCTGGGGCCAGAGCTAATTTTCCAAGGTTAGGAAGGGTGATCTTATGCTTCCCTGAAAGAGGATATAAACGTTTGTAATAAATGAAGGGGAGAGCCACTATCAGAGGGCTTCATTGGGGTGCTGGTGGACTTTTTGAGGACATAAAAGGGGGTACTTTGGAAAACCGTATGAAGTTGAGAGCACTGGAAAGCGTGATTGTTATCCTGGTATTCCAGGTGTGGGGAACCTTTGGCGCTCCAGATGTTGCTGAACTATAACTCCCATCAGCCCCATCAAGCATGGGCAATGTCCAAGGATGGTGGGAGTTGCAGTTCAGCAACATCTTGAGAGCCTACACTATTCCGTATCACATAAGGTTGGTTAAAAATATGACTTACCACATTTTTCCGTGTATAAGACTATATTTTTTCCGAAATTTTTGAAGTTTAATAATGGGTCATCTTATATATGGATAATGCATAGTGCATTTTGGGTTTTAAAAAATAGGGGGCGTCTTATACTTGGGGGCATCTTATACACGGAAAAATATGGCAATATATCCATGATTTTCTGCCTTTCCATCCATCTTTTGGTTCCTCCAAGACTATGGATACCCCAGAGCCCTCATGCCTCCTTCCCGAAGCTAGGCACCTCCTTACCTGCCTTGGGGAAGGCCCACCTGAGAGCAGGGAAGGGGATGCCAAATTTTGGCCTCGCACTGGGTGCCATAGTACCCAAGTCCGCCACTGCTCTTGTGCCTCTCCAAATGCATCTCCTGAGGGACAGTGACTTGGGCTGCTGCAGATGAAGTGGCAGTTGATGGAAATCAGGGATCTCCAATGGGAAAAGTCTTCACACAATGTTCCAGGTCTACTATGGAGCAGCAAGGTTCAAGCCTCCTAGTTGCTATTCTTGTAAGCTCTCTTGATGGAGCAGAGGGAAAGTCAGCTGGAACCTGCTGCCAAATTCCTTGCTTCAAGCGAACGTCACACTGTTCATGCAGAGGCTATTCTCACTGAGCCATGTCAGAGATTCATTGCCTCCATGACAACTGTGGGGCTGCCTTCAGTTTGCAAGACAGGTTGGAGGATAGACATTGGTTGCCTCTGTACTTTGTTGTAACAGCTCCAAACGAGGTTGAGCACACTGTCCAGTCTTGGGATCAGTTCAGCTTTTCAGGCCTGAGGACTTCGTCATGCTGCTTGGAGCTATCTGATCTACCACATGCCCTCTCAACACTTGCCTTTCATGACTAGTTTGAAAATGTCCAGGGGTCTGTTGGTTGTCTTGGTGGGTCCTAGGTCTACTAAACACATTTTTGGATGAGAGGCTGGGGCTTGTGGCACTTAAAGAGGCAATAGGATGTCCACTTCTTGAAAAAGCCCTCCCTGGATTTGGAGGATTAGGATAACTACTAAAGGTAAAGGTAAAGGACCCCTGGACGGTTAAGTCCAGTCAAAGGTGACTATGGGGGTGTGGTGCTCATCTTGCTTTCAGGCCAAGAGAGTCAGCATTTGTCCATAGACAGTTTTCCAGGTCATGTGGTCAGCATGACTAAACCACTTCTGGTGCAGTGGAACTCTGTGACAGAAACCAGAGCGCATGGAAATGCTGTTTACCTTCCCGCCGCAGCGGTACCTATTTATCTACTTGCACTAGTGTGCTTTCAAATTGCTAGGTTGGCAGAAGCTGGTACAAAGCAACGGGAGCTCACCATCGTCGTGCAGATTCGAAGCACCATCCTTCAAATCGGCAAGCCCAAGAGGCTCAGTGGTTTAGACCACAGTGCCACCCACGTCCCTACAGGATAACTACTGCCTGGTCACAAATACCCCTTTTTGAGTATGGTGCTTGAGAGGATGGCAAATCCATTCCAGTTCGAGTTCAGTCTTGGGTATGGGACTGAATTGGCCTTGGTTTTCTTAATGGATGACTTTTATCGGCTGGAGTGACTTGGTTAGTTTGTATTGGAAGGCAGTGGTTCCACTCCTACCTACCGGATCATTCTGAGAGATGTGGCATTAGTGACTATACCTTGGCCACATGTCTGTTATTTTTTGAGGGGCCACAAGGAGCCATCTTGTTCCCATTTCCCAGTTCCATTTTCCATCTATTTGAAACCACCATGAGCAGTCATTAGGAGACTTGGAGTCTGATGTCGTTAGTTTGACAGTGACCTTCCTTTTACCCAAGGTGTGATTTTGAATTTTTTTTAAAAAACCACATTTGCTTCAGTCCTAGGCCACCAATTCCGCTGTCCCTGCTGTTAACGGAGGAAGAAGCAGGCAACATAATTCAATCATTCTGGAGAGGTTATCGGGTAAGAGTCATCTATAATTATTTTGTTTGATGTTGAATCTGTGCGACTGCGGAGGCCCTGGGGAAAACCCCTTACATAAATTCTAAGTAGCAGGTGCTATAAATAGCCACGAAGACCCTGATGGTTGGCTTGTGTTTGCATAGAAGCTGTCTCGTGCTGGTGATCTTCTTGTGGGGAGAAGGAGGGGGCAAGCTGCTGTGCTTTTATAAATAAATAAATAAATAAAGATTAACCCGAAACAAAGAAGTTCAGAGATGAAATGGGCTTCATCAGGGTGTGAAAAGCTTCCTTGCTCTAACTTCCATTTTTTATGGTCCCTTTTTTTTCTGGTGGCAAGAAGACGTCTGGAAAAAATCCCCAAGTCTCATGTCTGAGCATGTGAATCAGCGCAGAGGAGGGAGGGATCCACTGAGGCAAGAGAAAAGACATAAATGAAGGAACGGGATGCTGAGCTGTTTGGGAGGAAAAAATAAAGAGGAGTGAAGAAGAAGGATTATAGGCCTGTGTACGGGGTGTGCTCAGGCTTGCCTTAATGCCAATATAGTGGCTTTATGGGCCCCTGACGTTGCTCAACTATAGTAGAGCACTAGCTCCATCGTGGTGATCAGGTTGCTTTTCCGCATCTGCATACAGGTTGAGGAGGGATGAGAAAGCTGTTGAGACTTTCCACAAAGCCACTTCCGGGCCTGCCCCAGGAGGTGGGGTTGCGGGCATCACGCCCTCCCCACGTGAGCGGGGGCTGGGTTCAGCCCCCGCGAGAACAGGGGAATCCCGAGCGTCCACGCCTCCCAGCCAGCCAATCGGCTGGCTGGGGGGGCGTGGCTTGCCCTATTTAGGGCCGGAGCGGAGGGGGCTCGCCCTCTCTTCTCCGGCTAGCCCCCACGTTTGTGCCAGCTGAGTTTGCTAATCGTCGGGAACTACTCAGCCACGTGGATCATCGGACGGCAAGCTTTAGCCTGCTGAAACGGAGTTGCGATTAATTTTGGATTGGAGTGTGTGGATCGTTTTTCCCGCCGTTAGTTTTCGGGAGCCTTGCTGAGCTACCGCTGCGGAGCGGAGCTAGCCTTTCTTTCCAGCGCCGTTACAATTTTTAGGAGATTTTGGGCAAGCCGCGACTGCGCTGTTTTAAACAGCTGACTGGCGGGATCGCAGCCGTCCCCTGGTCACCTCAGCTACCGGCAGCGCACACGCAGCCTTCCGTCCGCCATCAGAGCGCTCAGCCGGCATACCACACTCGCT